TAATTCAGTGACTTACAAGCTTTCAGGTCGTTTAATAGTACGTCACTGGTAGACTTGGCGTCTTTGATCTCCTCATCTAGATGTTTTCTCTCTATTAGAGAGACAGTCAACGATATATCAATTGATTTATATTCTACAATCTTAAAATCAGAATGGCTCAAGTAGGGTGTTGCAGTTCCCTACAAGAGGGAGATACTAATCATATCTCATGAACCTCCATTCATCATGTTCTGAAACTCCAAAGATGGAGTAACAGGTAAGGATGTACCTTACTGACAACACCATCCTGACGTCACCAGAAACTATATATTATGTGCTAAGACCAAACTCACTTGTGGTTGCATACAATTATTACTACGTCTTCAATAGAACATGTCGGTACACACTATTAAACTTTAATAATGTCCAAAAAATGCTTTTTTGTGTGGGTGTTTTGGCGAAACTTGCTTTAATTCATCTTAAAGTAAAGGAAACGCGTCTTCATTTACATAATGTCAGCACAACGTGGATTCTTATTGGTACAATACATAAGAAGGATTTCTATAAAATAGCATCCTATAATGAACGCAATTTTCGGTTAAATATGACGATGTATCTTTTTTAGAAACATTGTGAGGCACGTGCTTCGCAGTTTAACCGTTTTATTGTGTTAAAATAAACTTTAACAAAGACCGGATGTGTCTGTTTACAAAGATAACCCGGTGTATCAAGATGGTTCCCCTACCTCTTTCATAATTTACGAAAATTGACTTGTTCAGCCAGTGTGTGCAGTTATTTGTAAATAATGCCTACTTATGAGGTCATCAGTAGTAATTGATGACTAAAAAGTATTGTAAAATTACACAAATACAGTAAACTCTGTAAATTAACGGAAGTATGAGGGCAAGGCTTTTTGGGAACGCCACGCACGCGCAGCACTTAGCTTGAAAACCAAACAGGAAAAACGAAACAGTGCATTTACTAGGTTTAAATATACGCCTTCAAAAACAGTTGTTAAAGCAAATTATTAAAATCTAAACTGAACAATTTAATATTAGTTTTAAACAAAAGTGAAAACAATCGTTCTCCTTTTATCCCAAATACATTGCTATTGAATTATGTCGTGTCAATAAAAACGTCTTCATTAACCACATTTACAATAACACAACAAAGAAGAGAAAGTGATAAAAATACCTTGTTGAAGCATATTTAGCTTGGCCCTGAGCTGTTCAATCTTGGGCTCCGGCAAACCTCCACCTAAAATATATTGTATTGAAATATGTTCGTTGTCGATTCAACTTTTGTATTAATCAATAATCATGTCTACAATGCTCAATTATTTACTTAACAAGTAAAAAATGCATTTAAAAAAAGTCTTTTGATTTACGTTTCACCAAATGCTAGCTTAAAATGTTAGAATAGTGGCTATTCCTATCAGTACAGTGGTATTATTAGCTAACATTAGCGATGGAACTGAAACCTAAATTAGTTTAAGTTCTGAAACAATTGATATCAAAATCTTAAATTTAGAATATTCGATAGAAAAATACACTTTTTTTCTGATTGGATACTATAATAACGTAAATCAAAAACCGTTAGCTTATTTAAATCTAAATGTACAACTGAAAACTCCATCATCACAACTTCTGTATTTTCAGGCTGGTAGAATTAATATTAGAAAATTATAAATATTAGAACTATACGCCATAGATATGCAAATCATACCGCTGAGTTCGCTCATGGTTATCCAGCCTGTGTTGAGACTCGGTACAACACTTTCACCTGTAGCCTAGGTAAGGAAACCAGGATAATTACATTGTATCCAAGCTATATTTATGTACGGAAGAGGATTAGGGCAACTGAAAAAAAAAAAAAAAAGTTAACTGATTTTTAAATTTTATTTCATTATAATATGAGCAAAAAAGTCAGAATTCTGACTTTAATCTCAGAATTCTGATTTATTTCTCAGAATGCTGACTTTAATCTCAGAATTCTAAATGTAATCTCAGAATTATGACTTTTTTCTCGGAATTTTGACTTTAATCTCAGAATTCTGACTTTTTTCTTGGAATGCTGACTTTAATCTCAGAATTCTGACTTTATTCTTGGAACGCTGACTTTAATCTCAGAATTGTGACTTTAATCTAAGAATTCTGACTTTAATCTCAGAATTGTGACTTTTTTCTCAGAATTGTGACTTTAATCTCAGAATTGTGACTTTAATCTCAGAATGCTGACTTTTTTCTCAGAATTGTGACTTTAATCTTAGAATTCAGACGATTTTCTCAGAATTCCGACTCTAATCTCAGAATTGTGACTTTAATGATACAGCCATGATCTTTTCTGGCAATCATTTTGACCTGAAAACTAACAATATAAAGTAGATTTGAGCAGATATTTTTGGTTCCAAGCTTCAAATCAGAAGTTGAGGCAAAAATGCGCTTTTCAGACTGAGAGGAGCTCAATTTGGCCTCTCTACTTGAAATAGACAAACCGTTAATGATACAGCCATGATCTTTTCTCGCAATCATTTTGACCTGAAAACTAACAATATAAAGTAGATTTGAGCAGATACTTTTGGTTCCAAGCTTCAAATCAGAAGTTGAGGCCAAAATGCGCTTTTCAGACTGAGAGGAGCTCAATTTGGCCTCTCTAGCTAAAACAGACAAATCGTTAATCTCAGAATTGTGACTTTTTTCTCAGAATTCTGACTTTTTTTTCTCGGAATTCTGACTTTAATCTCAGAATTCTAACATTTTTCTCAGAATTCCGACTTTAATCTCAGAATTCCGACTTTTTTTCTTGGAATTCTGACTTTAATCTCAGAATTCTGACTAAATTCTGACAGCTAACAAACATATTAGCATCAAGCCGTAGCCATGTCTGTTTTAGAGCCTAAACTAGCTGTCTTGTTTTAATGACCTTCTGCTCCTCCTTTAATGAAATAGCATCACCAGGGACCCCTCAGGCACTTAAAAAGTCACCTAATTCCATCATTTTCAACTAATGTGTTACTGGCCCTCCCAAACAACTCACATCTTTGTCAGTGAAGCTGAGTGCTCCCACATCTCTTCATTCATGGTGCCCATCTACATTAAGATCCAAAATTCTGAGATTAAAGTCAGAATTCTGACTTTTTTCTCCCATATTAAACTGAAATAAAATTTATAAATCAGTTAACTTTTTTTCCCTTCTTTTTAGTGACCCTAATCCTCTTCCATATTTATGCCAGTGATATAATCTAAAAAAAAACGAATGCTAATTGAAGGCCTGATATCAGGCTCTCAGAATGATCACATGATCAAGAGATCCTTTTAATTGGGCATTTTGACTAAGTTAAAAGCATTCCAATATACGTAGGGAACTTGATAATTGGTCAATTTGTTTGTTTTTGCATTATTGAGCCACTGGTCAGCATTTTGGACCTATTAGTACTCAAAAAATAGATGCATTCAAAGGTACTTGAGTATTAAAAAAGTATACAAATGAGATTATCTGATAGTGCATTTCTGTGAAATTTTCAGAGTAATTTTAAAGAACCTTGAAACCACTCTGCCACATATTCTACACCATCTGTGAAGAACTTTAGCATGAAAATACTAAAAAAAAAAACCAAGAACAGCTATTTTGATCTTTATTTGTTATTCAAACAACAAACAAAAAGAAAACAAGTGTCTTAATTCTCCTCACACTTTCACTATGGAATATAAATTTAAAGTTGAATCTATGAGCACAAAGAAACTACAACTCTGCTTTGAGAACTCATCCAAAAGATGACAATTAACGCCTTAATAAAATTATAGACTACAAATAATATGTGTTCTTAGTCATATTTGTGGATTGTCATGCAAGTCTCTAAAAGAGTGGATTCCAAATTCAGTCCTAAGAGCTGCTAGCTTTCATGTTGGAATTGCATGTCAAGAAATAAAAACAGCAACAGCAGATTAGAAAGCTAAGCTCAGCTAAAAGTAACAGGTAAAGAGCGACTTCCTCAAAAGGGAGTGGAATAGAAAGTACAATATTTGACTTTGAAATGTTGTAGCAAGTTATAAGTTTTGGTTGAATAGACTTTTTTTATATTGCCCCCTGCAATTTCTTCCAGTAATTGAAATGTCTTTAAATCCACATTAACATGAATTAAACACACTGTAGTAAACAGATAAATGGAGGCAGAAGATGCCTTTAAGTCATCAATGCAAACATTCAGCCACACACAGGAGCTCTTTCAAGCTGGGCACAGTTTCATTCACAACACCTGTCCAGTAAACGAAGAATTCCCATCAGAAATACTTTAATAATCCCAGGGAGAAATTACTATCGTTACACGACTCCATCTGTAATAGAGTGACTATAGGACCAGTTTGATGTAACACAATTTCATACTATATATATAATTTAGGGGTCCCTGCTCCATCTCGCCATCAGTTTGGGGTCCTTGGCCTGGAAAACGTTGAAGACCCCTGCTTTAAACCAATCCCTTAGTGTAAATCTATATGAGCTGTACCTTTAGAGTCAAATGTCACAAATAAACTTCTCACTTTTTAAATTTACTTGTACACCCAACATGACTGGGTTGTTTCTATATGAGATAATTTTAATGATAAATAGATTTCTCCTCTTACACATGATTCAATAACTGTGAAAGGACAGTTGTTTACATGTAGAAACTACTGACTGAGCATCCAAAAGTAAAGATAATAGACAGCAAATCACAAAGAGGAGATAAAAAAAGAGCAAATTCCAGGCACAACAGTAACAATCTAAACCTAAATGAACACTCTACACATTTCTGTTGTTTTCTTTTTAATTGAAAGCATACAGCTGTGTTCAGGAACTTCAGTTCACCTTCAGTTTGATGCAAATATACAATGCGAACATACCTACGAAGCAAAAACGTACTTTATACACATCAAAACACCTAGTTTTCCTATGTACAGCTATTGGTAAATGTCAGTTAAAAACATTAAAATAAAAATTTATCGAGTTTCAAATAAGTGTCTCTTCAAAACAGAATTAGCTGCATTGTGTACGTTTGTAAGCACATGCAAATATGGAGAGGATCATGCAGCAGGTATAAAACAAAAGCAAAAGGAAAAAAATAAATAAATTACTTTATACACACTTCAATTTTGTTTGCATGTTTGAATGAATAAATCTTTTAGCTATTAGTGCGAGTTAACCTCTTTGTTCACATTACTGGAGAGATTATAAACACATTCAGATCAGCTTCATATTCCTCGAAATCTGGCACCAGTGTACCTTAGGTTTTAGAAGGATAACATTCAATATTAAAATGGTATAGCAGTACAAACAAAATAAGAGAGGGATTTACTAACACAAGGAGAACGTAATAAACACTGAACACAAATACAGACAAGGGTCAAATTGTGTAATTAGATAATTTTATCCAAAGGAAAAACTTTATTAGAACAGAATCAAAACAAAATAACGGAATGTTTTTAAATATTCCTTTATGCTCAGAGCTTTTTTTATTTTTATAAATACCACACAGATGTACCCCCCCTCCCAAACAGCAGCTCATCCATACACACGCTCCAGCATGCCTTTTAGAGGTAGGAAAAGGGTGGCGGTGATTGGGTGTACTGGCATCATCAACAGTAAAACACTGATCTACTTCAAGTGGTGGCGAGCAAGATGGAGGCTGCGTTTCTCCCTTCAATCCAACATCATACTGCAACTTTATGTGTATTTCTCATTTAGCCATGCACAATTAAACCCACACAGGCTGAGAAATAGAGACATGGTGAAGAAAACAGGCAGATTTGAAAAAGAGAATTTCTGGGACTATCTTCTATATTTAAGCAAAGCTGGTTTTGCATCAGTGTTAAGTGTTATTTGCCCTCATTCTGTTTTTTCCCCCTTCAGTTAAAGCACTGCAGCTAGATGAGGCAGAGGGCCAAGCATTCAGAGCCAATCATTATTTAATCTCTGTGACCTGTCCTACCTAAAGGTAGATTTAGACAGCTGTATGTGTTAGTAGAAGCAGGGGGAAGATGGAGCATCATTATGGGTTTTCAACTTACAGCAAGAATGATAAGAGTGCAAATAAAACACGTGCCCCATTTGAGTTTTATGACACACTCAAGTCTTCATAATGAAACAGAGCTTTGTGTGTATGCATTTGACAGGTGGAGGGGGCGTTAGACCAGACAGATAGAAAGCACAGGTAAGCAACGTTTTACAACGATGGGAGGCATTCTCTGTCTTGCTGCCGCTCCCCTGAAGGAGCAGGTTTAATCACGGGAGCGTCCCACAATGGCCAGGATGTAGAGGAAAATGTTGATGATGTCAGTGTAGAGGTTGAGTGAGGCGAAGATGTACTCCTCTGGACTGAGGGCCAGCTTCTTGTTGCCCAATAGAAGCTGGGTGTCGACAGCCAAGAACTGTGAAAAAGGAAAATCAAGGAGAAATTAGATGTTTAGTTGTTTCTCAAACATAAAGAAACTTTGGAATACGTCACAGATACAGTTGTAATCTTGGGCAACAATCTAAACTGGTGCTCTACTTTGAGGATTAAACTTGAGCTGATTCTAAAATCTAAAGGTTTGCAACCACAGATGTCGATTTACATGGATTGTTTTTTTTTTTTCCTTTTTAAAACTTTTTAAATTCAGAGTCAAAGTGAGAAACTGCTTGGTTTATCTGTCAATGGAAACTCGGAAAAGATAGAGCAAAAAAAAGTTACAATATTTACAGCAAATATGAAGAATGTGAAGAGATGATAAAACCCATTTGTTTAAACATGAAGGGAAAGTGTCTGAATCTGGTCACATGGGGAGGGTAAATACTCTGTAAGCTGGGAACCTAATCCTAGCAGGGGATGTTACGCTCTCCTGCTGCTAATTTTACAGCTGTTACCAGAAAGCAAAATAGCTAAAAGGGGAGGTAGAACTGAATAACTTAGGCGAGCAACTTTAGCAAGTAATTAAAATGACATATCAACAAAATGAACCTAAAACACTTTTAAAAAGTCCATATTAAACATTCTATCGGACCTTTATGTGAAGAAAGTACAGTTTAATTAAATGGTTTAGTAGCAGGAAAATCCCTGTTATCACAAATTTTTAGCCATCTAGGAAACACGGGAGGTAAAAGAGTTGTTTAAATTTAACGCTGTGGCAGTTTTAGGTGCCCTAAACTTACGCAGGTGAACAGCAGAGCCCCCATGGAAGCGTAGACGATGTCCAGAATCTTGTTGCGGATGAAGATGCAGAGGATCGAAAAGAGCAGCAGCACAATGAGGCACACAAAGAGAACGCCCCGACAGGAAGTGAAGTCATATTTGCTCTGTGGTCAAGAGAAATAAAAAACACAAAAAACAAAAAGATTTAGAGCAAGTGCAGGATTCTCAATAAAAAAAACAACAACTAGACAAAGAAAGGAAGATCAGGAACAAATAAGTTAGTGAACAGATGGATGTGCAGACCTGCAGTGAGAAGAGGACAACTGTGAAGCAGACAACTGCTGTGATGCCCACCGCCATGATGACCGTATCCGTGTCGTAGAAGCTGGCAATCATGCCCACCATGTAGGACATACTCAATGTCAGGATGGACTACAACAGGAAAAAATAAAAAAAAGTTAAAGATACACCGTATATGTCATCAGTTCTCGCATTTATCCTCTTTTAGATATTGGGTACTGATTTTACCAAAGCAACCAGATTCCAGGGGTGCTTGCGACGGAAATCGCCACAGCAGGTGATTGTGATCAGAGACACGAAGAAGACGGCGTAGGACACGTAATAAGTCCAACGGTTTCTTTGCACATAAATCTTGGCCTCATCCACAAATGTGAAGATGGCAACAAAGGAGAAGGTGACCAACAGCTGCGCCGTGAGGACAGAGAACACCTAATGGAGAAGAAAGTTAAAAATAAATAAATATACATTGGTGTAGAGCCGTAAAATATACAAATAGTAATGATTTTTATTTATATATTTGCATCACTGACATCAATTCACTCACTTTTCTAATAAAGGCTTGTCGGATGTTCTTGTCCTCAAAACCTCCTCTGGCAAATTCCTCATTGTCATAATAGGATGGAGGCACGTCGCCATGATAACCAGGGCTGCCTGCAGGTGCTGCGAAATAACAATGACAAAACAAAAGTTTTGGGGAGGTTTTAGTCACATCTCTGACTGCCTGTTTTTCTTAGATAAAATAAATATGTGACCCCTATGGAGATCAATGAGTGCTGCAATCCAATAAATAAATTACTAATGAAATCATTGGAATATGAAACAAGCAAATTGGACACATTTTGTTATGATAGCAGCCGTGTATCAATGTCTATGTTTTTAAAATTTGCAGCAAATGAATCCATCCAAAGGGGAACATTGAGGTCAATTTCTTTTACAGAGAACAGCTTTAAGAACAAGACTTAAAAAAATTCTTTCAAATTTTCAGCCTCCCCAGGTTATTGACCCACTTCAAAGCACAAATTAATAAACCATGTTTTTTGGCTGATTTTCCTAAACATGTAAGGCTTTAATTATGTAGAAAGATAAAACCACAGCCTGTAAGGAGTTAATCAAAGGCATAAGTGGACAGATTGATGGATAAACAGGTGAAATAAAGGTTCATGCCACTAAACATTGCTGTTTACAAGCTTTGTATCAGAAAACTCACCCATAGGGTCATCATGAAAACTGGGCTGTCCGGGCCCTTGCTGGTAAGGCCCTGGACCGTAGGGGCCTTGTGGATAGGGCATCTGTGGATAGGGGCCAGGGGCAAACCCTGGACCTGCTTGGGCGAAGCCAGGCTGTCCATAGCCAGTAGCTGGTGGGTAAGGCGCCCCCGGGCCTTGGCTGTAGTTGGGAGGGGGCATACCAAAACCTGGTTGAGGGGGGCCATAAACGTTGTTATGAAGAGGGTTGCTCTCCCCCATAATAGGAAATCCACTTTTGTCCTGGGACATGGTGAGGTCAATTACTCACTACTGCCACAATCTGTAAAAATAAACAAAAAAAAACAAACATAAATTTGTATTAAAGTTGGCAGTTTGTATGACAAGTTTCCAGAAGTTAAAGAGCTTAAAAAACATTAATTAAACTCCTAATCAAAGGCTTATTTATCCACCTGAGGTTGAGGACATTGGGTCAGCTAATCTCCTGTATCATCCGCCCAACATATTATAATTGTTAAATATTTTTGCCATTTCAAACCATGGTTCATGTTTGCCAGATTAATACAGTTTATGGATTTTTCCTGGTTCCTCTTCAGCCTCTGTAGGGGCAACATTCTCGGGTAAAGATTCTTTTGTTGACCAGATGTTTAAGAGAACTCATTGCTTACCAAGTAAAAACTGATTGAAGCCTCGCTAATGTTTCAAAAGAATAGAGGATCAGGCTGACCATGCACTAAAGCAAAGGTGTATAGAGTACTAAGAAAAAAAACCCATTTAAAATAGGGCTGGGTATCAATTCAATCCCAATTTTCAAATTTGGAATCGATTCTTTTCAATCCAATACTATCTGTTTGATCTCAACTTGGATTATTGTTCTTAAAAGCACTTTTTTAAACTGTTGCTAGAATGATATGGCTGTATAGTTATGCATAATGTTGATACTAGTATAATATAAACATTGAATTGAAAATTAATAAAGCAAATGTGGCTGTAGGGACAGTGGAAAATGCATTTTTTTTCCTAAATTGATCTTTGCTTATACAAAGAATTTACATGAGAATCACCTTAACAGAAAATGACTTTGGTAAAAGTGAAAGTGACTGATAAGAAAAGCACTAAAGGAAAAGTCATAGAATTGTTTACAATAATAGGGAAAGTGAAAGTTCTATTTTCGTCCATAAAAAGAAGCAAGGTAAACTGTTTTTGTTGGTTCCTTTACATCCCTTGGGTAAAAACATTGGATGTTGGATTTTGAGGGAAAACAAATAACCACGTTAGCCCCAAGGAAAACACTATTGTCCATAAGAGCTCAGAACACTAAAAAAGCCGTCGTGTAGAAAGACACTTGTCAACAGCTGTGCTGTCGGCATGAGAAAACTAAAAGTTTCTTCTGTCAGAATACAATGAAATATGTCCACTGTTTCTCAGAACAATGTAACAGATCAGCTAAAGTGCACTGTGTCAATATAAGTTGTAAGTAACACAAGAAAAATCCTACACTTTATCCCATATAATGCAGAATTGTTAAGTGGTAACTTGGGTATTTCACTTTTTAGGACAATATCTAGAAAGAGTCATTATCAAAAAAAATAAAAATAAAATGTGATGCACTATAGCCTCGGCCAGTATGGAGTGTGGACCTGGACTCAAATACTGTAAAGGGTTAAATGTACTTAACCCCTAGAACCCTACGGACCCACCAGCAGGTCCAGCTGCTACATGACCTCGTAATTTTACCAAACCCCCAGTATTGATGTAAAAAACATATTTGGCACAGTTTGGTGACATTTATGGATAAATGTGCCAAAATGGCCTCTCCGCCTAAGAAATTTCTCACTAATACCATTCTAAAATAAATATGATCCATCTGATTGAGTCCAAATTTGGTATATTTTTACACAACATTTAGATTTGAAAGTCTGTACTACCTACTTTTTGTGCTATAAATAATATTTTGGTAGTGTTTTGCAATGTTTATTTCAAAGAAAATTTTGGCGAGGTTCAAAAAATGCAAAATATTTTGTATTTTGTCCCTAATATTTCAGGCAGGGTCAAAGCTACAATGGTGCTGACACCAGAAAACCATTCTATGACATCTTACCTTTACAGACGTACCAAAAGTTTCTTCTTAAATCTAATAGCTTTGAGGCTATAAGTTATTTACTTTTGTGTGTTTTTGTCAGGCAGAAATTTATTTATACCCCCTTAGGGTGTAAGAGGTTAAGTGATCTACACCTCATTCATTTCCCAGATTTACACTTAGTCCCAGAAAACCTGTTGCGTTCCCAGCTCTGTATTGGCTAAAAGCGCTCACACTTGACAGATAGATGTAACAAATAAAAATACAGAATAATACTGTAATTTATTAGCAACAAGACAACCCATCCATAACTTTATCTCACAAACCCTGCTGCCACCTCATCAGGCACAGTGCTCAGTTTAGATGTATTTACCAAAGGGAAATAAACAAGATTTTTTTTTTTTTTTTATTAAAACAGAGCATTAAGAATAAAAAAGCAAGGGCATTTCCATTTAGCATCAGATCAATGTAGTTTAAATCCTGTTTAGAGGTTGTGTTCGCTCTATCTTAGCCTTCACCTTGTTTAGACTGTACTGAATTTACAGTGAGTGTTATGCAACACTTCTTTATTTTGCCTTGGCATATGCATTTGGACTCCAGATCCACTGCATCAGGGCCACATTGCAGCACACAGCTTCAAACAAATATCTTGCTTTTGCTGAGAGGATTGATTCAAATCCTTCTAGATTTGTATTCTGCATGTACAGTAGTAACCATTCAACATTTCCCCACTTTTCTTGATGGGCCCTTGGCTGGTCCTCTACAATTCCTTTTTAAACATCAATCTTTGTACTAAAATATTCTGTCATGATTTGTGGAAATTAAAATCTAAAGAGAAGCATCATCTCCAGGTCAGACCCTGTAATTCAGTGAAAGGGTGGAGTCAGAGTAAAAAAAAAAAAAGGCATGCCCAGGAGAAGGTAGTTGGAGGGGATTTTGCTGGGAGTCGCAAGGTAGTGGGCTGCCATTCGGCTGGCGTTTGACTGGGAAGGGCCATTTTGAATAGCTTCTACTGTAATGAGCCAGATCCCTCCACAGACAAAGGTTGTGCAATTGGTAAGTTGTGTCAGTTAACACAGTTCTTGACCAATCAACCAGCAGAGTGTCAAACTGTCAAACTAGGTAACCAAATTTAATCTGCTAAATCTCTATAGAACAATCAGGTTCAGACTTTAAAACACTCATAAGAGAAGGTATCGTTTAAGTTATCTAAAAAGCTTGTCAATATACAACCACAGAGCTGTAAAGTAATCCTGTTGCATACATAAATGAAATCTCCACCCAGTTCAGCGTCCATGGACAGGACATTGAATAGGTGGTGTGGGTGTTCTAGTGACAAAAGAAGCAAATACATAAAGAAAACTAATCAGAAAATAGTATAAACAGTTACTAAAAGTTCTCAACAAATCAAGGATAATTCTGTCATCTTAATTTTCAAATTAGTTTTATTCTTTAAGTAAAACCCTTAAAACAAAAAAGAACCATCTTTATGTTTAAGAATATGTGGCAATGCCATTATTAAATACCAGTGGATTCATCAAATTACCATTAAAAACATACAAATTATTTTATCATTATTTCATTGAACGCATTAATTATTTTACTCTTAACATTTTCCCTTTACATTTAAAACTACCAACAGGTTTTCCATCTTGAAATATTTTTTTGTTTGTCAATCAAAAACAGATTGAAATGTTTGTCACTGGGATCTTTTTTTTGACAGGGTAGAAAACATAGAATTTCTTTGAAGGAAAAGGAGAAACATTTCTACATACTTTAAACAATAAAGATTTTAAACTAAAGCTGTATGCACAATCATCATCTCTGGTCTACTCTTGCCCAGATAGATTTGAAAAAAATATATAAATCAACACCAAAGGGATTTTGAATGTTGTCGTTACTCAAATCTTCACAAATAGCTGCTGATGGCTGCAGTGAGGAAGGATCACCTGTAGCAGCCTGTGTAAAGTAGATCTGGAGAAGCCCCTGACTAAAGACAATCTGTTGGTCAAAGGTCTGTAGGGTTCTCACTGGCGCATTTTAAGCGTTAAATTTTCAGTTGTCAAAATTACATTGTAATAAGGTGTTTATACTTTCAATAAGAATAACAGCTGCAGAAATTGTGTTTTAGAACCCTTTTAGGAATGAAACTTGTCTGTTTGAGGACCTTGAGTCAGCGCTATGAAGTGGTGAGATACAATAGCACTTAAGGTATAGTGGAGGATGTTATTTTTCAAGGTGGATCATCAAAATAATATGCCTACCTAATTGTCAATTAATCTACTGATATCTTTACGAAAGGCTGTTCTATGTGCTTGTTCCCATTTTCATTTACCAGTGGTAAATATAGTGGAAAAACTGAATAATCTTCTTTTGAAAAGTAAGCTTGTATGAGCGATGCAAACAGCAACTTTAAAACAGGTTCATTAAGCCAAACTGGCTGATGATAACTTTTTTTTCTACATATACAACTAAAGGCAACAAACTAATAAGGGTTGCTTAGCAAAGCGGAAGGAGACAGCTGCTTTAACCAATATCGAATAAAAAAAAAATAAAAAAATCACAACAACCTCTTCATGCCCAGTGTAATGAAGACATATTGATTGTTTGGAGTCAAAGAAATTTATACTATTCATAAGTAAAGAGTATAAGAGCTGAGAATATTTATTAAATCTGTAAAAAATAAAAATAATCTGACTAAGAGCTTTTTGTTTTAATGAATAATTAAATTAAATTAAATGCAAATAATTAGCAGCAACAATAGATTAACATGGACAAGTTTAACGTTTTTTTTTTTTAAAGAGCTAAATTCCAATGTGTGTGCTAGATGTGTTTCACAGATTACCTGGCCCAATCCACGGTAGCCGCTAAAAATAAAAAAAAATAAAAAAGAGCACCAATAACACAATGACTAAAGCAGAATTCCAGCATCAGTACAAACAGCTTCATCTGCTGATGTTTTGGAAACAAAGAGCGCCTTTCTTACATGATGCAAATATGTAATAAGCATTATTATGAAAGCGCCTGATGTAACAATTATAAGTTACACAGCATGTAGTAGTGAAAAAAATTTAAGCAAAGATCATTCAGTTATGAGCACTGAAAGGGCATGCCCTCTCAAAGACAATTTGATCTTCAAAAAAAACACAAGTTTCACTTCAGCAACTGAAAGGAGATAAATAAGAGTACGGCAGCTATTTTTAAGAGTCGGTTTAAATAGCTTTGATAGAGTTCTGGAAGATTATAAATCCTCTTAGGCAGGATGTTTTTTACCCACAATGCTGCCACTGCCGCCGACAGCCGTCCCTCAAGGATTTAGGTTAAAGGGATGGATTCAGTAGGCCAGTCAGTGAGAGAACCAGGTTAACATAATTAGGTTAGTACAATACCATGACTACCTCACAGACAGTATGTTATATGGATGACCAAACCAGTCAGGCAAACATGGAGGTTAGCATACTTGTTAGTCCGACTAAAACAGGGAGTGCAGTCAGTAGAGCATGAGTTAGCGATATAACCGAAAGTAAAATGCTGTTTCACTGTCACATGATAACAAACTGTAAGCTAAGCCTGGTAATCTCTAAAGAAGAGGATATGAGGTTGAATATGCTTGCATTTTATGCTGGTCCCTATTCATACAATACCATATCCCTTTATTTATAAAGTGTTTTTAAAACAACAAAATGTCAACAAAGTGCTGTAAATACAATTGAAAGCAACTAAAATTAAAACCGACAAGCTAAATACAGACAAGCTAACACAGAGATAAAGAGTTTTTTATATTAAAATAGTTTTAATTAAAACTTAATCAAACAACAGAAGATAAAAAAAATGACATAAAAAATAGAGTAAAGCTCTTAAGGATGTAAAAAAATAAATAAATAAATGTCTCAGCAAACAGGTGTGTTTTAAGACATTTACACTCAGAGAGAGGGGGGGCTGCCAGACATCTATTATTGCACAACTGAGGAGCTGCTAAAGCAGACTGAAATTGAATGACTGCCACAACCACTCTGTGTACAATAAGGATTTCTGTCAAACAATTGCTAAATTATCACCTGGACAGCGTGAAAGATAAATGCCTCCATGGCTTTGCTTCTAGTGGAGAAGCAGCCTATGCAGCAGTCAGGGGAGGGAAATACTGTAATAGCAGCAGGCCTTGTCAGCAGTCACTGTGGCCATGCCAAGCCTGCAAAGACCCAGTGTTGCATCAGATGGCCGCAGTTGAATAGGTGGAGCTGTCTATGACAAGAAACTGTCATACCAATTTTTTTTAAAACATGATAGTGTTAGTATTAAAAAATGGGTGATTGTGATAAACTATAGGGAAGCATTGACCTTCCTGCTTGACTGTATTCACTGCTTCTTCTCAGTAACAATATGAAGATTATACTTGGTTTGATTAAAATGATAAAGGATTGAACATAAAAAAAAGGAGAATTTGTTTTAAATTAACCAAACCCTGCCATGGAAAGAGTTTTATTTTTATTTGAACAAGTTTAGAAGCAGGGATTGTGAGCATATATATTTTAAACAAGCTTTAAAGGGTTTTAAAAAAGCATGATTTCAGATCTGGGAACTTCACATGACATCTGCTCATGGGTCTGATAATCAAACCTGACCTGATTATGTGAGCATGGGGTTTTTTTAGTTTCATGTAAGTAAAACGAACCGACTAAAAATGGGAAATGACTCACATAAACGCCATAAGAATGAAATTTTGAAATCCTAATCTATTGAATATTTAAAGAAGTCTTGAATGCTGCTATAGTAAAGTGAACAACTTTCAGAGATTATGTCATGCATGTAATAAATGCATGTAATTAAAACTGGTAGGTGGAATATTTGATGTGAATTTATTTTAATATCAATACAGCGAGCCGGTCAGTACTAGTCTTTTGAGCAGAGATTTAAGATGAGGAACACAAAACTTGAGCCGTTTTCATCTTCACATAGTCAAGATTGGGCAACTGAAAAAAAAAACTTGGCAATCTATAATCCCAATCCCACTTTAGCAGCTGTTTTAATCTGTACACTTAAATATATGATTAAAGCCTTCATTTCTTTTATGAAACTGGAATAATTTCTCAAGGGAATTAAACAGTTTGCACCAATTCTACTCATATTTTTTAAATAGTTATTCTAAAGTAATTGAATATTGTATACTTTAATATCCATACATCTGAACCGAGCTCACTGGTACTAAAGACAACATGTAGGTTTAATGAAAACAGGCCACAAGCAACAGGGAGATTACTGTCAGTGAAACCCCAATCATTTGAGTACGGTAGTTTTTATGGCTGGCAGCCACTGCTAACCAAAACAGAAACACGGGCACAGTACTGCTCACACTGCAGAACGCAAATCCATGTATTGTAGGCCTCAACTGCGGACACAAATGCGACACTGCGGCCATTTGTGAGCATATATTCCCACGAATTACCATTGAACTAACCAAAGGGGTTATTTAAATCACAGTGACACGCGTCACAGGAAAAAAAAAACAACTCCAAACAGTTCGCCATGTTTAAATCCGCTCTTATTTACAGGACGGTTACATGTCGGACCCTCCTCTGTTTACGCTGATATGCTAGCGGCTTCTTTCACAACAAATGCAGCCGTTATCGGAATCCTCCATACAAATATACAACAACAACAACAAAATAGATATATTTTTTTTTTATGTCCTGTGCTACGTGCTTTCTACATTGACAGATGGCAAAGAGGATGGACCCAAACGGTTTCCGTGAAGAAGCCAGCGGGTTGTCCTTTTTTTTTTGCTTGTTTTTTTTTCTTCTACTTATTGTTTGCTATGGCTTAAACAAAATAAAATATAATAAGAAAATAAATTCTTACCTTTAACGTGATTATTGTGAAGCAATTGATGAAACGAACTCCTTCGCTCCTCCTGGATTTCTGGAATCCGACGAACAAGTGAAGGGGGCGGAGGCCGCTGACGTTACCGCCAGGAACCGTCACGTGGTCACCGGGAATCTCCGGTTATAACACCGAAAATTATGAAATTTCTAACCAATCGAAATACATTAGGGTCAAAACTTTAATATAACGCCCTCTTGTTTAAGGGGGGAAATGTTAGATAAAGAAAAGCTGCTTAAATGCAATTTCCCAACAGAAATATCTAGAAACACACGGAAAGTACTGATCCGGGTCACGTGGTTTATTATGAGCGCTGAAAGCTTTCTCATAAGTGCGCAATAATAAACAATTATTATAAGACTCTAAATCCCCTTGTCTTTTATTCTCGCAATAACCAAAATATTAAACGAACAATTTTAAATATTTTTATCTGTTCAGGTTATGAAGGGTGGGCTTTTACCCACCATAGACAGTAGAAATAATATATACAGGGGATTAACTCGGCACACTTCTGTCACATAAAGTGGAAAAAATATAATATCTTAAATTCAGTCATTATAGACTTTCAAAGCCATTAGGGAGATTAAAAGTCACACTTAAAGAATTAGAGTTAAGCGATGCAAATGCATGTAAACCCTCAGAGATCCAAAACACAAAGAAATAAATAACAGATTAAAAAAATATATACTTAAATAAACAGCATTTTGACTCTCTAAATGGAACCCCTGACTTTGTATTATTTTTCTCATTACTACATTTTTTCCAAGCCAAATTTATGGCTTTGGATCTCTAAGTTCCCTCCACGAATAATTACTTTACTTTTAAGTGGTACAATGGGGCTTCCAAATTTGCCACTCCTTATATTGTTAAGTTATTTTTATTTTTTTTCAAAATAAAATTTCAAAACTGCTCTCTGCCAATGATGAGAGGAGTTTGATCAGTTGCCTTTTATGGCACCAAAGGCATGTATGGAAGCATGGTTTTAAGAGGGTAAGCAAACAACAACTTGAAACAAAAAGAAAAAAGTTCAAAAGTTTAGAACCAATTTTTAATAAAAGTCTGTAAAATGACTTTCTGCATGGAGCTTGCATGTTTTTTTCATTAATGCATGGGTCTTTATACCAAAATCGATTGCTTTTAAAAGAAAATACTTAAGTAAACCCACAGGAAAGAATTAAATGCTGCAGTTACCCATAGATTTTTAAAGAGTTGTTCTACGTGATGATAGCTGTAAGCAGGAAGGACTTCCTGTAGCAGTCTGTCTTGTGAAACTCTTACTACTTACTTTTGTCCATAATGTTCTTCACTTTGTGAAATCATCTCCAGGGGTATTAAAGGAGTTCTTAGAACAGAGACAGTCTTCTTTATTAGCTTGTTGAGCTTTTGTAAGTCATTTTACTATAGCAGATAATGGCAGAAGAGTTCCAGCTCTCCACAGCATGCATACAAGATATGCAGAATCTTGCTGAAAACGCTAAAGAATCGAAGCTTCCTGAGGAAGTACAGTCTGCTCTGTCCTTTCTTGTAGACGGCTTTACAGTCGTGTATTCAGTCGAGTTTGTTGTCCAGGTGAACACCAAGGTATTTATACTCCTCCACCACCTCCACTTCCCCCATGATGCCAATAGGTCTCAACTTGTTCCTATTTCTTAAAAAATGTACAATCATCTCATGTGTTCTATTCACATTCAGAATCAAATGATTGTTTGCACACAATGCTAAAAAAAAAAATGGTTGACCAGCTCCTTGTACTGAGCTTTTTGATCACCTCTGATGGACCTAGAACAAGACTGTTGGATTGGTTAGTGTCTCTACATTGCATTTAGGATTTTTTGTGTGCATGGTTGTCTGGCCTTCGTTACCCTGCAATGGACTGGCAACCTGTCCATGGAGTACGCTGGCCTTTACCCAGAAGACTGCAGGAGATAGGGACCAGCTCTGCGTGATTCTGACAGACAAGCTGTACAGAAGATGGATGGATTGTTTGATGATATGTAGATGTTGCAATAAAAATTATTTTCAAAATTCTCTAAAAATATTTTTTTCAGGACTGACTGCAGAACCGCCTTCAGGGCCTACAACATGGGAAAGCCTTTGGACAGCCACATGGCAAGCTGGAAATTTAAGCATCATCTCAGATAAGCACAAACAGTAAATATATGGATTTCAGGTATTCAGCTTTTTCCAACTGCTCCATTTAGTCTGATTTTGCTCCACTCCACCATTTTTTAGACATTGTCATAACTGCAAATACTTTTTTTTCTGCCATCCTTGTTCAGGAGAAGGTACTAGCCCCAAAAAATGCTTTTGAAAAAGGGTAGCCCACCAGACAACAAAATTCAACCATGAATACACACTCACACCCAAGGCCAATCTAAAGATACCAATTACCCTACAGTCATGTTGGAGGAAGCTGGAATACCTGGAGGAAGCTGGAATACCCAAGCATGCACTGGTGACCTAGGCATAATGATCACAGTTGTAGTGGTTTTTCTGCATGCAGAAGAAAGTTTATTGCTGTTATGAACATAAAAAAAAAAATCACAAATGCAAATTCTTTATTAAAATATCTGTTTGCATATTTTACAGTTCTTATGTGCTCATTTTCAACCCACATAGCTGATGGCATACTAAGAAGTTAAACCATTTTGCTGATGGGTATGTCTTTAAATGGACTTAATTAGACTTTCAGGAATACCTAGGTAAGATAAAAAAGCACCTTTGGCTCCTGCTAAACTTGCATTTAGATAGATAGAGTAGTGCATATTCCACTCATTTCCACAAAAAATGAAAAATGACATGTTAAAATTCTAATAGCTTCTTCTACTACTATAAATGTTAAGATTCCATCTTCATAGGCTATTCAAAAGTTATTCTATACCTGTTGTCAAGCTAGATGTCTTCCTGTCATAACAAGAGGATCAAAGCCATATTTGTTGTGTGTCCAAATACATGCTCCTTTTATGAAACATACAGTATTATAAAAGCTATTGTTTATGAGTGCAGCTGCGAATAAGATTATCCAGTCCTGTCTTGTTGATTGTGCCGTATTCTTGGGTATAGCTGCCTAGTTTGGCCCGTGGGTCCCCAGCAGCAGCCACGTTACAGTTGTTCTGAAACACTTTTTTGCTGAACCGTGGCGGTGGACGAGCCTCTCGAGCCTGAGAACTGGGGCGCTGGTTCTGCATATAAAACCAGAGCAGCATGTTATTAGGTTTAGGAAGGAAAAAATAATAATAAAATGAAACAAAGGCTTTTTGCTCTTTTAACATTTTTCACCTTTGAAAGACTTGGTTTTGTTTGGTGTTATGGGATGACAGGAACTGAATATTGCATAATCTTAAAGTGGAAAGTATTCGATTTATTTGTATTTTTAATCAAATTCTTTTTAAAAAGAAGGTATATTTATGTATTCAGCCCACTAAACCAATACTTTGCACTACTTTTTACTGTAATTACAGCTTCTTAACTAGCTATGGACATCTAGAGTATTTTTAACTACTATTGCTTTGAAAAAAGTTATTGCCATAAATTCTCAGTTATATTAAGGTCTGAACTGTTTAATCTATATCAGGGATCTACCCCCTTTATAAACCCAAATCCTTCTTCAGTCCAGGTGTATCTAAACTGTTTAGAGCCACAAGTTTAAATTGTGTTTTGAAAAAAGCAGTTTATATTCTTTTGATAAAATCTACTATAGCAAATTTGCTGTATTAGATAAAAAACATTCTATTTCTTAGGTTTTGAAATAATGAGATAATTTTGTGATATTTTGGTATTTGGCATGTTGATATTTTTGGAAAATATGAAAACAAAAAGGGTTGAAAGGTTCCAACTTATAACAATAGGAAAAAAAAACATCATTGGTAGTTTTAATGACATTTTTGTGTTGTCATTCCTAGTCTAGTAGAAACGGCTGCACCCTAGGTGCACCAATGAGTGTTCCCACAGATCCCTTCTCCCTTCAGCTGTTAGAATTGATCAGCATCGGCTCTAATAAACAATTAACATTAGCTCTAATAAAAAAAGTAACTGTGACCAGCTTGCTTCGCTTCATTTTAGAAGAATGATGCTTCCATGGTTACAAGCTGCATGCTCAGCTACTACGGTAGTTCTACCGTCTTCATTCTCTCAAATTCTCTCAAATGAGGCATGGTTCTTTGCAGCTCCTCCAAAGTTAACATGCTTCTCTGATTTCCTTTATCAGCTGGAATGCATTTACTGACTTTGAAACTATTTTTAAATGAACTGAATTAAAAATATATTTCTCTGTGTAAATTCTCAGTCATCAGGGTCATGAGTTGTAATATGTCTGTAATATATTCTGTAATATATTTCCCTATCTAAAATTTCATATATCAACTGAATTTAAGCAACAAGGCATGGTTGCACTTTGTGTTATTTAGGAAAATGGGGGTGGGAGTGGGTGATGCGCTGAGGTCTAAATTTAAGCTGATTCTTCTCCGAGTTTTAACTGTTAGACATTTTTTCTAAAATTATATATCTTTTTCCACCTACTTCACAATTATGTGCTAATTTGTTTTAGTATTTCACTAAAAAATCTCAATACAATCCACTTAAGACAAAAGTTTTAAAGAATATTTTGCAGTTAATTTTGCATTTCTAAATTTCTGCATTTCCCACAACCCAGCATTAGATAAAGCTTGGAAGCAATAACAAGGTGATGATAAACCTACCAGTCGAGCTGAAGAGATATGCAGCCCAGCAGCTAAAGATGTCTCATCTTTACGGACTAGAGGGTTGTTTTTGGTTTGGTTTAAGGCCCAAGAGAAGGAGCGGTTGTGAACCACAGCAGTTGAACGACCCCGCTGGAGAATCTGATCCATGGACTAGGAAAAAAATAAGATGAAAAGTGAGGCTAAAGCTCAGATAAAACCTATGTGAAAACATTACTTAAAAATAGACAAAATAAAAAAACTTAACAGAAACAAATTAGAGTTATAAAACAGACGATGGAGTAAAACTAGATGGAGAAGGCACTGAAGTATGCTGCTTACTACCATGACACTGCTGCACTCTGCTGGTGGTTTAATAGGAGTCTCATTTCTGGCTTGTCTGGCTGGGGTCCTGCTGGTTGCAGAACAATGAGGGGCCCGGATAAAAGCAGCATCTGGGTGGATGAAAACACAAGTATGACTTTTCTTCCCTGAGACAATGGAATGTAACAAGAAAAATACAATTTTTTTCAATTATTATAAACTATTTTAGAAATATCTTTGGTCAAAAACAGTGTAAAAAAGCTAAAAAAAATACTTACTTGGAGCATGAGTAATTGGGTTATACGTCAGTTTTCTTGAGCTGTGTTCATTTAGTGCATTCGTGTTCTCCATAGCAGATGAAGTAGATGCATTGGCAGCCTCTGCTTTAGTGGCCCCAGTATGTAAAGACTCATGGTTGGTCTCGCCTTCCTCCTCTTTGGACTGTTTCCCTTCTTCATTAGATGTTGCAGCTACAGGGCTTTTCTCTCCCTTCTCACTCCTTGTACTCTTTTTCTCTACACAGTCAGCATTGTTTGGTAGCCCAAACATCTTTTGATGCGCTCTCCTTTCAAGTATCATCTGAAAAGCAGTAGACTGAACCTTAATAACTGATCGAATAAGCTTTAACAATATCAGATGACACACTGTTTTATTGCAGAAATTAGTTAATCACCTCATATAGTTTGTTTCGGTACTGAACCACAGATAATTGCACATCATCGTCCACTGCCAGCACTACATCATAACCAAGAGCTGGTTCTTTGGCTGGATTATGGAACCTGGAGAGATAGAAAACTCTGTTGTAGCAATTATCATTTCCATCTTTAGAAAATATGCAATTGATATGTCACTGTCTATTGCAATAAAAATATTCATAACAAATGCCCATTGTGATTACTGCTTTTTTAGATATCATGGTTCTGACTAATCCTTTGGTATTGAGCATTTTAGCACTATTTTCATCTGTGTCAGATGAAGGGCCTCTACTGCAGAGGGACTCCATCTGAGTGGCTGAACATTAATGCATGATGCTTTTATCCACATTTATTTTTACCTGTTGTAAAAAAAAAAAAAAAAAAGCTTCAAAATAAATTGTTCCATTAAATTGTAAACTTACCCTATGCTATATGTACATAAATCTTATAACCAAACATCACTGATTTTTTTTGGGCTTAAGACTTTCAAAGACATTTATTTAGCGGTACGAAAATACAATGATAACAAAATATATTCCTTTTTTTTCTAGAAAACCTAACTAATTTAGTATCCCCTTAATTTTTAAGTACACTTTCTGTTTAAGTTCATGTTACTTTTTCAAACTTTCTATGAACTTTAAATTTATTAACTCTTCTCCTGTATGTAAACATGATATAACTCTTCAAAATGAGAAAGACAAGAGAGCATGTCAATGGAGATGGGCAGATGTTAATGATTATAAGAAATAAGGAATTAGCTACAAGAATCAAAGTTGTTTAAGGCTCTTTTTGAAGAGGATAAAAAAAAACTTCAAACCTAAGTGCAGCAAATTAAATTCATTGTGAAGTGGTATTGTTGCAATAAAATTGTTTTTTTTTTTATTAATACCAAACAATGTTAGCTAAAAATATTAGTATTTGCCACACTGACACTGTAAATAAAGATATTGTTTTCACAAGCCTACTGGGAACTAAAATGCAAAGACACTGGAAAATCTAATAAAGTACAAAAACTGATGTAAAAACTGTACAAATCAGCATCAGAGAGAACAAATAAGTATACTTAGAAATGTGTTTTATTAAAATATACCACAACTCATCAAAGTAGGCAAATAACCTAATATTGTTTTCATGTGGAAAAACTTAATCATGCTATTGTGGTTACAGCATAAGTTTTAATACCTGGCTACGTATGGGTGTTGAAGGGCCTGCTCAGCAGTCAGACGTTTGTCTGGGTTAAAAACTAATAAACCCTTCAGCAGGTCAAGAGCATCAGGAGGCACGGATGGTTGGAGAATATCCTCCAAACGCACCTGAGGTCTGGTGGGAGACAGACATATGAGCCGTAGAAACAAATTTGCTAGAAATTACGCAGCAGAAAGCATGACAACAACTGTGAGTTATCCAAATATGAACTGTTCCACTAAAATGAAAGTTGGGTGATAGATGTTTGATCTAGATTAATTCCTGCTGCATCAACACATCTCTAATCCTGCCCTCCAATACTAATATTTTATATTATAGTCCCTGGTGCTGAAATTGTTTCAAAACCATTAATTTTTATGTATTGTTTTTTGTATTTCATATGACATATTAGCACAAAGTAGAACAAATAATAAAACCTAAATATTATTTGTATTGAGCTCCCTTTTTAAGATATTTTAGAACAAAATCTATTGTAACCTACTGCCTTTAAAATCCCCTACGATGGTAAATAGAGACACAAAGGTCAGATGAGAAAAATCTAAACTGAACATCTCTAAGTGGTAAACTCAACACGCCCTACAAGAAGAAAGCCAAAACAATCCCTGCTTGTAGTTTGCAGCTAGTCTAGAAGCAAATATATGGAAGAAGGGGCTTTGGTTGGGTAAGGAAGACCAGTTTTTAAGTTTTTGGCCAACATGGAAAACATATTTAGTGGCTAAAAAATTAACAATGCAAATCATGCTGAATATTTTTTAGGAATAATTCTTTGTTATACGTGTAAAAAGACTAATAACTGAGTCCGGGGTTTACCTTCCAGCAGCACGATCAGCTTTTACAAACAAAATATAACTGAACTTCAATTATAGTGAACATTTTCATTCTTTATAGGCAGCTGTACTTGTAGAGAGAAGCATCTCTAAAAATATATAAAACAGCAGAGATAAACACGAATGAAGATCAAACCTTTCCAGAATTTAATACCATATGTCTTTTTTTCTCGTATTATCATGAAATACTGTGGGTTAAAAAAAAAAATTCAAACAAAAAACTCCTAATAAAAAGAAATTTATATTTTGGATGTAGCATGAAAAATTGCAGAGGTGTGAATACTTTTGCAAAGCATAGTACTCCGAAACTTGATGCTTCACATAGAGACAATATAATTCTAAAATTACATAGAATTAATACAGTTTCAAATCCATGTGGGGTAAATAAATAATTTTAAACATACAGAGCAAAGTAACAGCCTTACTTCAGCAACATTCTCTGGATGACAGAGGATCCATATTCAGACTTGATGGCCAGAATATCTGGAATTACAGACTTTTATTCAGTATTAACCAAAAGAAGGTTGATAAGCATATGGTGTTTGAACATCATCAGGTACCTTCAGGACTGGGGTGAAGTATGGCACACATGATCTTCTCTATTTGGTTGATGGTTGAAGTTCCAGGAAACAGCGCTTTTCCCAGGAGCATCTCTCCCAGGATACACCCGAGACTCCACATGTCCACACCTTTGGTGTACCTTTGGACAAGATTTCAATTTATACAGATTAGATGGAGAGCCTCTGTAAATACCACAGATTTGCAATAAGATTTAAGGTTTGGAGTTTGATTAACTTCTAACACTTAAACATCCTTTGCTGTAAACCATTTCATTTAAATTTAGGCTGCATGTTTAGGGTTATTGTTCTGCTAGAAAGGTTCAAGTTTCAGGTCTGCTAACAGCTTTTTTAGATTGGTTCATCATCATATAAATCATCATTTTAATCATCTTTATTCATATTGTGCTTTAAAACAGCTACAGTAGAAAACAAAGTACTGAAAATAGCTAAAAATAGCAAAACAAAATAAAATACAGCATACAAATATAAAATAAGGCAAAAATAAGAAAGCTAAATTGACAACTTCACAACAACTAACTCCTGCCAGTGTTAAAAGCCAGTGAATAAAAGTAAGTCTTGAGTTGTGTTTTAAAATTTTGGCAGGGAAGGAGCCTCCCTAATGTAATTTCCCAATTTAAAATCACCGCCCACCTTGAAACCCAAGTTTGAAACGGTCGATTTAAAATATGGGGTCAGGGGTCCTAGGTCTATAGTTGTGGAGTTGCAAAGACGATTTGGCCCAAAAACACCATCACCTCAGTTTTCTTCTCATTAAAATTTGAAAAGTTCAGGGCCAGCCAGGATTTAATGTCGTCTAAACAGTCCAATACAGATATCACTAAAAAAGCCATCTACATGCTTTAGGGGCAAATAGATTTGGCATTCATCAGCATAAAAATGGAAATCAAGCCAATGTCTTCTCAGTATGGAACCAAGTGGCAGCAAATACAGAGAAACGAGAAGGGGCCCTAAAATTGAACCTTGTGGGACCCCGTAGGATAGAGAAGCCCTAGTTGATTTGACGTTGCCAACTTTGACACAGAAAGTTTGTCGGTCAGATAAGATCTGAACCAGTTAAGAGCTGTGTGCTGGATCGCTACTAATTGATTCAGACGTGTTATCAGAATATGATGGTCAACCGTGTCAAAAGCAGGCTGTCATGTATTGTCACCATGATCTCCCATCAGCCCTGACTAGCTTACGCATAATTAACTTATGTGGCAAATGGTTTTGGGCTGAATGAATTTTTTGTCTTCAGTCACATTTGTATGCTACTTTTTGTCTGTCTCATAAAATCTAAAAAACAATACACTGATGTTTGTGGTTATAATGTGACAAAATTCAAGAGTAGGGGTTAAAACTTTGCGAAGGACTTTAGATATTTTGCCAAGCTAAGCATTAACACTGTATTGAATTTTTGATCAGCAATCTACACTATTTCTTTAAATATGTTAAACTGAAATGGCTAGATGCATTTCAGCAGGCGACAACAGATGCCGGTCACAGCTGATACCTTGTTGATCCCAGCAGGATCTCAGGAGCCCGATACCAGCGCGTAGCCACATATTCTGTTAGAGCTGGGTTCCCGCTGTCCTCTTGGATCTGGTTGAGAGATCTGGCTAAGCCAAAGTCACAGATCTTAACAACGCAGTCAGTGTCCAGGAGTATGTTGGAGGGCTGCAGGTTTAAGAAAAAAAAAATCTTGTAACTTCAAGGTTTAGGTATGGGGATATTTGCTCATTCAAGTTGTTTCATAGTGCTGTGACTTTAGATAAAATGAAATGTGAATACCGGTATGTTTCATGGGATTCTCACTTTTTGGTCTCGGTGAATAACATTTCCTGAATGGAGGTACTTGTTGGCCTTGAAGAGCTGGTACATCACATAACGCTTGTGGATATCCTTGAGAAGAGAGCCTTTCTTAATTACAGCGTGCAAGTCTGTATCTGGGACAAAAAGCAAGGAGGAAAACTATCAACCTGCAGCAATACTTTAATATATATGACACAGTTCTAGTTGCTGATCAGTCCTGGTTTTTAAATATATAATATGAATGTATCACATATGATTGAACAGTTGTCAGGAATCGGAAAAACAAAAAGACAGGAAACCAAGCCAGGATATCCTTCATAGGTATTTGAGTTTATGTACTTAACAAGACCTGAAAAATATTTAGGGTCTGATCTTAAAAGATTCCAAATAAGAGGCGCAAAATTGCAAGTGCATTTTTTTTTTTTTTTTTTTATAAAAGCAGTAACTGGGCATGTTGCAGGTGATCTCCAAAGATCGCCGCACAAATATTAAGACAAACAATCTGATTTGGTTCCATCCACTAATATAAGCAGATTGTGCGATTTACTGACAGTTTTGGAGAGTTCAGCAAGAGAAAGAGGAGGTTTAAAGCCATGGAGATGGCGGTAACAATGATTATTTTTCAAAAAAATAATACTAAATCATATTTATTGTGCACCACGTAGCCTAGCTCAACTTCCTATGAACAAAAGTAAAAAATACAAAACAAAATCACATAGCTCTGCTTTGTGCAAATCCCTGATAGGAGATCTGCATTTTTAGCCCCCCACCCCATGTATCTTTGCAGGGTCTTTTGCGTTGTTTCTCTATATTAGTTTGTGCCCACTGGCATAGGGTTTTTCTTTATTAATTTTCTTTATTGATCCCAATATGCTAACATTGCACAAAATCTCTCTGTTGTCTCTCATTGTACCAATGCCTCCTTGTGGCAACAATGACAGCAGATATTTTTATGTGCCAGTTTACACCTGACTTTCAGAAGGACAAACAAATGCACAAAAACTGCTGACACATTAATGTTGGCTTGTATATTTGTTTTGCAGTTTGTATACGTTTACATTAGCTTATTCCCCACCCATGAATTTGCAAAGTTTTGTCATTAAAATAGGATTTGCATTTGATGAAGGCAAACGCACAAAAAAGGTTTGCACACCCTGTCGGCTGAATTGACCCATTTTAAGACATGCAGGCCTTCTGAAGGTCAAGCCCTTAGTTTCCATCCTTGACCGGACTTTTTCAAACTGTGTAAAAAAATAAATAAATAAAATTTAAAAAAAAAAGCCATCCTGACGCATTCACACAGTAAGCTGTGTTGGACATCCTCCAGCGCTATGAGTCAGCTTGATTTATTTTTACTAAGGAAATTTGTCTGATCTTACACGTTGAACCATACTAATAATACATACCCATGTATTCAAAAATGAGATAAATGTCTTTGTCATTTTGGGCTCGGATGACATTTAACAGCTTGATGATGTTGGGGTGATCGCCAAACTCCTGCATAAGGATTACAATCTTTAGTACCAGAACCACAAGCAAGCCACTTCTGACCTAAAGTAACCTGCAGGTGAGGCTACAGCCCTGTGCAGTGCAAATAAAAGGTAGAGTGACGACAGATTTATATGTGTTCTGCACTAATGCACAGCACTGGAAGGTATAGCAGTGCATGATTACTTATACACAAATGGCTTTTTATGAAAAACATTCCACTAACTAAACATTTTTATCACATTAGATGATAAAACAACTGCTGACTAATGGATACTAAGCATTGATGAGCCACAACAATGTTAGACTCATTGTAAAAGTAGTGTTTTATGTTCAATGTTTTATTTAAACCTCTGTATGATTGTTACCTGGAGAAACATGATTTCCCTGAATGTCCGCTGTAAAAGAGAAAGAAAAATCACACATGAACTATAGGAAGCAATGAACTAAGTAAATACAAGCCTCTAGCTCTAATTAATAATTAGCCGTCTTCCTCAAAGGTGAAAAAGGAATTTAATAAGAACAGCTGTATTCAAGGTCAGTAGTTTTAATCTTGGACAGTGAACAGTCAAGCAGATTTCATCTCCAAAGGATAACATTTTAATATGAACTTGATTTGTACTGTGTTTTTTTTTTTTTTTTGCTTATGTATTTGATTTCACAATAATTCAATTTACAACGAAAACCTGCTTTTCCTCACCTGAGCATCTGTCCGGTTCCTGAAAGCGTCAAAGATTTTTTTCACCGCTACAGTCTCCCCTGTCTGTCGGTCAGCCGCTTTCCATACAATACCATAAGCCTGAAACAGAAAGGACATTCAGTCAGGCCATTTCTCACCCCTTTCAGTTTGTTTTTCTAATGTAAAGGGAATTCTATTCAATATAAAGTATCCAACAAATATATGCGTGCTTATGAAGAAAGACAAAACAACAGACTTGATTGTTGCTTTAACTCTGAATTAAAAATGTTTTAAGTTTATTTATATGTACTTCATGACAGTTATTTTAAGTCTACCTTATGTTCTAGTTGTAATCTCCAGCAGGGAGAGGAAAACTTCCCACAACTTAAAGAAATAGACTCCTGGACAAAAAACTTGTTGAAATTGTTCTATGGTTTGTTACAAAAAACAGTAGTTGTTATTGATTGTGTTTCTTTTTTCACTCTTGGTTACCTTTTCTGATTGTTTTTAGTAAGTCTTTTGGGTCTTAATGTCATGATCTGTGCTTGATCATTTTATATATTACCTGCACCAAGTCCTACCTATACAAAGTAGTGTACAATTATAAAATGGAAAAGAAAGGAAACTAAAAACACTGATGAAAACATTCAGGTCTGCATTTTTATTCTGTCCCTACATTTTTGACTACTTCAAAAAAGAAAACAGTACATCAATGTGATGTCAATATTAAGATTAGCTCTATAATCTGTGATTTTCAGTGAGATTTAAAAAAGCTTTAGTGAAAAGAATAAGGAGGAACACTAGAAAACCATTATTCATGGTCTCATTTAGCCTTGCAAATAAGAGAAAGGTCAAGAAGAAAGCTATCATTGGTGTAAAACCATAAGAAGTCCTGTTGCAGTTTCTCAGGAATAAGTCGGCACTCTGTTCAGATGACAGCAATGATTGACTTTTCATGGCTACAAGGAGAACACGTGATCCTGAATATATCATCCGCATGATGGTGAACAGATGAAGAGGAAACTTCCTGGCATCTGGGCAGGAGGGTTACCTCAGATACGTTCATAACGACCGAGGCAAAACTTAGACTTGAATCAATTAAAGAATTGAACAGTTCTGGATTTATAGAAACAGGAGATTTCAGCAAAAGTACACATTTTAGTGATGAGATTCACACAGAACTGGAGGCTCTTTGAGTCAGACAAACGGCTGCAGAAAGAAAATCATATATTTATGTACAATAGCTGTTTGCTATTGTAAATATCATGCATAGTGTCTAAATCTAGTTAAAGTGTTTCTAGCTTCACTAAGCATTGCACACAGCTGCTGCGCCACAGGTCATCTGCAAACATGAGTCACAGCCACATCTAGTTTAAGGAGCTGGCACAGGTCCACACAGCATTTACCAGCAGGCTATATGAAAAGAGAGCATCTAATTGTGAATCTCTTAGGACCGTTAATGGTGAGAAACCAGCTTGTTAGTTCCATTGTCTGCAACTGGAAAGGAAAACAAAGGCTTGTACAGACTGTTCTTAAACACGCATAATGATCTGCATAGAAACAAAATAAACCACGTGCTTGCAACACATGGATTTTAAGTCTAGAGAATCTCAGGAAGTTTTTAAACATGATCTCAAAAGAAAGCTGGAAATATTGTAATGCATTAAAAGAACCATTGCTGTAATTTTTTTCCCAGTTCAATAATTTCCGTTTTATCATCATTTATTTAGGGATATGGGTTGTACCTAAAACATTTTTCTAAGACTCACCCCTTTTCCAATTCTCTTCTTGATCTCATATCTGAGTGAAATATGCTCCTCCACTTCTGACATGTCTGCCGACTCATACTTTTTGCTCATTTTGCGTTTGTCCAGCTGCACTTGAGCTTCACATAGAAACCATCATCCCTCTCCTGGTTTACTCCTGTGGGAATCTAGCCAAAAAAAGAAATAAAAAAAAACAGATGGCAAACGGTTAGGGGTGCCTGCCCGGGTCAAATGTACAGCAATCGCTCGTTTTCCAGTGTATATTTTATTAATGCCACTGTGTAGAACTACGGTGGGATTACCTGGTAACTCTTTTGTCCGTTCAGACGCTGCTTTTAACAACTTCGGTTACCGCCTATCAGAAAGAAAGTCAGCTTTTATCCCCTGCTAGCGACTCTAAGCGTCTCGATTTAGCATAATCTACTATAATTTAACGTCAACTCTGGCTGTTTCTGCTCCGCTACGTGTTTTTTTATGGTCACCACTCGTCGTCATGGTAACAAGAACGCTGAAGTCTAGTTCTTAAAGGGGCCGCAGCTCAACAAAAACAAAACAAAACAAAACAAACAAAAAAAAAACTACATGGCTTTGTGTTTTTAGAAAAAAACAAAAACAAAAAACAAACAAACAACAACAACAAAAAAACAACTACATGTCTTTGTGTTTTTGAAAAAAAAAAAAAAAACCTACATGGCTTTGTGTTTGTAGAGCAAAAAAACATACAAAAAAACCTACATGGCTTTGTGTTTTTAGAACAAAAAGGAAAAAAAAGCATTTTTCCAGGGTAAAGAGCTTGACAGATTTTTTTTTTATGTATATCTTGAATTTTGTGATTATACGTTGGAGGAGAGGTTTAAGAATGTATAAAATTCCCAAAGTCCTTTATTTTGGGCACTACCATATTACCACTGCTGTGCTCTTTGAGTGTGAGTGATTCTTTACGAGCAGAAATCTCAATGAAAGGTTAAAAACTTTTATGTCTTAAGAAAGAAATTTACCAAAATAACTAGCAGTCACATACGCTGTTTTCTTTGTTTAGAAAGATCCATACATGATTCTTGTAACTATATAGACTAAACGTTTCCTTATCTATCTTAAAAGCCCTTAAAAAAACACATTTCCTTTCACCTGGTCAGTCGCAAATTGTTGTAAGTAGTTACTGGAGGGTCCGTTCTTGAGCAGTGTCCATTTATTCAATTTATTGTGGTTAAAACTTGGACTCAGTTGTCTGTATCAAACTGTGAACTATCCTAAAATGAATCAAAAAGGCTTTCAAAGGGGATTAACAAATCAGCATTAGGGTTAAAAAATGATCCCAACTTTCATTAATACCAATTGTTTTTATGGTGTATGCCTAAAATTTGGGCCTGTTCAACAACATCAATATTTCTCTTTTTCCATATCTGGGAGGAATTATGCAAAGTGATTTAAGACGCTTACATTAAATTGATTATTTATAGCATCCTGGAAATGGAAAGCCAGATTCATGCCTAAAGCGTATGCACTCATTAGAATTTAAACTGTACTGGTACTTCAATTTAAGATGTCCAAGATGATTGTAATCTCCACACCGTGATGTCATTATTCACGTCATAAAAAACTTGTAAAATATTCCCATGAACCTCTAAACACATCTATTGACATTACAGCATAAAAAAATGAATCACTTTAAATTTATTTTTACAAAGGTGCTTTTATTTAAAAATCAACACTACTATATACAGTACAATGATACATCTTCATAAACATGTTTTCCTTGATGCTGTTGTCAAGGTTGCAATGTTTTATAAAGCAACATGTGTTTTTCCACAGAGATGTCAACCTATATTGTGAGAAAACTTTCAAAATAAAATGTGGATTAGACATGTTACAGTAAGACAAACATTAAAGATCAAATAATTAAGTCCCCCCTAAAGTTAAATACATGAGAAGTTAAATAATCAACAAATAGTATATTATTTTTTTGGAGAAGTGATACAATTCAGGAGAAGCAGCCTGAGACTAATACTTTTAGTCTGCAGATGCTTTTAGAGGGCCCTGACATGAAAAAATATATGTATATGAGATGAAAATGGCAAACAGAACAAACCCAAAAGTATTCAAACACAATACAGATACTCTTATTATATGGTATTGGGCTGCTGAAATTTTTCAAAACAGTTCTTTGTTAATGCTTTGCCAAATCTGTAAACTGCTCTGCTATGGTCAAAATGCAGAGCCAGAAAGATACAGAAGGCAGCATGATGTACCACTATCAGGGAGCATTACAAGGCAGGAGGATCCCAAAGATCCAAACCTAACAAAATAACAGAAAGTAGACCTAAAGAAGGGGGTAACAGAGTGGGTGAAAAACTATCCATCTATTTATTCACTCCCTGCAGGGAAAAGTAGCGTTCTATTTTCAACTTATCCAGAGATCTAAAAATTAAGATCTATGACAGATAAAAGTTTTAGGAGGAGTGGAGGAATCGGTTGAAGGCGTTGTAGGCCGACTCCAAATCGAAGAGCATCTGCCGAACCTGATTATCATCCAGTTCATCTGAGGCAGACATACCGCTGAGAGTGGACAACCTGAGAGACAGTAAAAGAGAAAACAACCACTTCATGCTGTCCTTCCTCCATTCAAAAATAAACCTTTTATTATGAGCAAAAACATAACGATTCACTCTAGTTTGTTATGCATTAAAAAAACAAGACATTTTACAGAAATAGAAATTACTGTATCAGTCAGGAGTTCACACACATAGTTACTGACTTATTTGAAGGATTTTTTCATGCAAACATGACCAATTATATATCTTTTCTATTAAGACAACTGTCCTAAGTTATTTCTGCCAATTTTCATAAGAGAAGTTGTCAAAAGAGCCACCAAGAACATGCTGGAAGCCTGTTAATGCCAGGAAAAATGTGTGGTTTCTTGTAAATTTGCTTGGAAAATTTTAATCAAATATGAAAGGAAGTGTATTTACATATTTGAGCCTATATGTACAACATTTTCTTATCAATTTCTTTGTTACACATGTAAAACATTTAACAATAAAAGTTAATTCAAAATACTTCATTAAAGTCATAGGGAAGAGGCTGTTCCAACGGTTGTAGTTCCGATTTCTCGCGAATGATGCCTGACTTTACATGAGGTTCGCAAGCAAGTTTTGTTGTGGCCGGTGTCTCGGAAGCACCTTGCTGACCAGTTAGCAACTTAGTGCTAGAAGGTTCCCGGTGGGAAATTCCATTGGGACCAAGTAGCACTAAGCAACGTCACTGTCAAGGAATCCTATGGACAGCGAAAACATGCAAGAGGAAAGTTTTGTGTCGGAGGTCGTGGATGAGTCTCCTCCGCCATACATTTTTTATTTAGAGGAGGAAAGCGGGGACGAACATGTTGTGGAAGAGGACGCCAGGGTGGCAGAAGCTTGGTTTGGTGTAGAAGGCTTACAGCCATACATGTTTGAGCCCTTGCCTCGCAACGCTGCCAGTTCTGTTAGCTCTACGCCTGCCGAAGACACAGACGTCCATCCCCGTGAACAATGGGGAGGTAACTCTATGGTAAAGTGAATTGATTTTTATTTCCTACTTCAACCGTTGCGTATATTAGGTGTAACATATGAATCAAGATGCTATGACCGAGAAAATTTGATTGACAGATGACCGTTAACTGCCATAGGAGCCAATGGCTGTATCAATAATCCTCACTGAACCTTACCAGAGATTCACTTTGTCCTTAGCCTCTGAGTCTGGAGGCATGTTGCTCATCCTATTCATGGTTTCCATCAGCTCTCTCAGGTCTGGTTGGATCTGTAGCAAGATAAATAACCACAGTAAACTAATTTCCACTTTTGAACGTCTCATAGCATGTAGGTATGAGTATATTAAGTCAGAAGTACCTCATCCATGGCTCTGATCTCAAGTCTCAGCTTGTCCATAACAGTGATGAAGAGCTAAGTTTAAAAGATGATAGAACAGTTAAAGGAGACAGACAATAACAAATAAATTACTAGGGAAATGTCCGAAAATCCGATACATTGATCATGCTAAAGACATACAGAAACTATATCTGCGATACAACGGTTCTGGTTGCCCTTGTCATCTTTGATGGTAATTGGCCGATCCTCCTTAATCCTCTCCATTGCAAGAGGGCAGTCGAGCTAAATCAATAAATTACAATTAGAGTTAAATCTAAGTTGGGAAACTTCAAAATCAAGTAACAGTTAAAAAGGAGTCAAAAATAATCAAAGACGTCTACTTACTCTGTATTTCCTGCAAAATTCATCAATGGAGCCCACATCAGAGCCTTGGACCTGTTTGAAAGCAGCTTTATACTGAACCAAGAGTCTGGAGCATGCAGCTGTGTACCTAAATCAAAATCCCAAGATTAACAACACATACAGACGTAGTGAAAAATAAATGTGTTAAGCTGGAGTGGAGTGTCTTACTCATTGGGGGATACACAGTCTTTGATGTAAGCCTTTTCCAATGCCTGCAAGGTCTTTACAACGGCAAACAACTCTGCCATGTTGTCATACCTTAAGACATGTCACAGATAAAATGTTACAGAGATGATCTGTTTACCTTATCTTCAACAACCTTGAATTAAAGGGACACCTACTTTTCTCGTTCCCGTGCATTTTTGTAAAGTTTGACTTCCTGAAATATAAGAGGTTAGGTCAACGATTTATTATTGCAGTGACAAATTTTTCTTTACAAAAACAAATTGTCTAAAGCTCATAAATTTAATTGAAAACATTAAAACAAAACAGGTTCTTAAGGTTTTTCTTTCACATTTACGCAATAATCTAACTAACTTACCTCGTACAACTCAGGTTTATTAGCTGGTGCTGTGTAGAGAAAATTGATGAAGTTGAGTAAAATATTAGAAATGAAAATACAGATTTATTATTCCTAATTAAATCATTAAAAATGATATTGAACCATATCTTACCTGCCCCTACTCCTCCGCTGCCTGCTATTCCATGAAACATGATGTCGATGTATCAAACGTTGGCCTGAAAAAAATTTTTTGTATTTCACATTGTAACATAAAACAATGATAATCAATAAATTGTATGCAGCTTTTTTTTTTATTCAAAAGGTTTAGTATTTATGGTTGTTTAAAAGAAAATTTTAGTCAACTGTTGAAAACTGAACAATCTACACACAAAACAAATAACACCCCTGTGTTTAGGAAATCACGTTTCTCTTTTTATTTCTATACGTCTATTATATACTCCAATCTCTAATAAGGTTAATAACAAATCCCTTACCAATTATTAAGACTAAACAACAAGCAATGGAAGTAAACAAAACATTTTCTGGGATTACCATAAGTTTAAGTACGACTTTAGAACAGCCTTTAGTCAATTAACACACAAAATAAATCATGACATATTATGTGTTATTTACTTTGGTAATATATTTTAGCAAGGTAAATTATTTTGTCAAATTTAAATAGTGATTCTTGACTGTATTATATAAATAAATTAATTATCTACAGGGCTTGGCAACCAAACTTTAAAGCCTTACTACATAAAGAAATAAATCTGGCTAGAAAAATTGACCTATGTCAACCGTGTTATCAACCACTGAGTGATTTATATATAAAATATAGGGAATTTGTGTCCCTGTGTTTTTACTCTTTGTAACATTCGTTTGTTTGTTACAAACGGAGCGACCAATAACAGTTGTTATGCAACGTTATATTAATATGTTTTTTTTAGGTTTTCATCGGATGTATCTTCAAATCTTGGCCTGGCGAAAAACTGTAGAGAAATGTACCGATCTTAGCATGACAAATGCATTCCCCGGAAAGACATAACTATATAATTGTTTCTTTAAAAAAAACAGAAGTATTATCCTAATGTTTGTGATCCATTTTGTACAAAACGACATTTAATTTAGACGTCGAAACAGTCGAAGCTAACTCGTTAGCACTTCCTTAATGTACTTGTGAGCTTTAGCTCCGAGACTTAACTGCTTTTAATCATCAAACAACATATAAAAACGTGTATGATGGTTAAAAAAACATTTCAACTTCGAAATATGTGTTAGCATCAAATAAAAAGCTTATTAAAGACAAAAATATACTAACTTTACTCACCGGTTTAGTAAAATGCTATCGATGTAAACACACCCCGAGGCGAGGACTGGCTTACGTCAAAGTAATTGGTGGCCATCGCGCCTGTAAGAAAATGTCTAAAAGTATGAATTTTCTATATAAACTTTAAAGGATATTCATTATTTTATTTATTTCACAAATTTATATATGAAGAAAAACACTTTTTTTTGGCGAGTTTTAAATTAGCTGTGTTTTTAAACAGGCAAACGGCACAGGCAGCTTTTCGATAAGGCGGCAGAAACAAAACTGAAGCGATTGAGCAAAAATACCTCTCTTCATTATCAAAGTTGGGTAAGTTGAATAATTTATTGTTCAGCTTATTTTAGAAATGAGGTTTCTTTAACTTAACGTCACGGTTCTAAAGGGATATAAACATTTGAGATGAGACTAAACATCAAGATGCGACTCTAACGCGAGGATGTCTGTAAGCTGTCATTTTAAGAAAATGTTTTTTCCTCTTGTTTGTGTAGAAAACGTTTTTAGAGAAAATAATGTAGAGTGGCATTTTAATAGCGATAGCGGTGTTATTTCTATCCTCATTTTATTATTTTCATTTAAAGTAATTCATTCTTTTTTTTTATTATACTACACATGCAATAGACGTCCTTTTTGCTTATTCGATTGTTTTAATCACGTTTTGCATCATTTTATAGTCCATTATAATCTGTGATAATTTTGTATTTTTTAATTAAATTATGTACCTCATGATTCAATGTATTAAAAGTGTTTTTTGAATGCAAAATGTTTTTCTTTGTATATCCCTATCTGTATCTTCATTTTTTTTAGAGCATTTCCATGGTTTCTCAATATTATATAGCATTTTATTGTAGTTTTCTTTATTTTCAAACAAGAAGCAAGCACAAGCAAGCTTTAATAAAACATTAGTTATTTTATTTTTTTTAAATAAAATATTTCTATCAATATGAATAGTAATATATATATTTTTTTATTTCTTGTTTCTCTGTAAATAAAGTCTAACTGATTGACTGACTGAAGTATTAAACTATATAAAGCAGCGGAAATATGATTATAACCATGGCCCCCAAAAGGTAAACGTGAATCCTGTTAGGATCATTATTGCTGTAATAATTATCTGCTAATGTGTATGATGTAAAATTTGATGATGTGGCAGACTGGAGATGTATAAAATGCCTTTTTAACTGTTAATCGGGGCCACTTCCTGAGAGGTGGGCCCAGAGCTGAGCAGCTGCCATTCTCTAAACCAAAGCGATTTCTCTGATCTGAGTAAGATTACAATTTCTATCAAAATATGTTGTCATGTCTCCTGTTATTTAAAGAGTTTATCCTGAGTGATCTCTTTTCAGGGAAAAGAACCGGAGAGATAGAGCATCAGGGTGCATACACAGAGCCTATCTTTAATAATCCTTCCTGAATGTTTTGCAGATATTTTTTCCATCATGAAAACCTCTAAGGCAGCACCACAGAGCTCACCACAGGCAGAATGTGGAGTTTGGTTGGACACAGTGCAGCTGAAAGCAAAGGTTAAACAGGTGATGATGATAATAGATGTTTTCTACAGAAATGTAATCCTTACCTTGGTTTCCTCTCTTACTCTTTTTTTTTTTGATAATTCTTTTTATTTTTCAGAAACACCCTCCCCGTCCTATCTCTAAACTGCTGAATCCTCTGGCTGAAGGTTACAGTTTAGCTGTAGCACTAAACTTCACTCAAACCAAAATGGAGATGCCAAAGACTAAACAGAGCACCATATCAACTTTTTTCTCGCCTAAGCAAAGAGGTAAGCAGCCAGCTACTCGTTAAAAGGTGCATTTTTTTACACAAATAAAGTTCATAATGAAAAAAATATTGCAGAATACTAAGAAGTATGACATTAAGTGTTTTCCATGTCACTATTCTTATGTTTGATAGACCTCCATCAAAAATTGTAATAACTACTTTACAAAATAGTTTTATTTCAAAGAATAAGTGCCTTTTTGTTTTTGACATCCCTGAAAGTTCCTATTTAAATCTTCTGCAATCGAAAGTCTGGAAAAATAAGTGCAGTTACATTTTGATATAATTTTTGAAAAAGAAAGCATTCTTTGGAAATATTTGTATCCCCATGATTACGGTATGTATTTAATTGTGTATATGTGAATTTGTCTCTTTTTATTCAAACCGCTTCTATCCACACAGAACCGAATTGGTTGGAAAAAAAATCAATAATAGATTCATTGTGAAGTAAAATTATTTCATTTCAAATGGCAAAAATAGGTGGATTCTGGAATTTGTATTTTTAAAACTTGGAGATTGCTAATAAGAAATGTGTAGAAAACCCGTAGAAAAATCTGTATAAATGTATCAAAGCTGCATTGTGATACATGGCCTCACTTTTAACTTGTTTACATAATAATTTCTTCCAAAAGTTCTCCACAAGCCATCTTCCATTGAAGCACCAAACCCGGATTCATTTCTGCCCCCGCCAGTGTCCATCGCAACTGAACCCTCAACTGTTTCATCTGTGAGGAAACGAACGCGGGAAATCTGCTTTGACAATACGGACTCAGAGGAGTGTGATGCTGGTGTGTGCTGGGATTTGGAAAAGGAAAATGTTGCACAAACAGAATCAACAACTTGGCAGAATGAAAGAAACACATCTTCAGCTTTATTAAAATGTGATTCTGTAGAGGGCAAACCTCCTCAGTGCAAGAGGAGACTCCAAGAGGTGTCGTCTTATAATAATCAGACGTCTCAACAGCCATGGAGTCAGGACCCTCTGCTAACCTGCAGCGAGGAATACGTCTGCTCTGGGTCAAGTTTTCTAGGTGTTCAGAATTCAGAACACTTTGGAAATCTAATAGATGTGGAGGGAAAAACATCAACTCAGAAACCTGTTGAAAACAGTTTCCGCATTAAAGAGGAGAAAGAAAACAGCAGGTTAGTCTCCCTTAAGTCCCCAAGTAAACAAACCTTGTCTCATTTTGGAACTCTGTCAAATCATAAGAGGGCAGAAGAGAAAAACGCGTCACCACAAAAACAACCTTTGCAGTCAGGAAACAATCGTGTAAAAGACGCACATTTTGACTCATTGTGGAGAAAACCAAGAAGCTCTCCTCTTAAGAAAATGCTTAAATGCAGGGAAGCAGATGAAGAGAGTTTGGCTTCGTTGTTCACTCAGGACTCGGAGGGCTTCAGGGTGATAGCACATCGAGGTCTCCAGACCAGGAGTCCACTCAAGGATCAGAGTAACCTGGGCACCGGCTCGGTTAGGAGCTATGCTTCCAAGCCTTTGATGAAGAAGGAGGAGGAGGACGAAGAGGATGAAATGCTCTTTACCCAAGACTCTCAGGGAAACATGGTGATCAAACACTGAAGCAATGCCTCTGTGTTCAAACCAGGAGGTTGAAACATCATTCCTTTTATTTAAAAAAAACAACAACAAAACTTTCCAAGTCAGAATTGATGGATTTTATTTTATTTTGTTTAAAAAGTGATTAGCATTACATTGATTTATTCTAAAATAAACACTAGTTACACGTATATATTTCTACCTGGTGCTCTAAGTTATATTTTATTTTCACAAACTAAAGTGATAAACATAAAAAGTTCTTAGTTCCTCTACAGAAAAGTTTACTTTTTGAGCATTTGATTTTGAGAGTAAAGCAGCACAACCATCTGAACTTAATTCTGTTACTGTTCACAGCAGCTAAATGCAAAAAGCATCTCTTAATACAAATAGAAATCAGCTTTAATGTATTAGATAAGAATATATGACTAATTGATCCTTTACTTGTTAATAGAAATGTTTTGAATCAATTTTTTTTTTTATGATGTAAAGAGCAGAAACTTTTTTTTTCAGAATTGAAATGTCTCTCTTGTTATGGCACAGGTATGTAACTATCATACTGTAACCTGAGCAATTGTTTTAACAGATTAAAGGTACCAAACACTTAATGATGATGTCCTTATCTATTGCATCCCTTTTACTTTTCACACCTTTTCCACATTCTGTGGAAACTGCAAACTTCAATATACTATGTTGGAATTATGTAAGAGACCAACACAAATAGTTAAGCCCAATTGTTCCATAAAAATTATGCATGTTTTATCTTTTTATAAGCAAAAATCCTGAGTGTGTTTTTGCCTTGCTGCAAATTTTCATCCAAGTTTTACGTCTGGATTTAAACTGGGTCATGTAAACATTCAAACATGCTCTGTTAAAAGCTATTAGACTGTAGATCTGATGCAAGTTTAGTGTTGCTAGGGAAAAGAAAGGGAACTCTACCTTTTAGCTTCATCCACCTTTTTATAAATCTTCACCAGCTTCTCTGTACCTGCTGAAGAAAATCATCCCTACAGCTCCCATTGCCATGTTTCAGTCCCGCTTTAAAAGAACTCCTTATCAGTGTCGTATTTGTTGTATTCATACCCTTTAAATCAAACAGATTTACTTGTTTTTTAACATGTTAGGCTGTATCTGAAAGTAATTACTAGTGCTAAATTTTATGCATGAGTATGAGTCAAAGGGGATACCTAGATACCCAACATATTAGTGAACGTTTTGCAAAGCGTATCATTTTAAGAGTTCAAATTTTTTTTTTTAAACTTTTTTATCTATACATGAAACTGCAATAAAATGTAGACATTTGTTACAGAAGTAAAAAAAAAGGTAAAGAGGTTTGAATGCTTTTGCAAGAGATTCCTGTGCTGCAGATCAGCCTGCGATCTCAGTGGGTTCTGTCACCAGCTTGGAGCCATCCCAAACTGTCTTGAACTGCTCTGGGACGGGAAACTCCTTCTGCAAAGAAAAGAAAATCAGGAAGGTTCCCGTTAGTGCACCAGCCAAATGTAATTTCACCTCCATGTGATGTTTATCTCAGAGTCTGGAGCCTGCCTCCTGTTCTCTCACTCACATAGTCATCTTCTCCTACTGGGATCAGGATGTTCATCTCGGAGCTCTTGGCACTAACGATGTCGCAGTTCAGAGCCGCTTTACTCAGGTAGACTTGGCAGCCCTCTGTCTTGTTGATAGAAATGGTGGGAACCGTTCCCAACACCTGCAGAGATACACCATCAGAGTATGAAATCATCTGGCAGACCACTGACTCGTGTTAGAATATTAAGAAACAACACTATTATGCCGTATAACAGCCAAAAAACCCCACAATATCATGTATATGTCTATTTAGTTAGTTAAGATTTATATTATTGCTCATATTGTTTTAGTATTATTAACATATATTTAGAAACTCAACTTTAAAATGTAAAAATAATTTCAGTTTTTGCAGTGTGCCATAACATTTAATTTACAAATATGCTTTGACTAAAAACTGATTGGTTGATCTTAACACAAAGTTATTTCTGTACCAATCACATTCAGTAATATAATTCTTCTGCTCTTTCAGTTAAATAGGAAGCTAAATTAATTGTAAATTTCTCGATATATCTTGACCCTCGTCACTGTCTATTTTTAAAAGTTGTCTTAAAACCTATTTTTCTTATTTGGCTTTTAATACAGCATGAAACGTTTTCTATTTTTACGTTTTTTTTATTGTTTTTTATTTGTTTTTATTACTTGATTTTATTATATATATTATTTTATTCCTTTAAACTTCTATGTTGATTTTATAAAATTTTAACTTTACCTGATATGTACAGTACTGTACTTTGTGGCAGCTGTGGTATTTTAAAAGGGTTTTATAAAAAAATTGAGTTGATAAAAAAGACTAGAAAACATTTTATTTTTTAATATTTTAATTAAAATATTAAGGAATTTTAAATAATCGATAACTGGCCTATGTGAGAACCAGCGTAATAGTTCAGATTAGGTATATATACTGTAGATAAACCTACCTGTAGCTGAATGGCTCTGGAGTTGATGATCTCTACAATTCCTACAGCATTCTCAAAGACCAAACCAAGCTTTTTGCAATTATCTGAGAAAAGACAAAACAAAGCAAGCTGTGGAAAATTTTCATAGAGGTGTATAATTAGGGCTCTGTGTCTGGGCGGCTCACCTACGATAATGGAGTTAATTTTGCCCTTGATCTGCAGGGTGGAGTTGCTGCAGCCAAATACGTACACCACCTGTTTCAACTCTGTCTCATCGATCACCAAGTCGTGTTTCTGCTCAAAGTTTTCCTTCAACAAAGAAGAAGTAAATTTAAAGTGTTCTTTGATAAACTGTATGCATGATAACATGGTAAATTGGGGCAATAAGGATTAAAATGCATTGCATACCACTCTCCACTTTTTTCCTTCCAGCTCCAGCAGAGGGGGTCTTTTCTGTGCAGCTGCTTTTGCAGAGCTCACAGGCTTGGGGTCCTTGTTTTTCCCTGGTGATGCTTGAGAACGGAGGTTGGGGTTCTTATGAGTCTTCTGCTCATCTGAGACATGCTTTAGACCTAAACATGTGCATGCACATCTCAGTAAATTAGAATACCAATAAAGATTACACTTATTTCAGTTGTTAAGTTCAAACAGCATAATTTGAAAAACGGTAGATTTGATTTACAGGGAAATATCTATTTATTTTTTGGTAACTAAGTATCTCAAACACTTTGAATGTTATGCCAGACAAATAAATGATACATAAATGTTTGGTTGTTGCAAATTATGACCAACTCAATTATGAGGAAGATCAGTAGCCTGACTGTTGTCTTGTCCAGTAGGCAGGTTTTTATAACCTTGATAAGGGAGAAAAGCTAAAAAAAAAAGGTCCTCATGGAACAGTTTGTCTGTTTATAGAGAGCAATGTCAAAGGATATAATAGAAAGTTAAGTGGAAGGAAAAACTGCCGCAAAAAAACAGATTCATAAACAACAGGAAGAAGCAACAGCCTTGGAAGAGCCACATTTAGTGCTTAACGATTTATGAAGAATAGGTTTTCCATAAAAAAAAAGATTGAAATCAAACACTATTATGAGTGAACATTTCAGATGAACCTTTAGTGATATCCATGCCCTGGTTGAGTTGAGCAAACAAAGCGGAGTGCTGAGGCGTTGCACCGTCTGCCTGAGGCTGGCAGGGATCCTCAGTGAAGACTGGAGGAGGTCCAGGGGGAGGAGGGGGACAGGGTGCACCGGGTGTGAGAGGAGAGTCTAAGAGAGATGCAGGAGCGATGGGACCCTGTGAGAAGCAGACAACTAACATCAGGACTCCATTGGGGTTGAAAGAAAGTCAAACCTGCAGTCAGTTTTAGAATAGAAGCTGTAGTAATAAAAATGTCCATTTGAGGTAGTAAAATACGAACACTGAAGGAGTCTGGATGATTTTTTATTGGTGTGCAATATTACTCAAAAGTTTTAAACCTCTGCTTTGTTTAAAGGAAGGTATGCTATGCTGAGTGTGATTAATTAAACCTTAACTATTCAGCACCTATAGGTGTGAGGGAAAATATATCAAGTTCAAGCAGAAGATAAAATTTGTTTAAATAAAAAGAAGCACTTCAGTTACTCAGTTAAAAATATTCGTATATTCAAATGTCATTTCAAGGGTCTTCCTGTTGGTAAAACCTGATTAAACTATCATCTAAGTAGCCCAATTTCTGGTAATTTTCTAAAACTTAATCCAACTTATGCGCTGAATCATGACATCATATAAGAAATCCCCCTTTTAATGCAGAACTGTTTGTTCTTTCCTTCATTTTATTATGGTGGGGTGTTTTGTTAGGTTTTTTGACATATTTTGAAAAAAAGCAAAGTGCCCGAAAATCCAGTGTGAAACTTATTCTTTCATAGATTAAAAACAAAAATCATTTTTGTTTTTCCTTTGAAGACTTTCCATATCAGACTGACTGATCGATCTTAAGGGAGTTACATTTTTTTTTTCTTTTTACAAGCGAACATATATCTGAAAATAGACAGGTGATGGACTGGAAATATCTGAAAAGGTGCAATAGGAGCTACTTTGAAAGCCTAGAGAGTTAGTGCTGAGGAGACTCTCAAAGTTTACTAGGAACTCTGGTTCTTTTGATTTAAAATAAAAAAAAGTTTCAACAGATCCATACATGAACCGTAAAAACACATTCATCAAATGCATCTGGCAGCATTCTTAGTCCCCCCATTTGTAGGCTGAGGTAATTTTTTTATGTTTCAATTTTAAACTAGAAAAAATAGCATATTTCTTATAACATTGACATTTTTTATAGCAAGAACTGGTGCAACTGGAAGATTTGGTTTATCTGCTGAACTGTTTACAGTTAAACTGAATAGAAAAGACACAAAACACTCATAATGAACATATCTCAGTTTACACAACTTCATTCTTTTCTTGACGTCATTTTGAAGTCATTAAATAAAGTTAGAACTGAATTTAGAGATCTATAGTAACCAGCGATAAAACGGTAATGTATTTCTTGTTTAAGTTATCTACTAGAGTACAGAGTTAACACAGTCTGCAGGCCACAGCCTGGTTATCAGTAAGGCCACAAGGGACAGCTGGAACAAATATTTGGCAGCTCACTGGCCCAGGTTGTAAAAAGTGTGCCACTGACTGGTGGACACTCTGGCAGGCTCTTTGCATTTCTGACCTTGATCTCTAATTTCAAGTGTTTTTTTTTTTTAAACTCTGTGCCTATTATGTATCAGCCGAACTGTACATAAATGTGAGTGAATGGAGCTGTCGCTAACCCGTAAATGAGCGGCAGACGGCAGCTGTGCCGAACAGCGACAGGCCCCTTAGTTTAGGTTACAGCACAGGCAGCGAGTTTACACAGGCCTCTTTTGTCGAGGCTCTTCTGTGAAGAAACCCTCCATTCAAGTAAACCCTGAGGGCCACCTGTTGGGGAGGCACACTTCCCTTCTTTTGCACGCACACACATCAGCTCTGTCGTCTTACAGCAGGACCAACAGCTGACGCAAACAACGTCTGCAGATTCTCAGGTTTCTGCGTGCAGAAAACACATGTGGACACAGTTGTTCAGGATCAGATGGGCATTTATCCTCACATTAAAGGGGTAGAATAAGATTATGAGCGCAAACATGGAGAGGCAGCTGCCCATCGGCATCAGTGATACAATTTGCTTTAATTATTCAGTTTAATCCCAATAAAAAAAAAATGTATGGATAGAAAAGTCACATTGTGATTTTAGGAGCTTACATCCTAGACAGTTTTGTTCTGATCCTAAAAACTAAAACAAAATGGGTATTTTGAATCTTTAAACTCCCACAGGTAAAACTATGTGATGCAGCCCCGATTTAAACCCTGGGTCCCCCTGAATTAAAGTCAAGAAATTAAACCACAAGACAACAGAGGGACACAAGTATAACATTTACAGCGGATATAAAAATAAAAACTCAAAATGTTCCAGAGGCCTACTTTCACCAACATTTAATATTTGAAAAAAAGCGCCTTACAGAGGCAAATCTATAACTTTGATTAACAATTATAGAGTCATTTGTAAGAATTAGAATAAAAGAGGTTGTGCATATCTGCAATCTTAAAGTTTTGCCCATCTTTTTCCATTCAAATTGAACCAATTAAAGACATGGTCGTTCAAACACTTGAAAATGCTAAAATCTCTTTGCAAGTAATTTTTCTGTATTTATTTCCATCCATCTACCTTGTGAGAGGAAAGAATCCTCATACCACGATCCTACCTCACCTGTGCTTTATTCTCAAAGCTTGGAATATTTTTTTAAAAGCTAACTCAGCTTCAAACTTCTCCAGAGCATGTCCCCTGTCCTGTGCGCCATATTGTATTGAATAAGATTAAATTACACACATGCAGACCTTTATTATGAGATCATTTCTGATGGCAATTTGTTGCAGTGCGTTTTATGGGAGGTGAACACAATTAAAATCACACTTTTCTACTTTTTTAACAAAAAAGGCAAACCTGTATCTCTTCCCTTTCTCTTTAAAATAATCTATCATTGGGTTTTTGTGCTTTTTGCATAATGTCTTCAAAATTACACTTAAGTTTGTTGTTTAATCTAAAAACACGTCCAAAAGATTTAAGGCATCTAAGTATGCTTACAAGGCACTGCAAAAGGAAAAGGTCAAGCGGAATTAGGATTTATTATCGTATGACATCGTATTCTCTGTGATCTACTGAGGAGTTCCCAATCAAGAACATCTAAAACCAGAAGCGTGTGTGGGAGTGGCTGATGGTCTGGAGCTCTGCAGAGAGCTGCAGTGTGCACCCACTGAGGAGAAGTTCATTCATTCATTCATGCTCCCTGCAGTGGTTTACATAACCCTCCGGCTTCATCACTAAAAATGGAAGTGTTTGGAAAAAAAAAAAATTCCCTTGCTGGTTTAAAAATATCACAGCTGAGATAACACACCAGTGATTTTCTTCTTCTTACTGGCATATAGTGGAAAAAACAACAGAATAAATTCAGATGGTTGCAATTACGAAAGAATTCTACTCACCGTCTTACTCCACACCAGTCCTGTAGTGTGGTGCTGCTTGATGAAGGACTGCATCTCGGTCCAGATGGACAGGTAGGAGTGCACCCAGTCCACATGACGTTTGTCACTGGGAGATAGAAGGAAATGGAGAAGACAAATGTGGCGGTCAAAACAGTTAGGAGGAAGATAATGAAGAAGGTAAAAGAGGGAGCTGTAAGGATGGAGGTGGATGTGACTTGATCTCATGAAGCTCTGTTGGAAGAAAGGATGTTTAAAACACTTTTTAAAAATAATTGCATAAAGTTTGCATGTGAGAAAGCAATTAGAACTCATTCAAGATTGCATTGCCCCAAAATAACCTTTAAGCACAATCCCAGTCAGCATGATTTCTCTATAAGATCAGTTACGCCGGACAATATACATCCATCGACTGACTGTAAAACTTATCATTTGAATTCACTTTTTTTTAATTTAGGATTACCAAACATGTTTCTAAGACATTTTTAATGTTGCAATTATAATTCTAAATACAGTAGACCTGACTGATAGCAGCTAGGTAAGTTATCTAGTTTTACTTATAAAAGCCAAGGGGGAAAAAACTAACAAAAGGACAAAAAAAATAAATAAATTACACCTAATAACTTTATACAACAAAGAACCAGGGAAGACCAGGAAGTTTAATAGAAGATATATATACCTTAGATAGGAGATTTAAGGAGACAGGAATTCCAGTTTCTCCACAGCTTAGACTGGTATCGGGTTGCACAACATGTGTTGTCAGTAGGTGACAAGATAATATCATTGCAAGATGCATTTATCCTAAAATATATATATATATATACATTGACTTTCATAAAAAAGGTACTGACTCTTGCTATGACAAACTTTGCACTAGTCCATCTTTGCCATTTCAAAAGTACCCGCAAAGCATCATTGTAGGCCACCTGTAGCCTTTGCAGGCTGGATTTTTTTTATATGTAGAGCACAGGTGAGCAGAGAGGTACAATATGCATTAAAAAGTTCCACTTTTACCACATCAGTACATGCACCAAATGTACGAGCAAGGGTATTAGCTTGAGCATACAACATTCTACATTGTCTACAGATACCATCATCATCTGACAGACTCACTGTGATGATGTGTCCAATATACTTGGTTTTATTAGTAACATATTCATATCAGTAGGCGTGAATATGACCTAAAAGAAGATTGCATTTACTAAAAAATACAAAGAGAACTTGCCATTCAAGTGAGTCAGATGTGTGCATTTGATGCTGAAATTTACCCATATGTACTACAGACTAATAAAAAAGAAGTAAAAGACAGTTTGTGAATGTATAAAGAGAGCAACAATTATTGTAAGGGGGTGCAGCAAACACAATGTTGGGAAGGTACCTTAAAAGGTACCTTAAAAGGTACATGTTGGAGAACTAAAGTAAAAATTTGTGTGACGTGTTTACTGAATCCCCAGCAGATGCTTTTTACATGCCATGAGGCTATCTGGCAAGGATAAGCAGGATACATCTTTCATGTAAGATCACAATTTAAAAAAATAATTCAATTTGTATCACTTTTTCAGCTAAAGTTTTTTTTTTCTTGGCTTTTGGGTTAAAAAATACACACAATGCAAATAACCCCACTATATCCTCCACCATATTAAGCACTGATGTGTTAAACAACATGGAGGACCACCCTCCTAAGCATGTTCCAAGCGGACCTAATTTACAATTGTGTGAAACACCTTAAAAAAAACGGTGAAAGTCTAGTTGCCATCAATTTAAGCCTGTTTTATAGTAAGCATACTTACGTTTCCTTGTAGTCCTTCAGCACTCTATTGGTGTAGAAGGTGGCTGCATCATTCATCTCCTTCACGTATGGACCAGGTTTCTGGCTCTAAGACAGGAGCAAAAAAAAAAAAAAGATATGCCTTTATGAGAAGGTCTTCTCTCATCCTGACAGTTTTATAAACACCTCGCCTTCCCTGCAGATTTGTCTTCATTGAGGGTCAAAGCTGAAAAGTTCACAGCGATATCAAAAAGTTTGGCCTGTTTTTGATAAATTTGGGGAAAGCGCTTTCATGACAGCAACTTACACAGACCAGAGCCAGCTTTTAAGTCCCAAAGAGGAAAAGCTTTCATCTGAATGTTAATGATATTTAGCTGGAAATGTTGTGACCCCACAGATAAGCTTTTCCACAGAAGCAAAACAGAAACCCTGCATACAAATTGATCAGAAGGCCAGTTAAAGCGCATGTGGAATGCAATTTCTATCTTTCTAAAATTCAGATTTGTTTTCTTTAAAGCTTATTTTGTACCACTGCCACCCAGCCCAGGGCGGGGATGCTCTCGCTGACAGCTGACAGGTGGTTGAACAGAGGACTCCCTCGGTTGCGTTCCCTGAAATTCTGGATCTCCTGGATGTGATCGGAAATTGGTTTCAAGAGGTCATGGAGCTCCGTCTGTGAATGCAAACAATGCAAACAACGAGGAGTTAACACAAATGCAGAAGAAAAAGGAGAGAAATATGCAGAGGGAGGTTGAGATGGTCGTGAAACTTGTGACCTAGTCAGACTCTCTTGAGATCATCATTAATGGGGCATGTGGTCTATTTACATGGAGATACTCAATGATTTTCAGCCTTATTCCTCTATCCTCCTCCGCTCTCCCTTTTGTAAATCATAAACCACGTCCTAGAACAGTGTCTAAATTTATAAGAGATTTTTCCACTGGATCTTCCAGATCTTAGCTCCAGTTAAGCGGGTCTCCCAGCTCTCATCTACCCTTCCCCATCGCTCCATTTCTTTCCGACATTCCTCCGTTCATGGGGAGATCCCTCTGGCCATGTAAGGCATCCCGCTCCTCCAGTGTTTACAGTTTACCAATCCAACATCCCATCCCTATGCTGAACTCAGAGCAGTTTGAACCATTTACCGTTAACAAGCGACAGACAAATCTAAAAACAGTGTCCTTTTAATCTTCTATATGATAGAAATCAAACAGACACTTAATGCATTGTGCAGGTTTTAAGATTTACTGCGAGACTGTGTGCACAGCAACAAAACTAAGTCACATTGGATAAGATGGTAAGGGGTAAACTTGTTCCCTTGAGACTCTTTTCCAGATCAGATGCACATGATTTTCATAAAGTAAGAGAAATGCTTCTTTCTGTTTTTACTGCAGCTTTTATTCACATATTTCACCAAAACAAAAACGTTTTTTGTGTGTTTATATTTGCCATGCAATTTTTAGAACAGGTCTCTTTTGAAATTAAAAAGAAATAAAAATAAAGAATAACAATCTAACAATTAAAATGAGTTACCCCCAATCCCACCCATTTACCCCTAAACAGAATCCAGTGCAACAATTTGTGTAATTGGAAAATAGGATCCCCCTGTATGTGATTTATTCTCAGAGTAAATGCAGCTGTTCGTGTTAGAGAGCACCATGAAGACCGAGGAACACAACAAACAGATCAGGAATGAAATCCCGGAGAAATTTAAAGCAGCCTTTGATTCTAAAATAAAAACCCAGGCTCTGACCAAACACCCCACAGAAATCTGTTTGATACCTAATCTGAAAATGGCCCAGCAATCTCTGTGTGGCTGTATGTAAATGTGCATATGGTGAATGTCCTGAATTAATGATGATTCTGAACAGTAGGAATACCTGTATGTTCAGTAAGACTGCTGTATTAAATGTGCTTCATAAGTCACTACCATTTAGTTAATGGGAAGACAGATGGAGCTCAATATAAGGTAGTCCTGGACCAAAACCTTAGAGGCTGAAGAGCAGTTCAAACTGGGTCTATAAATAGTTATTGAGTTTAAAACCTACATTCAGTTTTATATCTGTGGTAAGAATTCAGATTCATGGAAGGATTCAGTTGAATCTGAGAAACCTCTAAATCAACAATTAAGAAGGTGCTGAATACACATAGATCCCATATTTCTATTGGTCACGACACACTGATGGGGTGTCTTTTATGAAATACACTCAAGGTACAATATATTTTAAGAATCCAAAACCCTTTTGTGTTAATATTCATAAATTGACTGAAATAGGATGAATTACATTTAGCCAATAAAAGTAATTAGGCAATATTTGTAATACCAGAGATCCTAACCTACTTTTCCAGCACTGGCTCAGAGAGAAGATTAGTACTCAGTGTTGGATGGGTGTGATCGAGGCCCCCTATCTGTATGTGAACATCCGAAACCCCCAGCTTAGAGAAACAAGCACACCCAAGTTAACGGGCCAATCTGAGGTCACGGTACTTTCTTTGCTTTCCTTTCTCTGTGTTTTTCTCTTACTCTCTATCTCTCACACTGACTGCAGGCTTAATATAGAACATGTCCATAAAAAGTCAGAGAGCACAACTGGATAGCGCAGGAGAGAAAGGCCAGAACTTTGAAAAAATGTGTGTGTGTGTGTTTGACAGAGAAAGAGCTAAAGAAAAGCGAGGGGGGCACACCCAGATTTACACATGCTGTTTTACTGGTGCGCTAATGTTCCTCTGCACCGATTACTACAGCTATATACATTTATAAAAGCCTGCATAGAAAACATTGTGACTTTAACCACTCCAAGGTTAATCATGTAGAGTTTCATGCATAAAAAAAAATCCTGCTTATCAAATAATACATTTTGAAACCATGTATTTTTATTATTAAAAGTTTTCAAATGTTTGTGTATTTAATTTTGATTAGAATCCCTTTTGGTCAGATAGGGTTAACTGGACAAATCTAATACCGGAATATGCTTTGATCTGAAGCGCTTTGATTGTATGTTTAGCCCCTTGAACCCTACGGACCCACCGGCGGGTCCAGCTGCTACGTGACCTCGTAATTTTACCAAACCCCCAGTATTGATGGGGGTTTGGTAACAGTTTGGTGACATTTATGGATAAATGTGCCAAAATGGCCTCTCCGCCTGAGAAATTTCTCACTAATACCATTCTAAAATAAATATGATTCATCTGATTGAGTCCAAATTTGGTATATTTTTACACAACATTTAGATTTGAAAGTCTGTACTACTTTTTTGTGCTATAAATAATATTTTGGTAGTGTTAATGTTTATTTCAAAGAAAATTTTGGCGAGGTTCAAAAAATGCAAAATATTTTGTATTTTGTCCCTAATATTTCAGGCAGGGTCAAAGCTACAATGGTACTGACACCAGAAAACCATTCTATGACATCTTACCTTTACAGACGTACCAAAAGTTTCTTCTTAAATCTAATAGCTTTGAGGCTATAAGTTATTTACTTTTGTGTGTTTTTGTCAGGCAGAAATTTATTTATACCCCCTTAGGGTGTAAGAGGTTAGAGTCATTATGCTGGAAGGTGAGTTTAAACTTTCCTTGAGGATCATACTGCATTCAGCTCAATCAATTGTCCTCTCAACCCTGACCAGATTTTAGATCCTAGCAGAAGAACAGTGTCCTTATTGCTGATGTTACATCCATTATATTTTATTTCTTTTTTCTGTAGTGTAGCAGGGCAGCACTACTCTATATTCACATTTTAAAAGTTAGAGTTTTTTAAACCCTTTAAATAATTACTGCATCATTGGTGGCTGTTGATAGAGCTCGACTTAGTTTGCCTGCATTCATGATCATTTTGTAGTACCATGCAGTTATTTTTTTTATATATATATTTTCTTTGTTTCACAACCAGAAAACCTTTATTTTGCTGAACTATATTGATATGAAACATAAATAACCTCATGCAAGCACTGAAAATTATATAGCTTTTAAGAAAAGCATGCCTAGTTTTGCCAGATTAGTCTAAAAAAGATTTTTTAAGCATGACCTGTTGCTTAATTTGGTTCATGCAAATATTAACAGTCATCAACAAACAGCTTTTATTTTACCTTTGTTAACTTACTTCAGAAATAATAATCTAACTGGGATATATTTTGTCTGCCTTTTTCCAACCATCTGAAAGATTATGAATTCTTTTTCATAAATTTTCTAAATCATTTACTCTTAATATGTTCATTCACATACATATGCAAAAATATGTTCCAAATTAGGCACTAAATATATCTGCTTATTAATATTTTTTCCAACACTTCTTAACCAGCCTGGTAAAGGTAGATTCAAGGCTGTAAAGTAAATGGCAGCCCACTGCACTCCCCAAGGGGATGGGTTAAATGCAGAGAGTGTGCTGGAAATAGAAAAATTTAAAAAGCAATCTCTCTCTGAAATAATAAAAAAAAAAGGTTAAAAAAAATATATATATATATATATATATATATATATATATAGTGTTTTAACTGAGTAATTATTGGTAGGGATATAAAAGCTGATGTTGAGAAATTATAGTTTATAACAAGCAATTAGTTAAAAAAAAAAAGCAATGTTAGTTAAGGAACCATCCATCTTCTCCCATGGTGGGGCTGCTACCTATCTCCAGCAGTCTATGGGAGAGAGGCGGGGTACACCACATACAAGACATCCAACAATGCGCACAGACACACACAAACCAAGGGACAATTTAGAGACACCAATTAACCTAACAGTCCCGTTTTGGATTCTGGGAGGAAGCTGGAGTACCCAGAGAAAACCCACTCATGCACTGGGAGAACATGCAAGCTCCATGCTGAAAGAACTTGAGCTAGGAATTTAACCTGTAACCTTCTTGCTGCAAGGCAGCAGTGCTGCAAACTGCACCACCTTACAGCCCTACTTAAACATTTCAATCTATATTTTTATGAAAGATATTGCAGTGCCATATGCTAAGTTCATCAGAATACCTATTAACTGCTATTTCAACTTTTCCATGGCTTATTGTTTTCTTGTGATATTATGACTCAGAGGCCTATTTCTCTTGAAATTGCTTATAGAAAACTGCTCCTTGCCTAAACTGGCACCTATTAACAGTTGGAGCAATAATTAAATAATTAATAATTAAAGTTCAAGTTGGAACCCTAACAAAAAAGGCTAGAGGGGCTACATTTATACCACCACTGCACACAGGGGGCATGGGGGGTTGATCAGTGTTGGAGAACTGCTGCAGAGCGGGACATCCTGGGGTCACAAAGACAGCATAGCAACCATCAGATAATCTGTACATTCGCATTGGCTGTTTGTGAAGCATGCCATCAAGTGCCCCTTTTCTGTCCTACAATAACAAATGTGATTAGTTTGCTCAGCTGGAACTTTGACAGCAACTATGTGCTTTCATCATGTGATTAAAAAGATTTAAAGACTTTTAAACTAGCAACTGATTGGGCAGATTTAATGCTTCAGTACGAGTTCCCAGACCCTGAGGACAGTCCCAGCCAAGGCTGGTTCACCTCTGGTCTTCAGCCTGGTTTTAGGGACCATCCTTCCTGCTCATATCAGTCACCATACTTAAATATAACAACAAAAAGATGTTGGATGAGCTAAAAAGGAGGAGAAGAGATCTTGAGAGGTTGTGCAAAGAAAAATGTCCGCTGTACATTTTAAGAAGAGTCACTGAAGGACGTGACTTGACAGAAATGACACAACATAAACCAACATGAAATAAAAATTGCAAAACATTCCACCTTTTTTTTGTAAACATGTTTGCAGGTTTTATAGAGAAGCTACATTTATTTCTAATGGGTCTCTCATACCTTCCTTGTTTTCTTTTCTGGCTTTCCCTGAAAGCTCGTTCTCCTCCTCTTAGCCAATGATCAGACAGTTTAGGCGTACTAACTTCCTGGTGGACTCTCTGACACCGATATAGGGAACACAAACAAAAGGCCAAAGCGATGATATCATTATCACTTCTGTCATAGAAAGCTTTCTATCACAACCATTTTCCTCCGTTGGTGAACATGTTGGGAATGTGTTGCATTAGCAGTTTTCCTGGTCAAAGAGCAGAATAATCCCTCTGTGCATAGCTTACTCTGCAGCAGGAACACAGGACAGGGGTACAGACTCACAGAGGAGAAAGCTTTATAGAGCCCCACACAGTAAAATACTTTTTTTTCTGTAGTGTATTTAACCAGCATTTATGGATTATTAACCACATTGGGATAGATGCGTAGGTGTTTTATTTTAAGGTGTCTTCGGTAAAGAGCTGAGAGGTTGGATCAAATCATAAGTCTGCTCAGGTCTTGTTGGAAAAAAGATAGTGGCATTTTTTTCATGCTTTTAAACATAAATCTGTGAAATTTTTTATTTTTTCGTATGTTTCTGTTGTATATACAAATGGAAGGTGGTGTAAACAGAATCATGACACTGCATATACTTTCCATGATCTCGATTTTGGACAATGGGGCTTTTCAGTGAAAGGTGGGCTCACCTGAACATAATAATTCAGCCCTACTTTTGGTTGACCAAAAAGAAAGATGCTGTAAAGCTTATGTGTATCGGTGGAAGTACTCTGTTATTGAAAAATGTTGGTCTTTGGTGAACTCCATCCATTCATTCATTGCATTTTTCTTATCTGAAAGGACAACAGCTCTAGGGGGAATACAAACTTCCCTCTCCCCTTAGACAGCCCCATCTTATTCTGGGGGATCCCAAGGTGTTACCAGCCCCAACAGGATACACAATCCCCCCAGCTGGTTTCCAGGGCAAATTCTCAGTGATACGGGTCATGGCAACTACAAAACCTGCTTAAATCATGGGCAAACCAGACTTTCGCTCAGTTTTTCAGAAAATGTCTCAGCAAATGTCTGTCGATTCTGCCAGCTCACTGTAGCTGGTTTTCCTCACCTCAAACTGTTTGTGGGTCCTCTCTGAGGTCTCCCCCCAACTCAACTTGTTCAGAAAACCTCCAAAGGGAGGAGATATTTTGATCAGCTGCCTGAAACACCTCAGCTGACTCTTTTGAAAGCAGAATTTTGATGAAGGAATACCATTACAAAGTATTTAAAAGCTAAAAAAAGATTTGTTTTTCCTTAACATACACCTTTTATTACTGTTAACACTTTAACGACAAGTTATCAAATAATGAAATGTTGCACAATATTTGCAGAAACTATATGGATGTAAAAAATATAATGGTAGTTTTTTTTTCTTGTCTTTTAATTGATCAATAATGTGATTGATTCTTTTCAGATTTATCAAAAATACATGATCTAGAAGCTATGACAGCCTAGTTTCTTATGATACCCTTACCTTTGGCCAAAAAACAGAACTGCAGCACTCTTCTGCTTGTTCTCGTAGTTGGCGCTCGTACTTGACAAGGTCTATTTTTTTTTTCACCCATTGTGAAGTTGCCATTGATGTCTGTGTTGAGCTGGATGCTCACTTCTGAGAATCCCCAAAATCCATATTGAATCTAATGCTTGAATTGTTTGCTCGGTTGGACCCATTCAACTTGGACGCACCTGATGTCACATCTGCAGAGCAGCATGGGAACTTCTAACCCAAAGTAAATTCAGGAAAATAGGCTAGATACTTAAAGATGCATTGGCTCTTAACTACAGAGGTGTCAGCCTGTTCATCAAAGAATGTTTTAGTCATAAAGGGTCAAATAAAAAGGTTATTTTAAACACATTTTTCTATAAAAAGGTACAAAATGTCTCTTCTGGTTATTTTTAATGGTTATTTTTTTGTAAGGTTTGTCAAAGAGTGATTATGAATGTAACGTTTGTGATGTGGACCCCAGGAATAATTGCCTGTAATTATGTAGAGCCTAATGGTGATCCTTAAATAAATAAACTAAATAGTATAAAAAAATAAAGAATAAAAAAAAAAACACCCTAATTGAAGGCTGCATTCTTTCAGGGCTTATTGAGGTCACCAGCTCTCTGAGCGGCATCTTATTGTATTATTTATTTTCACCTTCCTTGTTTACATCCAGAACAAGTTCCTGGAATGCTAAAGATGTTTGCCTCTGAATCAAATCCTCAACAGAACCTCAGCTGTACAGCAACTTGGCTCCAGATCCTTTCACAGTTAGTGCTGGTCCCCTTTCTACCGTATTACAGGTTCATTTTAAATGTATCTTACTAATATAGATCTAACCATATCCTTCTCAACATCTCCTCTGCCAGATAACACCTTTAATTTGCTGCTGTCACTCTCTGAACCTCCTTACAACCTCCTCAGGACCACATGGAACAACCCCCACTTTCCCCATTAAAAAAGACTGGTGACAAAACACTTAAACAGCTTCCGAGTCTATGCTTTTGGGTCCAACTCTGACACAGGTTTTTACTACATTTATTTATTTATTACTACATAGGGTTCAATGTGAAATATGCAATCTTACCTGTGCAGGCTCCTGATGCGTGGAAGCTACCTGAAGAAACGCTCTCTGAGTCTGCAGTGCCTCATTCACCATCTCTGCCTGCAACATAACAAAGATTAAAAACAGATTTTTGCAAAAAACATATTCTTTTTGTAAACTAGTGGGATTCTGGGAAACCGATTGATATGTTCCCTCTTCTGTGGATATAAACTGGCTAAGATGCACACATAGAGATTGGGTTATTTGCAGCCATGTGAGTCTGTGTGTTTGAGACCCTAAAGTTGTGGGCTAGAGGAACCACCAGGGAGGTTTTCTCCTTATAAGGGGCTTCAAACTCTTTACACTACCTCAGGTTCTCAGTAACACACGCACAATTCTCTCCTCCAAGCAGCCCAATGATGAGACGCAGAGATAGCAACAACTTTCAAAGCGCTGGGGAAATACGAGCATTCATCTCTGCTCTGTTCTAAGGGCCTCTTTTGTGTTGGATGAGTTTCATATCTGCAATCTTGCTATCTATGAAACACAGTAACAAGGCTTTTTTTTAAATAAACTTGTGTTCAACAAAAGTTTGAAGACGTTGAGCCGAAGTTATGTTTTTTCCTGCATCCTATAGTAGGTCTTTAGAGAAAAGAAAATAGTTGCCATTGTGCAGAAAACTGCACACATCAGGCATCCCACACACACTTCAGGACCCTTCAGCTGTCCTGAAGGGAGAGGAGCAATCCTGGCTGTTTATGCATTGGTGTCCAGTGAAATGAGGACTGAATCCCCTCCACTTTACCCAACGGTGATCTGTTTAGAGAAGAGCCACTCTCAAGAGGTCTTCCTTTGCTTTGACAATCTATACTTTTCAACAAAGAAGTCCAAAATGAGATTTTAAATAAAAAATTGTGGATCTACTGTACTGCCTAATAACTGAATATATTCTTATTTCATTCATGAATTGTGTATAAACATCCCTAAATGACTTGAGTCTACTTTGTTAACTTGTCCTTTTGAGGAAGTGATTAAAACATGGAAGTTTTGGGTCAAAACCGACTTAATTTTTAATAAACATATTGATGTTGTTTTTTTTATCTCATATAAACCTGGTTACGGCAAGAGGGCTATGTTAGTATAAATGAGTCAAATCCTTCTAAATCCATAAATGTTTACGCTACCAGAAATACTGACTGTGAATTAACTTGGTCCTGCAACGAGTATCTTAGTTTTTACATCCAAATTGCAAAATATTAAAAGCAGATATGTTTTATTTTTTTGCTTTTTTTTCTAGCATTATTAGTAGGCCTTAAATCTCAATTTTTAGATCAGTTTTCAGACTTCCAGTCTGATTGAGTGTTGATTTTATTGTATTGATTGTAAAGAAAAACAAGATATTGTCAAAACTCTGCCTTGTCTGACAATTTTATAATACCTTTTACATTTAATTTAACAGAGCCCCTCACCTTAAACATTTTTAGGAGTAGGGCATGCAGACAATGTATTCCCCTTGAAAATGAAGGTAATTAAGAATAGGAGGCTTACATCCTGGTTCAGTTCAAAACTGCACACTTCTGCACTCTACACTTCTAAATAAGTCCTACCTAATTTGTAAAGATAGTCTACTGTTGTACACAAAGACTCCTTTTAAAGAGAGAAAATAAAAATAACCTTGAGTTCCTATTTAATGCAATTGTTGAACCTTCAGAGTCATAGCTCTGCTGAGTAATGCAGTAATGACTATGGAGTTCTTTATATGTAAAACAGAATCTATAAAGAACTAGAAAAGCACTTGGAGAGCGCCAGAGGTGTCAAGTAACACAGTACAAATACTTAGTTACCTTTCTTAAGTAGAAATTCTGGCTATCTATACTTTACTAGAGTAATTATTTATTAGACAACTTTTTACTTCTACTCCTTACTTCTTTTTTTTTGCAATTAGCTTTATTTAAAAATAGACTTGTTAGTTTTGTTTCATTTATCTCATTTTTGTTATGGCCTGTTGGTTTTTAAAAAATTAATTTCTTTGTGGTTGGACTCGGTCCTGCATGTTGTTTGTGACATACTGAATTGCTCCGGCCTGCTGGTGGTTATGAGACGGACGTATTAGCTGGAGTTTTTTAAGATGGATTTGTTGTGAAACTGAAAACTCCGATCTTGTGACAATACAGCTTATAGTGCAAGGTTATACCCTGAGCTATGTCTGTAGATGCCTCTATAGGCCTAGCACAGAGGAATAGCATTTGTATCCTGGCTAATAGGATCCCATCCCAGCCTTGGAGGGGGATGATTAAGTAACAATATTTTTATCTCTATAACATTTTTTCTTCCTTTTGTTCTTACAACATTTAGGGCTTAGGCTTTCCTAATGACATCACCAGGGTTTTACTCTTCCCTTCGTCCTTTCTCTGAGAGCAGGCTGGAAAGAGGAACGATTTTCATCCCTGGCATTTTTCCATCTACACTGACCCACTAACCACTCCAAAAGTACGCTTGGAGTGAATCCCCTCCGAATGCAAAACCCCATCATGCACCGCAACATACTGTTGGAATATATTCAAACATAAATTCGCCAAATATAAGAGGAACATTGTAGTTTGGTTTAACGAAGGCATTTTAGTTTGATCATAATTCGGTTTGTTGCAAGTATCTTAAAGTTTTGAAGAAATAGAAAATTACACCCTATGCCAACTGTCACAAGGATGTGCATGACGAGCAAGGGCAAATACCGTAAGTCCTCTAATATAGGCCCGGGCCTTTATTTCACTCAAGTGCATCGCGGTCCAGGCCTTTATTGGATAGAGGCCAGAATNGGTCATGGCAACTACAAAACCTGCTTAAATCATGGGCAAACCAGACTTTCGCTCAGTTTTTCAGAAAATGTCTCAGCAAATGTCTGTGGATTCTGCCGGCTCACTATAGCTGGTTTTCCTCACCTCAAACTGTTTGTGGGTCCTCTCTGAGGTCTCCCCCCAACTCAACTTGTTCAGAAAACCTCCAAAGGGAGGAGATATTTTGATCAGCTGCCTGAAACACCTCAGCTGACTCTTTTGAAAGCAGAATTTTGATGAAGGAATACCATTACAAAGTATTTAAAAGCTAAAAAAAGATTTGTTTTTCCTTAACATACACCTTTTATTACTGTTAACACTTTAACGACAAGTTATCAAATAATGAAATGTTGCACAATATTTGCAGAAACTATATGGATGTAAAAAATATAATGGTAGTTTTTTTTTCTTGTCTTTTAATTGATCAATAATGTGATTGATTCTTTTCAGATTTATCAAAAATACATGATCTAGAAGCTATGACAGCCTAGTTTCTTATGATACCCTTACCTTTGGCCAAAAAACAGAACTGCAGCACTCTTCTGCTTGTTCTCGTAGTTGGCGCTCGTACTTGACAAGGTCTATTTTTTTTTTCACCCATTGTGAAGTTGCCATTGATGTCTGTGTTGAGCTGGATGCTCACTTCTGAGAATCCCCAAAATCCATATTGAATCTAATGCTTGAATTGTTTGCTCGGTTGGACCCATTCAACTTGGACGCACCTGATGTCACATCTGCAGAGCAGCATGGGAACTTCTAACCCAAAGTAAATTCAGGAAAATAGGCTAGATACTTAAAGATGCATTGGCTCTTAACTACAGAGGTGTCAGCCTGTTCATCAAAGAATGTTTTAGTCATAAAGGGTCAAATAAAAAGGTTATTTTAAACACATTTTTCTATAAAAAGGTACAAAATGTCTCTTCTGGTTATTTTTAATGGTTATTTTTTTGTAAGGTTTGTCAAAGAGTGATTATGAATGTAACGTTTGTGATGTGGACCCCAGGAATAATTGCCTGTAATTATGTAGAGCCTAATGGTGATCCTTAAATAAATAAACTAAATAGTATAAAAAAATAAAGAATAAAAAAAAAAACACCCTAATTGAAGGCTGCATTCTTTCAGGGCTTATTGAGGTCACCAGCTCTCTGAGCGGCATCTCATTTTATTATTTATTTTCACCTTCCTTGTTTACATCCAGAACAAGTTCCTGGAATGCTAAAGATGTTTGCCTCTGAATCAAATCCTCAACAGAACCTCAGCTGTACAGCAACTTGGCTCCAGATCCTTTCACAGTTAGTGCTGGTCCCCTTTCTACCGTATTACAGGTTCATTTTAAATGTATCTTACTAATATAGATCTAACCATATCCTTCTCAACATCTCCTCTGCCAGATAACACCTTTAATTTGCTGCTGTCACTCTCTGAACCTCCTTACAACCTCCTCAGGACCACATGGAACAACCCCCACTTTCCCCATTAAAAAAGACTGGTGACAAAACACTTAAACAGCTTCCGAGTCTATGCTTTTGGGTGCATGGGTCCAGCTCTGACACAGGTTTTTACTACATTTATTTATTTATTACTACATAGGGTTCAATGTGAAATATGCAATCTTACCTGTGCAGGCTCCTGATGCGTGGAAGCTACCTGAAGAAACGCTCTCTGAGTCTGCAGTGCCTCATTCACCATCTCTGCCTGCAACATAACAAAGATTAAAAACAGATTTTTGCAAAAAACATATTCTTTTTGTAAACTAGTGGGATTCTGGGAAACCGATTGATATGTTCCCTCTTCTGTGGATATAAACTGGCTAAGATGCACACATAGAGATTGGGTTATTTGCAGCCATGTGAGTCTGTGTGTTTGAGACCCTAAAGTTGTGGGCTAGAGGAACCACCAGGGAGGTTTTCTCCTTATAAGGGGCTTCAAACTCTTTACACTACCTCAGGTTCTCAGTAACACACGCACAATTCTCTCCTCCAAGCAGCCCAATGATGAGACGCAGAGATAGCAACAACTTTCAAAGCGCTGGGGAAATACGAGCATTCATCTCTGCTCTGTTCTAAGGGCCTCTTTTGTGTTGGATGAGTTTCATATCTGCAATCTTGCTATCTATGAAACACAGTAACAAGGCTTTTTTTTAAATAAACTTGTGTTCAACAAAAGTTTGAAGACGTTGAGCCGAAGTTATGTTTTTTCCTGCATCCTATAGTAGGTCTTTAGAGAAAAGAAAATAGTTGCCATTGTGCAGAAAACTGCACACATCAGGCATCCCACACACACTTCAGGACCCTTCAGCTGTCCTGAAGGGAGAGGAGCAATCCTGGCTGTTTATGCATTGGTGTCCAGTGAAATGAGGACTGAATCCCCTCCACTTTACCCAACGGTGATCTGTTTAGAGAAGAGCCACTCTCAAGAGGTCTTCCTTTGCTTTGACAATCTATACTTTTCAACAAAGAAGTCCAAAATGAGATTTTAAATAAAAAATTGTGGATCTACTGTACTGCCTAATAACTGAATATATTCTTATTTCATTCATGAATTGTGTATAAACATCCCTAAATGACTTGAGTCTACTTTGTTAACTTGTCCTTTTGAGGAAGTGATTAAAACATGGAAGTTTTGGGTCAAAACCGACTTAATTTTTAATAAACATATTGATGTTGTTTTTTTTATCTCATATAAACCTGGTTACAGCAAGAGGGCTATGTTAGTATAAATGAGTCAAATCCTTCTAAATCCATAAATGTTTACGCTACCAGAAATACTGACTGTGAATTAACTTGGTCCTGCAACGAGTATCTTAGTTTTTACATCCAAATTGCAAAATATTAAAAGCAGATATGTTTTATTTTTTTGCTTTTTTTTCTAGCATTATTAGTAGGCCTTAAATCTCAATTTTTAGATCAGTTTTCAGACTTCCAGTCTGATTGAGTGTTGATTTTATTGTATTGATTGTAAAGAAAAACAAGATATTGTCAAAACTCTGCCTTGTCTGACAATTTTATAATACCTTTTACATTTAATTTAACAGAGCCCCTCACCCTAAACATTTTTAGGAGTAGGGCATGCAGACAATGTATTCCCCTTGAAAATGAAGGTAATTAAGAATAGGAGGCTTACATCCTGGTTCAGTTCAAAACTGCACACTTCTGCACTCTACACTTCTAAATAAGTCCTACCTAATTTGTAAAGATAGTCTACTGTTGTACACAAAGACTCCTTTTAAAGAGAGAAAATAAAAATAACCTTGAGTTCCTATTTAATGCAATTTTTGAACCTTAAGAGTCATAGCTCTGCTGAGTAATGCAGTAATGACTATGGAGTTCTTTATATGTAAAACAGAATCTATAAAGAACTAGAAAAGCACTTGGAGAGCGCCAGAGGTGTCAAGTAACACAGTACAAATACTTAGTTACCTTTCTTAAGTAGAAATTCTGGCTATCTATACTTTACTAGAGTAATTATTTATTAGACAACTTTTTACTTCTACTCCTTACTTCTTTTTTTTTGCAATTAGCTTTATTTAAAAATAGACTTGTTAGTTTTGTTTCATTTATCTCATTTTTGTTATGGCCTGTTGGTTTTTAAAAAATTAATTTCTTTGTGGTTGGACTCGGTCCTGCATGTTGTTTGTGACATACTGAATTGCTCCGGCCTGCTGGTGGTTATGAGAAGGACGTATTAGCTGGAGTTTTTTAAGATGGATTTGTTGTGAAACTGAAAACTCCGATCTTGTGACAATACAGCTTATAGTGCAAGGTTATACCCTGAGCTATGTCTGTAGATGCCTCTATAGGCCTAGCACAGAGGAATAGCATTTGTATCCTGGCTAATAGGATCCCAATAGGATCCCATCCCAGCCTTGGAGGGGGATGATTAAGTAACAATATTTTTATCTCTATAACATTTTTTCTTCCTTTTTTTCTTACAACATTTAGGGCTTAGGTTTTCCTAATGACATCACTAGGGTTTTACTTTTCCCTTTGTCCTTTCTCTAAGAGCAGGCTGGAACAGGGAACGATTTTCGGCCCTGGCATTTTTCCATCTACACCGACCCACTAACCACTCCAAAAGTACGCTTGGAGTGAATCCCCTCCTAATGCAAAACCCCATCATGCACCGCAACATACTGTTGGAAAATATTCGAACATAAATTCGCCAAATATAAGAGGAACATTGTAGTTTGGTTTAAAGAAGGCATTTTAGTTTGATCATAATTCGGTTTGTTGCAAGTATCTTAAAGTTTTGAAGAAATAGAAAATTACACCCTATGCCAACTGTCACAAGGATGTGCATGACGAGCAAGGGCAAATATATTGCATACATCATTTAGGTAGTTAACATTGTATTACTTCTTGAGCTCTTGAGTAATTAACTGTCACAGGTATTTGGTTCAGCCGGACAGTAAGTGTTCGGGCTGGTATGATTTAAGGAGGCCCAGCCCTCGCACGCTGAAATTAGGAGCGGCCCACCACAGATTAACAGTCCGAGCCTGTCTAAGTTAACCATGAGGGTAAAGACCTTCTCTCTCTATATTCCTCATCTCTATCTCTCATCACTTATTTTTGATGTTTCTGTATTTGACTCGACCTCACCTTGAACATTGTGGCCTCTTTTTTTTGTTTTTTTGTGGGAGTTTTTAGCTACATCTTGCCAAGCATTCTCTCATACATGTAATGCACTTGGTTCTGTCTTAAAATAGTTAACTGTGTCCCTCTGTTAGAGATAGCTATTGGCTGAGGTTTTACTCTGCCAGACTGTATGTTCTCTTTCTTATCTTCCAGACTTTAATACTGACTCAGAGTTTATCTCACTAGCCTTTTAGTTTCTCTACTGCTGCCACTAACCTTCTACTTTTCTTTTACATGGAAAGTATTCCTGATTTGTGCCTCCATGTTCCTTTGGCATGTACATCCTCTCTACTCAAACCCCCAGTCGTCCTCGACAGGAGGCTGTTCATACTGAGCCTGGTTCTGCTGGAGGTTTCTTCATATTAATGAGGATTTTTCTTCTCCACTGTTGCTATATGCATGCTCCGTGGATTGATGCAAACTCAATGACAGATGTAGATGACTGTCTATTGTTATAGTACTCACCCAAAAGTAAACTCTGCTGGGCAATGACTCAATGCAATCTGCTGGGTTTCCTTAGATGGAAAGCAATCTGTTTATATGATTTGATTGAATTCACTTTATGAGTGTGTTGTATGTGTTTTGTTTTTTGATATGATAACAGGGAGAGCTGTGAGGCTTGAACCAACATTTAGATTTTGTACTTTTATATCAGAGACTCTTTGGCCCTCTGCCACCTTAGGGTTGGGTTATGCTTGATGCAAGCAAGCCGTCAGTGACAACACATGCAGCTTTTATGGTCTATGTTTCTTTTTCTCCATTCTGGCTGGCTCCGGGGGGTGGGGGGGTACAGCACAAACAGCAGACTGAGAACACCACTCTACACAAGGTACAAAAAACAGCTTTTTTTAAAGCTTTTTTTGTGGTGTCTAAGCAACAATCATTTTCCCACAATCTGTTGATCTGATCAAATCCACATTTGATAAAAAATGTTTCTCTTTTTTGTCATCCTGTTGCTTTTATTAGACTAAAATTCCCTTCTGATTGACTAATCTGTCCAAACTTCTATCAGAACCTGAGAAAATTTGCTGTCTCAGGTTTAAGTCTTAACAAAAATGTAGTGAAAATAAGTGAAAACTCTTAATTATTCAGACACTATAGATTTCTTAATAGGAGTTAGCTCAAAACCTTTTTTTTTAAAGATGCAACTTAGGGACTATACAGAAGTTGTTTGTTTATTTTTTTTTTGCTGTGTTTCATTGCTATTGCTTCAAATATTAATCAAAAGCAGATTTTCTTTTTCCTTTAAAAAGTTTAATTTTAACTTTAACTTTTATTAATTAAAGTTAATTACTTTAAAACCCATTAAATTAAAGTTAATTACTATTAACTTTAATTTCTGTCTCCTGAGTTTTTAATTTAACTCATACTTTTCTCTTTAATACATATTAAATAATTTACTTCATTACATTTTAATCAGTAATTGGGTAATCCACTAAAGCAACAATGATAGTTTTTATAGTGCTATGTAAATAAATTGAACTTGCTAATGGAGTGACTTATTGCATGTGGTGAAGACTTACATGTTTCTCTACTTCACTTCCAATAGCCCTGCTGCAGTTCAGATAATCTGACAGAGGACCTTTCAGCAGCACATCAAAAACCTCCAGGCTCTGACCTGAAAGCATACAGAGAAATCCTATGTTCATTTTCTCAGTCTGACTTTAGAACAACAGGGACATACTTCAAGAAATGTTTTGAGCAATTTTAAGCTGACTCACCTCCGCCTATGCCATTGACACAGTTCCCATTAGCCATGTTGGAGGAGGCTTGCATTGTAATGGACATTTTCTCTAGGGAAGTCACAGCACACTCCAACCGTTGCATTAAATCCTCCATGATGGCTATCCTGGAAGGAAAAGCAGAAATATATTGTTTAAGAGATATTGACTGTATTAAACAAGACCTTACTCTGATTTTAACCAAGACCTGAATGTGGCCGATGCAACTTGTTGAATAGGAGGACAGTTACTGTTTAGACTATTTCGCCCAATGTAGCATTCACATGCTTTGCCTGTAAGCACAGAAATCCATCATATAAATTTGAATAAACTAATATTAGTTTATGTTTAAAATAACAATATTAAAAGACATAAACATTCTTTTTTATTTTTTATTTCATGTGATGGAGCAAAACTACAAGAAGCAAAAATATTGAGAGGAAATAAAATGACAAATGGTTTTCAAACATCTGAAAATGTATATTCAGCTCCTTATAATCTGACACAACTAAATAAATTCTGAGCTAACAATTGCCTTGGCACTATCCTAGTTAGTAAACAGAGTGCCACCTAAATATCAGTTTAAATCTAATTGTAAACCTCAGAGTTTGAGAACATACCGGTAAGTGGAAATAAAAAAGGGAGTTTTGGAGAAGTTAAAAGCAAGGGTTATGGTATAAAATTATAATAAAACAGACAGGCCTGCAAGGAGATCAGCACTTAGAGAAGAAGCCATAAAACCCTAGGGTAACTCGATAGGAGCTGCAAAGAACCACAGCTCAGGTGGTAGAGTTTATTAACAGGATACTTGTCTGAAAAGTAGAGTAAATAATGCAGAAGAAGTAATGCTTCCATGTTAAGGACATAAGAAGCATTTGGAGGATGTTGCTCTGGCCAAGTAAGACAAACTATTTTTTTCCAAAATGCAATGCTTTGTAGAATAGAATACAAAATCAACTTACCGTACTGAAATGAAAAAAGGAAAGGGAAAACAAAAACGGTAAAACAAAACAAAAAAAAAAAAAAAAAAAAAGAAGACAAAACGCAAAAAAAAAATAAAGAAAAAAAAACTAATAGGGAGAACTCCATCTCCACAGTGAAACATGGTGGTGGTAGCTGATCAGAGTTCTTTGGGGAGATGGGTGGAGCTTAATATAGAAAACAGCATTACTATAATGGATCTGATCAAAACATCCCAACATGCTACGATGGTTCAGTCAAAGTCCAGACCTAAATCCAAACACCTGTGGTAAGATTTCACAACTCAACATTATATGTTGAACTATCAAATAGAATAAAAAAAAATCACTGTAAAATATATAAAGTTTTCTGAATATAATTCATATTTACCAGAACAGAAACATTTCTTATCGCTTGAATAACTGTTAACCAAAAAACAGCCGATTCTGTTTTAACACTGACTAGCCATAAGACTCATCCTGAGACAATATGCGTTCCTGTTTGCAACATTCATTATTCAGCCAACCTGGAATTTAATCCAGCTATCCAGTCCCTGTTTCTGCAAGCTACTGCAGGGTAACACCTTTAAAATATAGTCCAATAACCTGAGTGATATTTTTATTCTCCTTTTTGTGGTTTCAAAAACGCAAAATGGTGTATATCAGTGATCCAGACTTAATAAAGCCCCCCCCCCCCGTCTGCTAGTTCTGTCTGGTAATTATTAGCTGTGAGCAGCAAACATGCCCAGATGGGTGTCAGTGAGTCATCTCTCAGTAGAAGTCTCCCAGCGGTGACACATGCCTGTCGTAAGACGCAGATGTTATTTCTGCTCTGTGGGCCACCACAGCAGCCCTCATGAACACTCGAAACCTGGAGAGCTCCAGCTAGAATTACGACAGTAGCTACGAAGACAACAAAACGTCTGCAGGAACAAACTCCACTTCATACAATACATATGGTTATATTTCTATAACTGATTTCTGAGTATATAATACTGCTAAGTTTTTTCTATTTTTTTTCTTTTTTATACTTATCTTCTTAATCTTAGGATATAAATCCATTCAGTACAGAAATGTTCCTGATTTCAAAGTATAAACTAGTGGTGGCTCCCGAAAATTTATTTTAAATCAGATATGCCACATTGTAACAAATCACAAAGAGACAGTTTGTTCCTATTTATTGAGCCTAATCTCGCAAAAAATGCAGACACAAATAGTTTTACGGTCTCAACAGACATGATCAAGTGAAGAATGCTGAATCTCCCTGCTTATCCCCTAAGATCTTTGCTGTCATTAATCATCTCTCTTCAGCGCAAGATCTTCAGATGCATTTCATCAGCTGAAGCCGATTTTATTTAGACCTACTTATTTATTTGATGCTTTCAATTTTAGAAAATACACATCTCAGATATCATAATTTGACAGATACATGGACTGGACACAAAAAGGAGAGAACATTTTCTCAAATAAAAAAAAAGAACTTTAACAACACCTAATAAAAACTTGGCTTTGATGACTGATGAACACCATTTTAAAAACAATATTGGAGAGTTTTCCTCATCATGTTTAAAGACGATAGATTGTGAAAACTGATTACCCAACAGCTACTGGTGTGTATTTGCAGACTTTATTTGAAAATGAAAGATTGAATTCAAAACTTGTTAATACAAAGAAAAAAAACAAAACAGAAATTGGCATTGATTATATTTGACATTAATTATATTTGCCAGGTGTTATTATGAGTCCCTTAAAACTGACTGATTGTAGTAGAAGATTTCATAGTTTAATTTTTTTTAAATACTTAAAAAATTGTATTGGATGGTATTGGATCACCAACACTTTAGAAAGTATTGGTGATCCAGAAACTCATTTATGTCATATGCAGACCTTATCAGTCTGGAAAGTAGCGGATAGAGCCCCATTTCAAAGGCTGGACTAACAGAGTCAGCAGAAACACTTTAGAAACAGTCAGATAACTACGGATGTGACACAAAACAACTTTTTTTCTTTCTAAAGAAAAGCTCTTACAGCAGCCAGTTGTTCACATTTTAACAATGTATACAGCCAGTTCAAGATAGGGGCCAAATGGGGCCCAACACCCTGGACCTGACCCCTGTTATGGCCCCTTTTCTGAAAACATACACTGCAAACATTTAAACATAAGTAGGCCCATTTTTCTTTAAGTTAGCGTATTTTCCTTTGATGTAAGATGATTTTCAGAGGGAAAATGATGATTTATGTGTAAAATAAAAAAAAAAAAATATTGTTAATTTAAATGCATTCAGTATATGCACTTAAAAGCATAGAATATATATTATCTCACTCCAAAGGCAAACGTACTCATTCCATTTGCTGATCATCATTTTAATCTGCCTAAATTATGGCAAAAACACTTATAAATACCAATTTATAAAATTTTCCAAATCAATTTCTTATGATGATATGCACTGACAGAAGAGACCGAAACTGATTTGTCCCTTGAACTAATTTGATTTTCCCCCTTTATAATTTACTTTAAAAGTGTTTTAGAAGTTAAAGTCAGCTTTAAGCTTCAACTGTAGTAAGATTACATATTAAGTCTCCTCTGTTAAACTGAGGCTAACTTTATAATCTAAATCTAAATAATTGCTCTAGTTTTCTTCTCTCTTATTTGTGCTTGTAATTTATTAAGATTGCCCCTCCATACACATTTTTTGAGATATAATAACAAACATAGCACCATCAAAGCTGAAATCTTAGCCGTTTTGTTTACAGAGAATCATTGATGCACAGATCACTTTTATGGGTGCATTTCTTACTTAAAAACTATTTTTTCCCCTCTCCTCAAAGCAAATAAAACAAAGCAACTCTCTTGCATTTGTCATTACCAGCAAGAGAAATAAACAAGATCACTCCTCCAGATGCTCTTCAGAGGAGACCGTACACCCTTGTGCTCTTGTGTGCACAAGCATCCAAATGCTCAAAATACAATGTGAACACACCATTAGAAATGAACAACTGAAAATGCTACATTTTGTTGGGTATATATGTGATAGATCATTGCTGTCATTGCAGAATGGAAAGCCCATGAGCACGCAGAAGTACAAAGACATTGATGTCCACTCTGCAAAAATTATGTAAAAATTAGTAAATATTTCTTAAAATACATGTATTTGCCCTTATTTTGGGTAGATAAATAAATTGTCTTATTCCGCTGACAAAGTGTCTCACTTATCTGCTCAATTTAAGGAAAAAAAAAAAGTATTTTAATAAAGATGTTTCCATCTAAACTGCTGCAGCGAAAACACAAACATGGCCACTATGGAGGATCTGCAGAGATGCTAACAGGTCTCTTTTGCAAATGGGAACTTGTCTCGATGAAATAACCTGCATAAATTAAGATTTTATAATAAAAACAATCAAAGATCAAGTCATGTTGGATGATGTTTAGACAGTACAACTATTAGTTGCTCACCCCACCATTAAAAGATTAGTGACGGCATTTACTGAAAGAAAGAAAGCCATAGGAATATGGATGAAGATTCTCTGACCAAATTTCTCCAGGCTGTATTATTCATGCTTTGTATAGTGAGAAACTGATATGGTAGATCACCCTTAACACATCATCACCAAATTAAACTATGGTTATGTGAGCATTATGCACTAGATATCCTTCTTCTTAGTAGGGACAAGGTAGCTTACTTAGAGCTTAATAGGCTTAATGAAAAAAAAATGCAGAGGCAAAATACTTGATACTGTCTTAAAACTAAATCAACATTGAATGTTTTTATAAGAGCAAATTCATGTGTTAAAAGAACTCACTCAAAGCCCAGACCTATTCCACTGAAGACTCTGTGGCAGAAGATTAATGCTTGTTATTGTCTGTTTTTGTCCAATCTGATTGAACCATTGAACTATTTTGAAGACAACTTTGTGCAAAAATATCAGTCTCTAGATGTCCCATGGTGGCAGACATACCTTAACAGACCTGGAGCTCTGATTTTAGCAAAAGCTGGTTCAACAGTACGGTACTAAATAGAAATATATGCCACACTTTTCAGATTTTTATTTGCAGCTAAAATACCCCTTTCCTTAAAATATGCACTACTTTGCATTCAATTAATGAACATTTGTGGTTGTAAAGTGACAAACTTATGAAAAAGAGCAGGGAACATAAAAACCTCCTTAAAGCTCGGTATGTTTCTGTCCCCTGTTACTGATCAGATTTTAAATAAATAGTAGAATTTGAACTGATCTTTTTGTCATTTGGCCAAATTCTCCATGGTGATGTAAGGAGTGCTCAAGCTGTGCCTTTTTTAGCTTTTATATGGTGTTAAATATTAATAAAAACCTTCAACAAACAGCCATCTGCTCATTCTGGAAAAAAATTTTAAACGAATGATGATCCACATCAAAATGTTGGAACCATGTGAATTTTGTTGTATTTTGTTGTATTTTTTGTTGTATATTTCCTGTCTCCATCTGTTCAGGGTCTGCAATGTAGAGATGCAAAAATCCAAAGGCTGAGAAAGTAACACATGGTCATGAAGTATCTCAGCTTGTGTGGATCCAGTGGCCAGGCTTCTATGAGGCTATATTGAGACACAGTCTGTTGTTTGTTGTAATAAGCCCTCTGCAAGATGGTCTAATTTTGGTCTCTTTGGAAGAAAAAGGAGATAAACTTGGAAAAAAAACCCTGCAATTTATTTTCTTTCCATCTGTGCTGAAACTTCTAAAGTTACATTATATGTCATTAAAGCAGGAGACTTGGAGAAAATGATAATATTCAATTCATTTATTTAATAAAGAAAAAATATGTATGAAGAATGTTCACAGCGCATTCAATTCAACTCAGGGATTCAGATAGATGCTAATATAAGAGGATAGAAAATAGATTTAATAAAATAAATCATGACATATAACTGTGAGGATAATTTCAACCACAAATAAATTGATTACAAAAAATAAAACATTGAGGATTTGGGTAATATATATTGTCATGGGAACAACAGATTAATCATCAGTCATCTGTTTTCTTATGTCTAAATTAATTATTTAGGACCTCAGTTTATAAGATCTGAAACTCCCTGATTGTTGTTAACTTATCAGAGCAATTAATGCACTTTACTGTGATTACAATTATTTATATAAACACATGTGTTTGGGTTGTTTCTTTGCGTAAAGGTGTATCATTATATAATAAATATAAAAAAAATACTAAAACAAAGAAAAAAAGAAAGTAAGTTATTTATAAAATGCATCCACAAAGCAGAGATATAAGAGAAATCATGGAGCAGGGAAGATGTTTCCCTATTTGCGCAGAGACGCGCACATCTCCACCCACCAGTCCAGGACCCCCGGCCCATCTGCTCCTCCCTGTCCCTTGCTAAAGTATCTAAAACATCCGATGGAAATATCTTACCTCCCTCCTTTGCTCCGCTGTAAATTTCTTTGGCGGTGTTTAGCTGGGTTTGTCAGTGTTTTCCTCTGTTTTGTTGAGGATTGTGCGCGGTCACCATGCGGTCCAGTGCGCCTTAGAGCTGTGCGCAGCGGCAGCGGCTTGGGTCGCTCTCTTCCGGGATGTCCTAATTAAGCAACACGGTGAACCTGAGAGCCAAAGAGACCAAGACCCGAACTGTGACTCAGTGAATATCCCCTCTGAAGTGGAAAGATAGCTCGAAAGCTCTGCTAAAAATAGACGATAGACTGGGTGGCGGCCCAAGAAAGGGTCTGTCCTGAAGCAATGCTCATTTAACCTTTATTTGAAGTCAAATGTTGGGATTAACTATATTTCAAGTTCAGCTCACAATATTTGAATAATTATTTTGCTTAGAAGCATATAAAAAAAACGACAACAACGCAGAACAAAAAAAAAAATCATATAAATAATTTCTATAGAAGATTAAATGGGTGTCTTGAATATAAAAACTATTAGTAAACATAAGGCTAGATTAGTTTTCTTTAAAGGTGGCAGCGGAGGAGTCATAATCCAAACAGGGTAAATGTTTCTGTAGATTGGCATTGGTGCAGAAGAAAAAGCAATACCCCAAGGAAGAAGGGGGTCTGTTGAAAAGAGAACAAAACTGCACTCCCATGCTGAGACATGGGGATGGCAGTATCATTCTGTGGGAATGCTTTACTTCAAAATTGGTAAACTGTTAAGATTTGAATTGAAAATAGATGGAGTTGAACACATGTGATCCTATATAACAGCCAGAACTACTAGAGTTGCCTCAACTGTTAGCCCCCAGAGGCTGTTATCCTCAGACTTTAATCTAACCTTTGAAACATTCCATGTACATTTCAGCATCTGTAAATCTGTAATCTGTAGTTATAGACTCTGTAACTTTTAGGAATCTTCACTGAAAAGGTAAGATACCTGTTTGTGACGTTATTTGGGTTAAATAACAGATTCATCAGACCAGCTGCTGATTTCCCGATTCAGTCCCTTCTGCACGGATGATGCTTCACCAAAAACATGGCACCATGTCACTCCTAGTTTCACTGCCGACCAAAATACTCCTCCAAGCTGAGTGAACGAAGGCAGAGTATGAGCATTCCCTTTAGAATGATTTATTGATGAGAAAATGAATAAATCATTTCTAGAGCATCACCTCGGAAACTTTATCACAAGTCAGTTGGATCCACGCAAACGGGAAAGCAACAAAGCAGGGGGTTATATAATGGTGTTTTGTTTGCTTTCCTTTTCTTTATTTTTTTTCAATCCTAATATTATAACATATTATAGTACTTTGTTGTTGTATAACTGATTTGTCTCAGCAAGAACATTACTATATATTAAAAAAAAACTAGATTAACCTACATAGAAGGTAGATTTGTAACATTAAAAAGATCAAGACTGGATGTAAATAATTAAAATATTATTTAGACCTAAGATTACTGTCTTAAAGTTATATAAAAATACCCATAAAGAGATGTAGATTTACCAGTGTGTGTAAGATACAATCGCTGATACAGTGTAAAAGGTAAATAATGTGTTTAAATATGCACAAAATTATGATAAACACTTTTATGATGCTGGATTAAATGTGTAGGTTTGTTGCTTTCAATCTGAATTTTTTTTTTTTTTCGCTTTTCTATTCCCCATGACTCATTTGTGATTCCTTTTGAAACAAGGCTTTATGCTGCATGTCATCAGTTGCTCCTGCAGCTGCAAAAGTGACCGTTCTGCTGAATTAACCATGAGTCTCCTGGTGAAAATAACACAGGCACAGATGAAAACAGATGGTTTCACTTCATTTGACAAGGCTGCATTAAATTCACCACCACTTCATTACATTTCTAACAGCGTGTGTTAGGTTTAAACATGATTGTGTAAAAGAAATTCTTAGTTGAGTGCACCAGTGCAGTTCATTCAGGGATATTTCAAATAAAAAGCGGCTTCAGATAGCTGAATAAAAAAGGCAAACAGATTAAATTTAGTTACTGACTGGATCTTTAGCTATTTCATTACCGGCAGGCTGTCATGGATACATTGTTTCCCGGTATTTGGCCAAATTTAAAGCGATACCAATCAATAAACATCGTTCACAAACTGAAGCTCCAGAGAGGGGATTCCGTCAAAGATGTTCTTAAAACTCAGCATGTAGTTTTCTATTACTGCAAATTTCTTGCTTTGAATCAGAATCAGAAAAAAAAAACTTATTTTGATACTGATTCTAATTTGATACATGATATTTAGGTACATTTTCTAGTGACGGTGACTCGGGCGGAAGGTGCTTATCCTGTAACCTATGGGTTACTGGTTGTGTTCTTCTTTGTTTTTGTGTCCTTTGGAAGATACTTCACCTGCCTTGCCTGCTTCTGGTGGTCAAAAGGCCCTGTTTGTATCACAGCCTCATTTGTGGATAAAATTGTGTGTTTAAATGAATAAACAACTGGAAGCAGGTTTGTAGTCCTCTGGCTTAATAAAGCGCTATATAATTAAGCTACAGGCCATTTTTACCATTTTGTAATGGACAAAGATTTTAAAGCTGGGCACTTCCTTCTTTTTCCTTCAATTTTCCATCTTTGCCCATTATTTTTTTTAAACACTGGGTTCACAAAAAAATGGAGAAAAAACTAGGTAACTTTTTTTTAAAGAAATTCTTTTCACTCAATAAAACCCAAGTAAGTTTTACTACCAGATTTCTCTTATCAACAAAAAGATGTACTTGTGTTTTGCTAGGAAATTTTATAAAGAGGTACAGAGACATACAACCACACACAAGAAGAATCTAGAGAAGCCAAATAACCTAACAGTCATGTTTTTGGACTATGAGAGGAAACCGGAGTACCCGGAGAGAACCCATGTATGAATGGGGAGAACATGCACTGCATGCACACAGACTGCGGATTGAACCCAGAACCTTCTTGCTGAAGGCAACAGTTTTGCAAACTGCTCCATCTTGAAGCCAACAAGTAAACAATAATTTCTATTTTTAACCTAAACATAGTCAGGTTAGGAAAAAAAGCACCAAGTTTACTCCTAACATCAACATGCATATTACTTGCATTTGTTAAGCTGGCAACTTATTTTAATTGTTTTGTTAATACTATTTGATAAGAGGAATTAATTTTTTATATATTTTGATGGCTATAGATTTATAAATTAATTCTAAGTAACACATTAAATAAAATATGTCAATTTTAAGTAAATGCATTTGGAGTAAAATTTTACATTAAAACCAAAAATGTGATAAAATACAGCTAAGACACGTTTATTTGTATCTCCTCTACTTAAAGCCTATTTATGCATGCATTGCAACTCTGGGGTCTTGACCCTCAAGGCCCACTGATGGAAAAAATGATTAGAACCACTTCTTGTAATACATTACATGTTGATGTAAAAAATGAAAATAATAATGCATTGCTGTTACTAATAAGAACAAAAATACCACCAACCTTTTATTTTTAAATATAGATCATTTTATTTCACTTTGATTAAATGTGGTTGAAATTCTGAAGTAAAGGTTTTATTATAAATGCTTTAAAAGCCTTCATCCACTGACAATGAAAATGTTTTTTTGTTGTTTTTTTTGCCATTTTCTATTACATATTTCCCTTGTAAGAAAAAGTTCAAGTATAAAAAATTTCCCAACAGTGTAAAACAGCCGATCTGAAGAATATGAAGCAACATAAGCTACTGAAAGCCCAACGGCGGCTATACATTCTAGTAGAGAAAAGCAGCATTTTTTTGCTTTTTTGTAAAACCTCTTAATAATTCCTCTCAGCTAAACATAGATGACTCAGAGTACAACCTGCAATGCAAACAGGCCTGCATTAAAATCCACAATGCAACTATTTTATGTTTTGTTCTAAATAGTCCAAAAATAAAAAGTACAGTGCACATAACAGTGTTTTAAATAACTTCTACATTATTGTTTTTGGTTCAGCATGTTAATAATAATAATAATAATAATAATAATAGTAATGAACTAATCAATAACTTATATATGCCTTGAGATGAGTACATAATAATATTAATAACACAGTACCTCCACTAAGTATCTACTCTTAAGAGTGTCAACAACCTGCAAAAATAAATAACTTAAATAGTTTTTTGTCCGTTTTTCTGTTGTTCTCTAAGTTAAATAGCTGAAAATACTGTAAGGCACATAGACCGACATGACATCAATGAGGAAACCCCTATTTTCTCCAACCCCCACCTACTGGTTCTAACAGATTCGAGCCAGGCTAGTTGTCGGGTTAGCTTTGGAGAAATTCTGAGTGCGTACCTGACACCCTGCTACAGCAGCACAGAGGTGGAAATGCTGACACGACTGGAGGAAGGGGGGGTAGGGGTCATGGTGGGTGCCCAGGGGGGGGGTGGAGGGGTGTAATGTCGGTTCCCAAAAGGGCTCTGCCGGGGATTAAAATGTGACAGCTCAACAAACGGTGCGTTCTTTCCAGAGAGATCCATCTGTGCAGCGCTGGAGTTGCTGCGTCCACCAATCCCGCCCCCTCCAGCAGCTGCCCCCTCCATCACAGAGAGAAACGCCACTGTGCTGCTTTTGCTTTTCAGCACTCTGCTGCCTCTGGATGCATGAATGTAAGTGAAATGTAGAGAAGCAACAGATTTAGTGTTTCTCATTGTTTCCCCCCCTCTTTTTTGTCAGGGTTTCTGTTGTCTTTTCCAAATCCCCCCCCTCCTCCCTCCATGTAGTCCAAGAGTCTAGTCAGAGCTGATGACAATTTCAGTTTCTTTCTCTTTTGTTGATTTGTTTGCTTTGCATAGGTCAAGAGGTTGAGGCTGAGTAAAAAAAAAAGTAAATGGGACATTCAGCATCAGGAAGATTATTCAGCAAGTTCTTCACATGTGTTTTCCACATGACGATTAACAACACCTAGACTTCCAGACCGAACTTTAGAGAAAAAAAAAACACATTGGAAACGGTTTCATTTCCCTGATTATCAGAAAACATCAACTCAAAAAAAAAAACATAAAACAAAACATACAAGCAGAACCCTCAATGTGTGATATTAACAAAAGTAATAAATAAAATAAAAATGTTATGAGGGCATTAAATAACCAAGTAACACTTTGGAAACATGACAGGCAGAAAAATAGAGGCTATTCCTCAAAACTAACGTTAGAGACAGCATTAGGACTTTAAGGCCAACAGTGTAACACCCTGTCTTCCTGTCATTCGTCTCTAGAAACTCTACTACAGTGGCAGTAGCAAAAACAATAGTATTCATAGTAATACCAACAGTGATAATTTCCTAGGTTTGTTCTGTGACCTTTTTCTCATTTTCAGCTTTTTGTTTAGATAAAGCACAGCAAGTTGGAGAGATCCTATCCCACCTCACTATTATCCTCACCACCACTAACTTTTAGGGAAACTAAACCTCGGAGTTGACAGGATCCACCATCAAGGCAACTCCATCTGTCTTCTTGTATCCTTGTCATACTTCAGCTGTGACCAGCGGTGGATCGTCCTTCTCTTTGCTTGTGCAACAGTTGCAGCCGCTGCTATTGCATGCGATCGGCCTGCATTTGCTGAGCCTGGTATTGCCCGAAAGCTGCAGCTGCAGCAGCCGCTGAGCCTGGGGCTGCGGTGGCTAAAGGCTGCTGGACAGCAAAGCCGTAACCAGCGGTGGCCATGTAACCTGGGGCAGCGGGAGAGGCGGCATAGGGGTATTGCTCGTAGGCCACGGCAGCTGCTGCGTTGGCTGCTGCGGAGTACTGTGCATAGGCAGCACCGGTGTAGTCGATGTAAGGAGAGGTGGCGGCGGCGGGAGCGGCAGCTGCAGGCTGCACATGAGGAATCACCACACTGGGCTGAACGAAGGCCTGGGGGTACACATAATGGGTCGGGATGCTGTGGGAGAAACAGACAGACATGCTTAACCTTTGACTATCGGAAGAAGTCACCATAAAAGTCCACTTCACCACACTGCACCTGAGCACTCTTCCCAACCAGGTAGCTTAATCAGCAACAACAAAGAAGCAGCTGCTAGTAGGAATCAAAACAACGCAGGGTTGCCAAAATAGAAAACTACATATCTCTCTGTTTGAAAAAAAAAATTGATCTTTAACAAGAAAAATATATCAAAAATGGGCGATTAATCTCTACGGAAATGGTAAGACACATGGACTATTCAGCTTTGTGTATCAAGAACTAGAAATTAGATTGACAATGTTCTTCATCTCCCAAATGTAGTTTCTGCTCATTGAAAAAAAAAAAAAAAACTTTAATAATTTACTTTAAACTTAAGCTCAAATCTTTATAATTTAATGTTTTCAACACCAAATGAATTAGTGTTAAATACACACAGATTGTTAGCTATGTTGTTCCTTTTATACCAGAAAACCAAACTGGGTTGATTTTATTTACACTCTCAGAAAATATACTCCTTTTCAGAACATGTCTAATTAAAATGATCAGGAGACTTTCAGCTGGATCAGCACTGATGAGTGACCAGCAAGTGAGCAATTCAAAAATCAAATAATTTTCCAATCACTAAAGGCACCATACTCAATTACTATCAGGCTGCACAAACAGCACTCTTAGATGTGGAAGTTGTTACTGAGTGAAGACTCAAGGTTAGATTGTTTATTGTAAGACTTTCAGTAGATAAAAGGAAGGCTGTGCAAAGGAAAGTTGCTGTGTTTTATCATGCAAAGCATCTAACACACCAAGCTTGATTGGGATATGTTGGCTGCATTTCTTAGATTCTATAAATCATTAATAACATTCTTTGAGAAACACCAGAGGGAAGCGAGATCTGCATTTTTTTTTCTTTTTTAAAGGCCAAAGTTTAGGATCTGTAACCTGCAGCTCATCTGCCATTAACTGCAGCAGTTCTGTGAACGGCAGAGGCTTACAGTGCCAGGCTGCCTGTGGGGAATCAGGGCCAGAGATGATCCCAGGGACGCATTGTGAAAATGTCACTGCCACTTTGACAGCTGGACAGTCTCAAAAAGCCACACTGCTGACCATTTCCCCCTCTGTGTGGGGACAAAGAGCTGGAGGGGCCGATGGGGGAGCTGGGACAAGGCTCTGCACCAACAGGGATGCCTCATATTAAATAAACAGTTCTGAACAATGAAAGCATTCTGCCCTCCATGACATAGCCTTATCCCACCCGAAAAACTCTACAAGGTCTGAGAACCCAGCCTGAGTGGAGGGATAAATATACTGAAATTTTTCAGTCTTTTTCAGAGAAATTAGGCTCCTCCTCTTACTTCAAGGTAAATGTGGGGTCAAAAGTGACAGATTGAATAAGACTCTATCATGGCAACCCTATTTTAGTGCAAACCCCTATCTAGTCTGATCAAAAATTCCACCACGAAAAAGGACAAAACTGGAAAACAAAACAAAAAAATCAAAGCACCACAGAAGAAGAAATAAGTGGAAAAGATAGAAAGCCAATATCACAACACATAAGCCGATGTAAAGAGGGCAAAAAAGAATTACTGCTAGATATGAAACATGTAAAGTAAAGATGAAGGGCTTATTGAAGGATAAGATATTCAACAAGCAAACATCTACATGTTGTTGTTGTTTTTTTTTTAAAGCTAAATAGCTAAAATCCCTTTACTGCAAATGTTTGGTGTTTTCCTCACTAAACCTAATCTGAAAACTTTCAGAAACAGGAATTGTGTCATCATGTGATTTTGAAATTGTACTTTGAAGCCCCCACTAATCAATCTCAGCAGGTCCTCTTGGCTTTTCAGGGCCAGAGCTGGTCTGGTCTAAGAATTCTTACATATTACTGTGCCGACATACAAGGGGAGCCTTATAATAGGAGAAAATGTGTTTAAGGGCATAAACATTTTTCTGCAAAAAATCTTGGACAAATAATTTAATTCTGATAAAGTGGATTTGATAAGGTAATGATAATGTCAGTTTCATGCATATATATAAATATTCTGGTTTGTAAACACATGCATTCATTAAAATTTCAAAGACAAATATCTTATACTTTTAGTTAGATTTTTTTTTAAATGACTGAGATGGTTCCAGTTTAGGGATAGATAATCCACATTTTCTTCATACTGTTCATTTTGGCTTAAACAATACACAAAACAAAGGAAGGAAGCCTTATTTTTGCATTCAAAGACTTACTTGATTAAGACTCTTCCTGAATTTTTTTTCTTCTTGTTCCTCACCTTTCTATTTTATTGGTGTGTGTTAAAAGCCAATGTAAGATAAAAAATAATATTGACAGCAGGGTTAAAATGATATAAATCCATAAGATTATTTTATTTAAGAAGAATCCCTGTTTGGCATCATGCGAGAAAAGCTGCATCCTAGAAGTGAAGGATGTGTGATCAAATCCTTGTTGCATCAGGAACAGCATGCAGTGTTAAAACTGCCAGGTCTGTATGCAAATTATAATGACCTGCTTTGGCAACCCGAGCATAAATGCACTCTATTATAGGATTGGGATCAGATATATTATGATTCAAGCTAAAACTTTTACTTTTCTCATTATATGACTCTAATCCTCTAGTTTAAAAATGTCTCATTGCAAAACATATCAGCATATCACCCTGACTTTGCAGTATTGCTTCAGCTTTTTGATGACTTCCATATGACTCATTGTTTGATTTTATTTATCGTTATGCCTCCTAAATACCGACGTCATGGAAAAGCCCTCATTAACATTAGTGGGACTAGACTACGCAAACTCACTTCAATAACTAGCTTGCAAAACGACTGAGAAAGCCACAACAACTCAAACTTATAGTGTACATCTATGTCAGTCAGTTGTACTGCTTTTCTATCTTCATGTAAACGTTAGCTGTGCTGCAGTGCCGACACCAGCTAGGTGCAACAAGTGGAGAATCTGCCTACCTGTGCTAATTCTCTGTTGTTGTCTTCTTTCTAAAACTGCTAAAAAGCATTAAGTTCCTAAATGATTGTTTCATATTGTTTTAAAACAATAACTGTAGCTATAAACATCCGATGTAGATTTAACCAGTTGAATCTGTTTAACGAGTGTGGCACAAATGTAAACATAACTACAATATGTAAAGATAACTAAATATGGCATCCTAATTCCAGCATCCCCATGCTGAAACACAGTAAAGGTTGTGTCATGCTGGGGGACTTTTTTATGTTAAAGGATGAGAATGCTCTTCATCCAGCCTGTCTGAACTTTGCAACAAACAATGTAAAATATTTTCTCAATTAAAAGTCAAACCTGTAAGAAAATAAGGATTTGCAGCAGGAGTTTCCGAGTGAGAAGGAAAACCAGTTATATTTCTATTTGTCATTTCTTTTCACACATATTTTTTAAATACTTTTTATCACTGCTCTATCAAAAACACATTATTTAAGACAGTGAACAGTATTGTTTAAAGGACTTGTTAAAATCTCCAAGGACTAACTTTGCCATCACTTGCTTGACGTTTAATTGAGCTCTTATGTCCTTGACCCACCACATTTAGCGACATGTTTAGATCTAATAATCCACTGATATTCCAAACATTCCTACAGGGTTATTGAGCCAATAAAATCAGAATTAGCAGCAGGTAATTATTTTTTATTTAAAGACAAAATGATCATGTCTAATAAACCAATTAGGGTTTTCTGTTTATTCCTGAGATATTCCCTTTAAACATTCACATGGTTACATTTATCTGCTGATATTAGATGATGGACAGTTCCAACTCTATTGATGGTGCCCTTCATCCACACACACACACACACACACACACACACACACACACACACGACTCTGGGCTTCATGCGACTGCAGTGTCAGCATTCAGGGCTTTGTGCGCCACAATGGAAGCGCTTGTTTTCTTTAACACCACGACCCCATGTGACGAAAGCTCGCAGTAAAAGAATAAGAGCGAGACAGAGACATCCAGACATTTGTTTGTGTCACAGTGGAGACTATGGTGAACTGGGCTGAAGTGAGCATGCGTGATGATATACAAAGGCACACAAAGACAATACGATCCAGGACTTTTGTGTGGTTTTGTGAAAGTGGTCACATAAGCATCCACCTTTCAGTTACAAGAAGCTGATCTTTGGTGTTTTGCAGAGGGAGCCAACATACTTTAAAATGTGAAGCAAGCTGTGTTAATTTAAAGTATGGATGAGGCTATGAGTACCTAGCAATTGCCATATGATTCTATCGGGAAAGTGCAGAAAAGAAACTTCACACAAAAGGTTCATCTTTTAGTAAACCAGAAAACACATGGAACAGCAGGTTCGGTTAGGCAATTAAAAAGAATATATAAATAAATAAGAAAATAACACCAAACAAACAAAAAAAACGTTGCTTTAGTTTGGTCAAACTGCCACACTTCCTCAAAAAAATAAATGAAACAACAACCCAAAAGTGAAATCAATCGAAACCCCCCCCCACTATGGTGCATGGTTTAACTAACAGCAACCACTTCATTACAGCACACCAACCTAAGCTCTACTCAAATAAAAAAAAAACAACTCCAATCAAAATGAAACCCACGTACATGCATCTGTAATCACCATTATGAGAGCACGTATGTGTGCGATCGAGTCTACGGGTAATTCCCTGGCCTGATCTGAGTTTAGGCTCGCAGAACAGATAGCTTAAGAGAGATCGAGCCTGTTGAACCAGAGAGAGAACATTGAGTCAGGCCAATGGGTCGCCATCTTTAATCCACTCAACATACATTCACACAGAAAAACCTTCAATCTAGATTAGTTACAATCTAGAACAACACTGGAAGTGTTTAATCACAATTAAGTATTTCTACGCTTTTAGATATTCATGTTTTGTCACGTTACATCCAGAAACAACAAGTCTTGCTAAGTCAAATGAAAAAGGTACATAGTAGGATTTTTTTTCTTTCAAGCAATATTTACATGCATTTGTAATCAGCCTCTTGGGTCATTAAGTTATGTACGCATTTTTAGCTTTAGGTCTTTTTGGGTAAATCTCTACCAACTTAGCCAATTTTCTTTGAACGTTTCAGGTATAGTTGATGTCCACTTTAAAAAAAAAATGCAGATGCACAATCCTGTACCTGCTCCTGAGAGGGAACATCTATTATACGCATGTGAGAGCATGCACAAACCCATTTCAATTCGTGCACGCTCTGATTAAAAGTTTAAGTTTGCATTGCACATACAAGCTTACTTTCCAAAAGAAGATTTGCAATTTTCCCACTATGTCAGACTCACCACTGTTAAGTGAAAATGGGGAGGAGCACATAGGACAGCCTTATGTAAATATATCACCAGAATGATGGACATTTAGGAGGACCACTTATTTTGATAATCCACCAGGAAAAAAGAACATCCTGCACTATACCTTTAATTGTCAAGTTGTGCTACAGTTTCTTTAGTTGGGGGTTCACATTTTAAATGGGCTTTTCTAAAATATGAAAGTGCTTAATAGTAGCTTTCCTTGCCATATGTGGCTCCATCCATCTTCCCGTTAATGTTGATCAGTTGAAGATTAGCATTTGCTGCAAATATGATGTGTAAAGTGTGCTGCGGTGTTGATTCTGCATTTCAATATGCACCATGACTAGAATGTTATTCTCCAAGCCTACTGTGCTTGTAGCATGGTTTTGAAATTGATCTCCTTAGGATTTTTTTTTGTTTTTGTTTATTTATTTTGTTTATTTAGGTTATTTTCTTAAGGCTGTCCAATAAATAAAAAAACCTGAGGTGTTGATTTCTACAGGCCCTGTGGAGTTAGCATGGGACATTTGTCATATTGTTTCATTGGTAACATGCTGATAATATTATTGGAGGATCACCGAACATTAAGTTCTGATATTGTTCTCATCTCCACAGCTTTGTTCTTAACCTTCATGATGTCGTTTGTTCACTAACAAACTTCTGAAGCTTTCACAGATCAGTTGCATTTACATTTAGTTTAAATTAAACACACAGTGGTGACCTCCAATATCTGCTTTTTTCAGGGCTATGAAAATAAAGAAGGCTGACTACAAATGTATGCAACATTTCTGTAAAATCATTTCAAAATAAAGCATCCTTTTTCATCCACTTATAGATTATGCACTTCTTTCAGTTGCTTTGTACTGTAATATAAAATCCCAATACTTTACAGGCATGTAATGAAATCAGTAAAGTTTAAAGGTTAATAATATTTTAGTGAGGCATTATGATCTACAGCCAATCATTTCTTTAAATGAGAAAACAGAAAATTTAAACTGGTGGGAATGGTTAAAGCAACAAAGCAAACAGACTCCCCATTTCTTACCCATAAGGCCTTTGGATAAACGCTGGGTGGATTTGGGGAACACCAAAGGCAAAACCTGAGAAACAAAATAAAATGCAGAGTTTAAAATAACACTTCTACACTATCAGGAATCCTGAGTATTTGGTTCCTCCTCAGATCATGTACAAAACAAGCAGGGCTGGATTTACCTGGCTGCATCACCCGAGGTTTAGCCCCCAGATAGGCCAGGTTCACATTGGCCTTCCTCCCATCGATGATCGGATTTGGGTCCTTGCATGCTCTATCGGCAGCAGAGCGGTCCACCATCGTCACCTGAGAGGGATGATAGCAGATAACAGAGTTTCATTCATCCAATAAAGATTAAAAAAGAAACACAGGGTGTATGTGTGTTAGTGGAAGAGCTAGAGAAGCACAGGTTGTTAAAGTTTCACCTTTGGCCGCTCTTAACCGTTTATTAGTCTTACATGGATATAACCTAAAAGTGAACCAGAATGACATGACCACTGATCTTTCACATCATAACATCATTTATCTCATGATTTTCATACAATTTTCCTTTAGAGAAGCTCAATGTCATTATTTAATTTATGACCTTTGGTGATTTAAGACTGATATTAGAAGAAATAACAAAGAGGGAGATTGGGGTAAATATATTTTCATGTTAATTAAGAAATCATGAGGTTAACCCTTTATAAGACAAGTTACCGTTTGATCACTTGCATACCCTTACAAACAGAGTCCAACCTGTCCCTCAGTGAGGTCTAGAAGCACAATATCTATATCCAGCCATTCAGCAAAGACACTGCTACATGGCTGTACATCTTATTTTGGCATCTGACCAATTAGATAAGTCCTTGAATGATATATTACCTACTGTAAATTAAGTTGAAGAACAAAAAGTCAAGAAAAAAAGGTAAAAAGCTAATTGAAAAGTTTAAAAGTTAATAAGCGTAGTTAAAAATTATATTTAGGTTTATAAACTAAAAAATGCAAGTTCCAGTATCAGCATTAATGCCTCTAAGGTTATGTTGTACCAAAAACAGGGTTTCTTTTACTCTGAGTGTTTTTCCATGGATTTCTTATAGAAGCACCTTTGTTATTTTTCTTATTTTTCTTAATATATTCAGACAAGTTTTTCTTGTTATTACATTGACATTGATTTTTACCATCAAAATATCTATATTTTTTTAATGTTACCAAGGTAATAAGGTCTTGTCCTGGATTCCAATAACAGTATTGGCTCTATAAAGGGTTAATGTTGGACAGCTGTGAAGAAGAATGAAGGTCTGGCTATGTTCATATAGGATTTTAGCTTTTATTGAGATATTTGTGGCTGAAAGAACTTTAGATGTTGGTTTCAATTTTTCTTTTTCTTTTTTTTTTTTTTTTAAATATCCTTTTCTCTTTGTATTATTTATCAAGGAGAATAATTTATCAGAAGAATCTTTCTAAAACTGCAGCGACAATCCCTTAAACAAGTAATCAAATTAAGTTATATCACAACAATTTTGTAAATACAGCAAAACTGAAGTTTGAAGGTAAAATTATATATTTTTTAAAAAGATCATCATCGCCACTCTATATTAATTAATATCATATTCTTCGAAAAATAATTAGTTGAAGACGGATTCACCAAAGTATGCTGGATATGCATACGTGAATTACGCTTCACGTTTCTTTCTGTTGTTGACATCTTTGTAGTCTGTTGAAGGGTTTTTATGTAAACTCAGTTGTATTTGAATCCAGACTTGAACTAGTCCTTTCCAAAAGTTTTGTTTCATAGTTTCATCCATTTTCTTAGGATTATTGCCTTGCTGCGTAGCATAGGTGTGCATTCGCTTATAATCTTAAACAGATGTACACAGCCCCCAGGTAAGCCAACTGTTTAAAAGATCTGTCATAAATTACGTTTTTTTGACATAGCCAATCAAACTTTTTATTTTTGTGGCGCACTTGTCTAAAACCACTACTGATCTTAAGAATCATCCAGATGCTTTGGTAAGGATCAAACGACTCAGTGTTGTTTTTGGGTGTAACCTTAGGACGCACTTATGGAGGCCATCTTTGACCTGTTCTTGAGTTTGTAGCAACAACCAGGAAATTCTGAACCTGGAATCAAAGGCCATGAAGCGGTGTCTCTAGTTAAAAACTGACACAAATAATCAGAACCCTAACCATTCAGAGTTGAGAACAAGTATTTAAAATGTTATTCTAAAATATAGTGTCACGGGTAGACAGTGTAAACACTGGTGATATTACAGATTAAGTAAGAGGTCTGGCTGCTGCTGAATACATAGAAGGCATGAAATTAATGATCTATCCAGAGCAGCAATAAAAGAGCACTAATAGTGCATTTTTGTCATTGCATTTATGCTCTTTTTAGCACAGGACTGCAAAGATTCAATATTGTTGACGTTTTTTATGACCTCCTATTTGAGCTCTCAATGTTCTCTTGAAGTTATTCTGTTAGGTAAAGTTCACCATTTTTCCATATTCTCTATTTGTGCATAATGTCTCCATGGTTCTCTGGAGTCACTGAAAAAGCCCTTTTAACCTTCTACTGATGCATTTCTCATAACTTTTGATTTATTGGATGTTAACTATGTATATGCTGGTGAAGATTCTCAGTCATCCAGGTCATAGTTATTCCAAAAAAGTTCAAAAACAATCCACTGGACTTTGTTTACAAGTTTCAAAGAAGTTTTCCTTCCCATCCAGGAAGCTTTTTCAATTCAAAATGACAGAAATAGAGTTGAGTTCGAGGCTTTACAGAGTAGACCAAAAGTGATGGTCAAAGAGATTCTTGGCCTGGAATCAAAGGCCTTTTTTTTACTTTTACTTTTTTTTGGAATGACCTACGTATACTTATGGTCAGAAAGGTTGTACTTCAGTTATTACTTTTTTATTCAGGGTGAAGATTCCCCTTTCTACGGAAGAGGTTTAGGGCCAGTGAAAAAATTTTAAAAAGTTAACTGATTTTTTATTTCAGTATAATGTGAGAAAAAAGTCAGAATTCTGACTTTAATCTCAGAATTCTGACTTTAATCTCAGAATTCTGGCTGAATTCTGACAGTTAACAAACATTTTAGCATCAAACCGTAGCCATGTCTGTTTTAGAGACTAACCTAGCTCTCTTGTTTTAATCACTTTCTGCTCTTCCATTAATGAAATAGCATCACTTGGGACCCTCAGGCACGTTTAAGTCGCCTAATTCCATCCTTTTCCACTAATGTGTTACTGGCACTCTCAAACAACTCACATCTTTGTCAGTAAGAGCTGAGTGCTCCCACATCTCTTCCTTCATGGTGCCCATCTAGATTAAGATCCAAAATGTTAAGATTAATGTCAGAATTTTGAGATTAAAGTCAGAATTCTGAGAGAAAAAAGTCAGAATTGTGAGATTAAAGTCAGAATTCTGGGAAGAAAAGTCAGAATTGTGAGACTAAAGTCAGAATTCTGGGAAGAAAGGTCAGAATTCTGAGATTGAAGTCAGGATTCTTAGATTAAAATCAGGATTCTGAGAAAAAAAGTCAGAATTCTGGGAAGAAAAGTCAGATTTTTTTAGATTAAAGTCAGAATTCTGATATTAAAGTCAGAATTCTGGCTTTTTCCCCATATTAAACTGAAATAATATTTAAAAATCAATTAACTTTTTATTTATTTATTTTTTTTTCAGTGGCCCTAATCCTCTTCCGTACCTTTCCTAATATAACACTCCATCAGAAACAACATGTTCTATTTATTCATATTTTCCCAATGCGTGTTTTTTGTAAACGTTTGGGGGTGGAAAAGGTGCCCCAATCCCACAAAAGTTAGATCAAGTTTTCAGAGCCTGGATCACACTCCTAGGTGGCGATGACATCACCGCGTTTCATTCGGCATGTGAAGCAACATTTACTGTGGGACTAGTCTGTGCGCTCAGCAGCTGTCAGCGAGCTGAAAACAACGTGTCAGGGCGCAGAGCTGCGGAGCGACAAGTTTGGAGATTGCAACAGAGGCCAGGGGCAGATATAAGCAGTGGCAGCTTATCAAAACATAAACAACCCATGACCAGAGGCAGATATATCACTGAGAGCAGAGCTGTTTGGGAAAGACAAGCAGAGGTGGCTGATTTAACACGCGCAAAACAATTGGATTTTAATAGTTGGAGCTGAGCTTTATACTACTTTAAAAGCGATACTTACAAATCCATAACCTCTGGACTTGCCGGTCTGTCTATCGGTGATCACCACCGCCTCTTCAATCTCACCAAAAACCTCAAAATATTTCCTGAGACTTGAGTCCGTGGTGTGGTAGGGAAGACCGCCGACAAAGATCTTCGTGTAGGTCGTGTCCTTTTGCGTGGTGTGCATCGTTAGTGCAAAAATAAAAACTAAAACACAGTAAACAGATTTTTAAAGGCTAGAGTAGTGCAAAGTCTCCTTATCAATTGGGTTTTAAAAAATAGAGAAAAAAAGGAAGGAGATCAGGTAAAAATAAAAATAAAAAATGTCGACAACGATGGAGCTCGGTGGAGGTAGATTTATTCTCGTCGCGGATAAGAGGACAGAAACATGGAGCGGATTGTCCCAGAGATGAGCATCAGGTGCTTCCAGCTCCCCTTCAATAGCTGTGCTGTCTAACTAAATAGCTGCGGGTTCCATTCCTAAAAGCGTCCCCTTTAGCTCCACCCAGCTCCTCTGCGGACCGCCCCACAAAAACAGGAGCGCACCATCAGTTGGATCTTCCTCACATGAACTTCTAATCCTTTTTTGTTCCTTTTCGGAAATTAAATCATGCAAGATGTGCTAATTTTCTCAGATTACGGAATTAAGATTATTTTTACTGTGTATTTACAGCAGTGGTGGAGAGAAGTGCAGTGTTGCCTTTATTATTTTTATTAGAGTTGGAAAAAACCCTCTCATCTGATAGGCTACAATATGCACTGCAAAAAAATCCAAATCTAAATAAATCAATTTTTCTTAAAGTAGGTGCATTTTTCTTAAATTTTTGGGTGGTTAGTGAGACACTTTGCCAGTAGAACAAGACAATTTACATTTAAAATAAGACAAAAACAATTACATTGTCTTGTTTCAAGTGAATATTATCTACGGTAATTGTCTTATTTTAAGAGCAAAACTACTTATTCTATTGGGAAATAATCTTATTTATCTGCTCAGATTGAGGGGAAATACACTTAATTTAAGAAATTTTGACTTGTTTCTAGATCGTTTTTGCAGTGTGGACACACCGCATCATCTAAAACGGCTTCTGTTGTTGTCAGCCCAGCACGCGCACGCGCGCGCGAGTTGTGTGCGTGGGTTTAGTCCCTCGGCTGCGCGCACCCTGTATTACCTCTTATAACAGATCAGGAATTCAGTGCGCAGTCTTACCTCGGCAACAGACTTAGACTTAGACAAACGTTCATTGTCACTTTGTATACTTGGAGTGTATACAAAACGAAATTTCTTACATTCAGTTTTCCAGCAGTAAATGAGCAGCAGCTTAGCAGGGAATATGAACATTTTTATTTATGAAGTGCAGCAGTGATCAAGATATAAACAGTATGGGAGAGACATGGTGTAAAAGGCATCAATGTGGAAGGTTCAGAGCAGTGCAAAAAAAAAAAAAATAGATATGGTGCAAAATGCAGTAGAAACACTGAGTTCAGTTCTATTATGGAGGTACCGTGTAGTGCAGGTATGATGTTGTCAGTGATGCAGAGTCTCGATTTGTGACTTGATTTGAGTTTTCAACAGTTCAACAGACTTACGGCAGCGGGGAAAAAGCTGGTGCAGAACCTGCAGTGGATGCTTCGAAGCCTCTTCCCGGAGGGCAGCAGGGAGAACAGTCCATGGAGGGATTTGTGAGGGGTCGCAGATGTACATGCAGCACTGGGATGAAATGTCTTTAATGGAGGGAAGAGGAGCCCTGATGATCCTCCCTTCTGTTCTCACCACTCTTCTTACATTCTTCCAGTCTGCGGCGCTGCAGCCTCCACACCACACAGTGAGACGGCTGGTCATAATGCTCTCTATGGTGCTTCTATAGAGGGTTGTGAGGATGGGTCGGGGCAGAAACGCCCTCCTCACCTCCCATAATCTCCTTTATTCTGTCAAACTTTATCTGGTTGGTACTGTGGAAACAAACCTGTTATGGCCCACGCACTTTATCTTTATTACTTTATTCATAGTTCCTGCTTACTCTGGTCAATGCTAGCATCCATGTTGTTATACATGGAGCGCTGATGTGCACTTCAACATGATGAATACATGTGTTTATTTAAAGAAGGTGGTAATATGACGCCGCTGAGTTTTATTCCACACTTGACTAAAAAAAGCAATGGTTTATGAAAAGAGTGCAGTGATGGGCTAAGCCCAATATATATGTTTCACAGTGAAACACCAATGGGGGACATTTTTAACCCCCTTGTTTTCGAAATGCTTGTATAACTGTTACAATAAAACCCTGCTTTCTCTATCACTTCATAACTTTTCTTAAAATGGATCCAGACTGTTTTTTCTTTATTTTAGTTTTACTTAGTTTGAATATGTTTTTAAAAATAAATGGTTTGAACACATTTACTGGATCACTTACACTGTTGCAGTAAGAAATAATCCCATTTAGCGGTTTTAGGGGTATTGTAATGTATTCTAGTGTTAAACCTATTATAATGAATTCTAACCTTGCCTAACTCAGAAACATGCAGCCTAAACTTTTTTTGTCATTTGTCAACCATAGACATCAGGTTATTTTTCAAAGGACCGGAAAACAGAGACTTTTTTGAAGATACCATATGCCACATGACCCTGGGTAATAGTAATTTGCTCTGGTTTATGTATGAATGCAGCACAAACAGGAGGGACAGCAGAGATAGGGGAACAGGCCAGAATGGGGAGACAGAGATGGAACAAGAAGAAATGGTGAAGAAAATTCCTGCGGCCTACGGCGTGTTCTTAGAAGACTGACTAAAAATACTATTTGGTTGATCAAAATATTCAGTACACTTCAAATGAGTTCAACTTCAATCATCATTTTATCAATGACGGTGAATAAATTAGGTGCAACTGTCTCAAAGGGTGATGGACCGGTGACCTGTCCACCTGCCTTTGCCTGATAAATGCTGGGACCGGCTCCAGCCCTCCCCAAATCTAATGAAAGGACTAGGGGTTCAGAAAATGAATGAATGAATGCATCAAAGAGTAGTTTAATAATTTGTCTTAACTTTAGTAAGGTTAGTTTTGCTGGTGAGTAGTAATGTGATGCTCAAATATCTGAGTATTTAAAGGCAGTTTGCAGTTTTAAGCAGTAGGCTTTGGTCTCCAGCGCCAACCAAGGATTAGTTTGTCAATCTGTGGGACAGGGTTCAAATTGATGTCTCATCATAAAACATACTTACCTTAGTTTGGGTTCTTTCTTTTGAAGTTAGACTTATACAATTTTAGGTAAATTAACATGAAGTCATACTAAAAATGCTATACTACCAGTAGTAATGGGAAAGAACTTAACAGGTAACAATGTGGTCACAGCCATCCCTGACTAGCAAATTAACATGTTGCTCTAATTACCCCTTTATGGGCTAAAATGTCTGTTTTAATTGCTTTCACTCCAGAACAAAACTGAGAAAAAAAGGTGCAGGTAACTATAGCATTGTTGACAATATATAAGTGTGTCCAATCAAGTTTCCATTATTAAACAATTATATTTTTCATGTGGTTTTGGTAGATCTATGCATGGTAGTACGGAAAGATGACAGAGGCAGGAGTAAGAATGAGAACAGCACATTTCTTATAATTAAATATTTTGTTGGGTTAGGCTCCAGATGATGAACATTTTTACAGGTGGTACCAACTCACCAGGCTTCTTAAACATGCCTGTTCTGTGGCCAATAATTCACAAACACATTGAGCTGAAACCAACTCTTAAAAATGAAATGAGAAACAATCCGGAAAACACTTAATAATTTACTTCATATACACTTAGATGATAAGACCATCTGGAGATGAGTCATTTATCTTGATAAAACTTAAACATTTATTATTTATATCACTATGTGTTCTGCAAAGGGAGTGCTTTAAAGTTTTCCAACCTCTTTAACTTTTATTACATTTTGTCCTGTTGCAACCACAAACTCTTTTTGTAGAGTTAAACAGCAGCAGGAGTACTGTATTTTTCCTTTCTTTCCAAGGAATATGTAACAATTTAGTATGGGTCTGAGCCAGTGCAACCAATATTAAGTTTACTTTCCCCTTGTTATCTTTCCATCTGTCATCAGATTTACCCTCAGCTTGTTTGTTTTTGGGCAGTACATAAACGGATAAAGCTGGCTGTTTTACCAAGATGGTGCTTTATATCTTGATTTACAGGATGAAATTAAGGTTTGTATTACTTAATAACCTGTTAATAACCTGTTTTGTTTGATATTAATTCACTGTAAGCTTATCATTATCATCTCCATTGTAGTGGTTCAAATTGTAATTGTTTCCTGAAGCCGACTGTGATTCATTTTTCATGGTGTTTTGGGTTTTGGTTTAAAAAAATAAAGGAAGCAGCTTCCATTGAAATCATTTGGGCTCGATTTCCTAAAAATATAAACCTATAAAAGGACAGTGCACTGCAGCTTTGTACATCTAGAGACTTTGTTTGATTTTTGCCAAAAAAGAAAGTCAAGATCATTTACATAAAATTCACTGCTTATCAGTTGGATTTAGACATGGAATTTCTCTATGCTGCAAAGTGTCCAATATAAAGCTTCCCCATCCTTGCTAAGAAAGACATCCAGACAAAATAATGCTGCTACAACCATGTTTCATCTCAGGGATGGTTCATTCATGGCGTGAGTATGCAACAAAGTTCAGTTTTATTCTCATCAAACCCTTGAATTTTTTTCTTTTTCCTAAATCATTCAATAAGAAATCTATACATTTTCCTTTGTTTTTGTAGGTTTTTTTATGTATTAGTCTGTCAAATCAAAGTGAAGAAAATTAACAGAAGTTCATGGTTGTAGTCTGGCAAACTGAGGAAAAGTTTAAGGGGTTTGAACAGTTCAGGAAGTAACTACTTGTCTCTGCTCCTAAGTATAGAGGTGAAATTCACACTAAGTCGTGTCAAAACTACGAATTACCAAAGCAGGACATATGCGTTTTGCTATTATTTTTGTATTCCAACCATAAAGCAGTAGCTGTTTAGATGTTACCATCAAAGAGGTCTGGGGTCGTCACATCCATGAAAATAGAAACTGTTGCTTTGAAAGGTCTTCTTATTTCAATGAAAAGCAACCTAATCCAGCATCTATCTGCCGGTTCTCTGTTCTCTACCTGTTATATTAATGCCACCATGCACCTTTTAATGTCCTCAGTGAGTTTTGAATAAAAAAGGGGAACTGTTCAGGTTTCTTCAGGTCAACAATGGCGGTCCGGTCAGGTTACGTACTCTAAACATGATCTGTTATGCTGTATGCTGACTAGTCTTAGTCTTGGACAATATGAGGCGACTGAAGAACTGTTCAAAGAAAGGTTCAAATTTAGGATCAATCGACTTACAGATTTAACTCTACCAGGAGCACAGTTTTTAAATGACTAATTAAGAGTGAAACTGCATCAAACAGATGCCTCCCTAGTAAAAAAAAATAAAAATAAATAAAAAACAGTTATAGATTCAAGATTATTAATCTGATTTACATAAAAAAGGAACCAACAGCCTTTAAACTCAAAAGTTGTTTGTCATTCGTTTTGAGATATAATTACCTGACACTTTTTTAAAAGATAGAAAAAAAAAGAAGTTAATATTTATGAATCGGCTAAACATTAAGTGATTTTTTTTTTCCCTAGCCAAAATTCGGATTGTCTTAACACAGCAATTCTGTGCTTTATTGCAAAGACATCATAAAAATAAAAGCTGTTTGTATAAATTACTTCTCCAAAAAACAGATTGTCCTTTTATCTCATAATATTTTCATTTATTTATTTCTGTGCATTTTGTGATTCAGTGCTTCTGAAGATAGTTTCCTTAATGTTGGATGAATAATGTCATGCTTTCTTTATTTTAATACATTCTCTTCTGTTCTAAAGATCCAATGCCACTGCTTCAGTGAATGCAGGAACAACTCACTGAAAGGTCGCCATCTTGTGTTGATTTAAACAACTGCTCTTGAATGAAGAACTCCCAACAGTAAAACAAAAACACACACACAAAAAAAAAAAACAACAACACAAAAACCAAGAAAGAAATCATTTAGTATCTTGGTGAGCATCTTTAATCAAATGTGATAAACTTTACTGAGGTACATTAAAGCTCAGTTTAAAGAGAATTCTTTTTGATTTCCCTCTGAATGTGCAAATTAAATCCTTTGGCTCTCTTCCTCTTTCTTGTCTCCGCTGAAGGACTGATTGGGAACTCCTTTTAGCACTAAGCTAAAATATTTTGTCGTCGTTGTCTTCTTGTTGAAAACTAGAATCACTGTCCAGTTCCCCTGAGGCTGAGAGGAGCTCGCCTGGCCGGAGTTCCTCTACTAGAGTCCCTTCCTCTTCCTCCATCTCACCTCCCTCTGCACTTCTCTCTAAGTCATCCTCACTCTCTCCTCTCTCCTCTGCTGCACTCCTTCTGTTTTTCCCATTTTGTTCTGCCTCGTCCCTCTCCATGCTATGTCCCGCAGCCTCTTTAACCCACTCTCCTCCCACATCTCTTTTTTCTGGGAACTGGCTGATTGCTGGAAGAGGTTGTAACTCCACAAGAGTCAAGGCTGAATCGGGATCTTCCTCGAAGTTGGAGATCGGAGCAAGTCTACGACCTCGTGTTGTTAAACGTGTCTTCAGCTCATTTTGCTTGACCTAAAAGAAGAAGATGTCTCTAAGATGAATAAGATAAATAGCATTTTTTCCCATGTTAAACGTACAAACTGATTTTAAACAGCACACTTTGTACAAATACCCCTAAATAAACACCAAGGAACAGAGCAGACAAAGCAGTGATAAAGTTGTAGAGATGTGTAAAGCAGTTGTAGATCACAAAACAACGACCTGAGCTTTAAACTTCCTGAATTCTGTTCAATCTATCACCAACAACAACAACAATAAAAAAAAGAAAAATGTGCATGTGCAACAAAACAGCTTCAACAGGCCAGGAGAGGAAAGTCCAGCCAAACAGCAAAGAGGCCTATGATGACTCTGCAGGAGCTTCAGAGACCTAAAGCTCAGGTGGAAGAATCTGGTCCTTGGGAAAAATAAGTCTCTTTACAGTCTGCCACAAGAAAAAAAGTCAAGGAAGGTGCTCTGCTCAGATGAAACCTAACGTGAACTTACTGAGCCACATGCCAAATACAGAGAAAAAAACACAGTACATCAGCCTAAAAGCACCATCACCAAAACAAAGCCTTGTTAGAACCTGAAAAGGTCTTGAATCTGAAACTAAGGTTGATCTCCCAGATCCTACATCCAATCTGGTTAAGCCTGAACTATTTTCTAAAGAAGTATCTGAGGGTCTGTAGAAGATCTAAGTTGGTATTTGTACTTTTGTGGTTTTTGTGTTTTTCTATTGTTCTCCCTGCTGCCCTCTGGGAAGAGGCTTTGGAGCATTGACTGCAGGTCCAGCAGGTTCTGCCACAGCTTTTTCACCGCTGCCATCAGACTGTTAAACTGTTAACTCTAAACTGCACTCTGGATCACACATGCAACATTTTTTGTGCAGCATATTTATTTTTCATTGTATTGAACCTTTCCATATCAATGCCTTTTGCACCATAACTTTTAAACGGGTTTCTTTTCCTCCTACACTGTTCACACTCTGATCACTACTGCACTTTTTAATGGTTGTGGTTCACTTTTGTAAGCTTCTTATTTCACTGTTGTAAGCTGTAAGCGATGTAATTCAATTTCATATACACTCTGCATATACAAAATGAAAATAAATTTTGTCTAAGTATTTGTACTTTTAATAACTTGCAGATATAACTGCACTAAAATGTGATAATTATTTAGTATGGACTCACAGCAACTCTAAGGCCCATGCTAAGTTTTTCTTTTTTTATAAGGGAAACATCTTAAAGCTAACAAATTCCTACTCTATTATTACAAAATTATAAATGACATAATTATTTGGAAAAACACTGAATTTTGTGGTTGTAATGTGGAAACATTTAAGGTATTTTTTAAGGAGTGCATGAAACAAAACTTTGACCCGAACCCTACCTTGCGTCTCTCCTCAGCACGCCTCATTTTCTCATCAAGCTCTTTTCTGCTGTAATTTTGAGACTTTTTGACCTTCAGGGGCTCCAGTCTGGCAGGAAGGCTCTTTGTGACGGATTCATGCTTATAAGAAAAACACACATTTTCACATCACTTGCTGAAGCAATACAGATTTAACTTACCTGCTCATTTCCAAATAATATATATCCCCTATCTCCTTATGCACTTATAGACGGTGTTTAACAGCACATGCAGCTAAGGTTTGATGCATTTAGCAGCATAATGAAATTGTTTCCAAACATAGTCATCTCTCCTTAGAAATATTCCAAAACTTTAACTTGCATCTGCAGTTTATTAATTCAGACATTTCAATCTGCTTTCAGGGGAGTAAATGTAAGTAAGTTGCTTTAAAAAAAGTTTAAAGTACAAAAACCTGAGAGCTTTTGAATGTGTCTTTATCAAAATGGTTGAGTTCAACATAATATGAACAATATTCCATTTAGATAATAATGCTAAACATTCAAAAACACTTATACTAAAATATGTTATACTGCTTATTCCCTTTTAAAGAGATTCAGCGACAGATGAGAAATTATATGATTAGAAACTTTAGGTGGAATAATGTTGAATGATTCTGTTTTTTTTTGTTTTTGTTTTTTTTTTACATAAATAAGAATTGTTTCTGAATCTATTTAGAAGCCATGCTAATACCCTGAAGTCGGCCTTTACCATTGACTCTCTTTGCTTTATACAAGTCAAATAAGTATTTTGCTTATTTTGACAAATCTCATAATCCAGATATAAATATTTAATTAATAACTGATAAATTAGCAAGGCCCAGGTGTAAATTAAAAGGTAGCCCAGATTTTAAAATAGCTCATTGATAATCTTTTCAGTCAGAAAAACTGAGCTGCCCACCATGATGCAGAAGGCAGTTCCCTTCTCTTTCGTTAAGCTCTGAACTGGGATGATGCCCTGAGTCCACAGCTCTTCCATTAAGTCCCTGGACTTGGGACGCCCCTGTCCTGAGAGGTCACCCTGCGGCAATCTCGGAGCAGCATCTAAAACACCCCAAAAACATTTTAAAAACAGCTTAAAGATGTTTCTTTCTTTCTTTCTTTTTTTTTTTACACAAGAAAATAAAGTTAATTTAATTCGGCTCGTTCTGAGCTTATTTTCACCATTTGGCAAAACTCTGTGAACTTCATGTTCCCCGAGTCTGTCAGAGGACTCAGGAGGCCGTTCATCAGGCACTGCTCCAGTTGACACCTGGAGCTCTCTGTTTTCCATCACAACCCCGCTGTCCTTGGTGCCCTTTGACCCAGCGGAGTCACTGCGTTGACTGGGTTTACCACCTGCTCCATTCTGGCATAGGGAGCAGGAAGAAGAACACAAATCAGCACATTACTAAATTCTTTCACACTCTGGACATATTTTTTATATTTTCAAGATGCCATGAAACTGTTCAGATGTTAACAAAAAAACTAAAATATACCCTGTTTTAAACCAACAAATACGGTCAATGCAAACCCTCCCTGCAATTAAGTCATATTTTCTTGTGACTCTTCAGCTTCAACCCACCTTTCTGCCTCTGTCTGCATAAAATGCCTTGCAACAATATTCACATTTGGACTGAAACAATTAATTAGATTAATTGTCGATTATTGAAAGAAATCGTCAAATAATTTTGTAATCGATTAACTGTTATCTGGAGTATTGAGACACTAAAACGTAGCTTTAGCCATCAGAGCAACAGCAAGTATACCAAAATTGTATGAAAATTAATACGGTAAATATTATATCTTTAAGATAAAAAATCGACAGATTAATCCTAATTAAGCCCCTAATTTAACACTTCTTCCAATTTTTTCAGGTTACAACTAAAAACTTCAATATGGTATTTATTTTTGTTTTCCTTACAGACTCAAAGATCACATTGCTACCAATTCATCACCAACAAGAAACATAGTGGTGGCAGCATCATGCTGTACAAATCTTTTTTTTTTTTCATTTAATGTTAAAGAAAAGGTAATAGAACTAAATAAGGAACAATAAAAAAAAACTCTGTTATAAACATTTGATTTGCATAGGACTTGAGACTAAGCAGACACAGTTCAGTCTAAAATCCATCTGAGAATGAGGGGCATGGCATGAAAACAGATACTGACACTGAAAAAAATTGAATCTAATTTCAAAAACTGAGTTGAAGTAGTCAAGAAACTGAAAATAAAAGAATGGTGGATCTATTTTTGTAAAGGAGAATAATATCTGAATTTCCATTGATGTTGTTGTTATTCTCCATTCTTTTTTTGGTCTCAAAAGTGGAGAATAACAGTTCTTTCAAAAAGTTTTTTAAGAAGTACCAATAAAGTATAGGTCTCACCTTAAAGGTGCGACTAATACGAAGAAACACAAAGAACTACAGCTGATTATCCAGATCACAAAACAACACTACTAAAACTTTTACTGTAAAGATTTCTAAAAATGCTTTCTTAAAATACAAACTCCACATCCTAAAAAACTGTTGTCAAGTAATTGTTAATATATGAAAACATTTTTTTTTTTTTTTTTGAATATTCCACTTGAGATTATTACTGTTGCCACCATCTATATTAGGGGGAAATAAATGGTAGGGGTGGCCACAGGGGTGGCCAATGATTGGCTAATGGTTTCCATGGCCACCCCTGCCCCCCCTATCCAGCTCCCCCATCTAGCTCCCCCCGTGCGTACAAGCCATGTTGCGCTATTGCGATATGTAAAGGGTTAAATACTTACTGAACTCTTGAAAGAATACTGGCTGAGGGTAAAATGTGACCTATTTTCTGCAGAGTTTCGGTCGCCTAAAGCAGGCGGATACAGCGACCCTACCTGGTTCCAGGGGCCCGTCTTGACCAGCGGGTGGACCGCAGTGTTTGAGGAGCTGGCACATCCCATCTTTGTTTCAAATTTCCTCGTTTCAGGTCCGACTCCTAAACGGGCTGGTTAGTAATGTATCTGGGTTGTTTGCTTCCCTCTCCAGGTATGAAATGACCACAGCGTTGCATACCTTCACCCGGCCGCTGTCTCCAGGGGCCCGTTGCTATGGGCCGTTGCTACAATAGATCTGACGCGTTTATCCAGGAACAAACAGAGGACACTTGGCAAAGGCCTCTCTGCTAATATTTATATCGGGTTAAACCGTTTTTAAAAAAAATTTGTTTTTTGCAGGAAAAACAATAATTGAAAACAAAATGGTAGAAAATAATAATATAATAAAATATACATAAAATAATAATAGATATTATTTTGGCTTTTTTTTTCTATGTAGTTCATCTTTTTGATGGTTTATAGCTCAAAACTTTCATCATTTATTC